TTGGACATGACTGAAACAACTGAATAGCAACAGTGTGTGTGTGTGTGTGTGTGTGTGTGTGTGTGTGTGTGTGTGTGTGTGTGTGTGAGGAATCAAGGATGACTCAAAGGTGGATCAAATTATGCTATTCTGGGTATCTTTGTTTATAAACTGCACACCAATTAAATTATGTAAAACTCCAGATTTTATTTACCTGGTACGATTGAATTTTTCTCATAATCAGGACTAAAGATAAAGATGATGTATGTGAAAGCACTTTGGGGGCGAGGGAGGATTGCTTTTTTTTCCCCCTACATTAAATCAAGGCAAAATATTAAGTGTGTAAACACACAACATAACAATGGAGCAGACCCTTTAGATTTCCCTGCTTCATTATTACAAGAAAACCTCTATGCCATTCCAATAGTTTGAACAATCTGAGGTTTCAGATATTAATATTTTAAGGCGTAAGTTGCCAGTATTAGAGCAGAAACTGGAAGATAAGCACAATTATATGCTGGACTGTTTGACTAGAAGCTGGACTATTTAAATTGCCCAGTTTTCCAAAACATCAAAAATGCATGGTTGGTCCTCTGTGTTGCTTTACTAGTTCAGGTATTCAGAATAAAAAGCAGTGCCATTTTTAGTTTTGTTTATGCAAAGTGACAATGCATAAATCTACTGTAACGTATAGTCACCTAGTCTCAAATTCACAGGATTCTTTTTTTCCTCCTCAATTCACCATAGAGAATTAAATATCCTTTTTCTTTTTTGATCAGTTGTAATATGTCAAGATCATTGTGACCTCATCATTCCCTCCAACAATGAATATTAAGCCCAGCTAGGCAGTATACACTGTCTTTGTGAGTTACTGAAGCCAAAAAAATAAGTCATCCCTGGTGACTAACCTTTTAGTTACAAGCCTAAACTCCTAACTTAATGAGGCTGGTCCTGACACGTTGCTCTCCTGTGTTGAAGTCCTTTCCACTGGAGCAGCATCCATGAGAACTTGCGTTTCCCTGACATAACTTTCCAGTGATCCAGGTAAAGGTCCACACCTGGATTAGGCATGAGAGTAGGGTGTTTATGGAGGATATTATCAACGTTATTATTAACAATATCCACAGTGATTATGCAGTCTTTCAGGATTTGTGATTGGTTAGCATGAAGATTCTGGTTTTATATGCACAAAATAAGATTACAAAGGAAATCTGTTATAATTAAATGTGATTACTAAAATATTTTTAAAACAAATTTATAAGAGTTTAAGAACTCCTGCTTTAGGTGAATGTGATTGGTCATCCAAAGATTTAGAGGTAGCCCTGAAGGTCTTCTAAATGATTAGAAGAAAATGTAGAATTAAATCTGAACCTCAATTTGAAAAACATTTTCAAACTCAAAGCATAATGTTGGATCATTATCCTAATCAGTCACTGAGGTGTTTAGTGAATGCCCACCTATTCTCTGCCCAGGGGCATAGAGAGAGAAGAAATGCACCCTACCCTCGGTGAACTTACTGCCTCATTGGGTAAATAATACTAACACAAACAAAATAAGTGCAGGATAACATAACATAAATGAAATAAATATAGGATGTCAGGGTAGTTTACAGTGAGTTCTTTATTTATGTACCACATGTTCCTAGAGTATAGGCAAGGGGGAAATCAGTATGGGAGAGGTCTTGGGGAGGCCTTCATAGTGGAAGTGAAACTTTGAAAGTAGTTTTGAAGTCAAGGTGGCAGAGTAAAAGCAATGACTTGCTTGAGCTCTCCCCTAAACCCCTCCAAATACTTGTAAAATATGGCTCTAAACAAATTCTAGAGCAGCACAACCCACAAAAAGACAGAATGACACAAATTTCCAGCCCAAGACAACCTGGATGGTTGATTGGAAAGGTCTATTGCGCCGGATTGGGAGAGGAACGAAGTTCAGCGAAGGCCACGCAGACAAAGACCAGGCCTCAGCGAACCTGGAGCAGTCCTGAGGGGATTGAATCAAGGGGAGCTGTGGCAGTTTCCAGACTTCTTTATCCACAAACGCCAAAGACAACTTAGAAGATCAGTAGGAAAAGTCTGTGACTGCAGTACTGGAGAGAGGAGCTCAGTCCCAGTTCCAATCCCAGCTGCAGCCCCAGGGCAGTGGCTGCTTCTGGAGCTCTTGACCCACAGACTGAGGGGGAATCAAGTGGCTGATCAAAGGGGGATTGCAGGGATCTCTTTGCTGGTGCTGAGGCAAGATTCTCTTGCTTTGCCCGTGCTTGGATCTGAGTCACAGTTCTGGGTGGCAGTCCTGGGGCAAGGAGGAGTACTGGTGTGGTGGAGCTTGTAGTGGTGGTGAAGAGAAAATCCTCCTCCCAGTTCCAAGGCAGAAAAGAGTGCTTGTGGTCACTCATAGACCAGAGCAAAGGCCAGGGAAGGAGTAAACACCTCGCTCCTTATCATACCACCTTGGAAGAACTGAAAATTTACAAGTCCCTAGAAGTACCTCTGAAAACAGCTGCACAAAACCCCCAAAGCTTGGGACAGTACATTCTCCACACTGGAAGCAGACCCCTGCCTTAACAAAGAGTTTATAACTCAAGTAAGTGGCTGGGATCATGAGCAAACAGCGCAAAAAAACATCAGACCATAGAATCTTACTTCGGTGACAAAGAAGACCAAAACATACAACCAGAAGACAGCAAAATCAAAGCTCCCACGTCCAAAGCCTCCAAGAAAAATATGAATCAGTCCCAGGCCTTGGAAGAGCTCAAAAAGGATTTTGAGAAGCAAGTAAAAGAAGTAGAGGAAAAACTGGGAAGAGAAATGAGAGTGATACAAGAAAATCATGAAAAACAAGTCAATAGCTTGCTAAAGGAGACCCCTCCCCCAAAATAATTTACTGAAGAAAGCACCTTTGAAGCGTGGGAAGCTTGATGTATGGTGAAGGGGCTGCTGCATTTGGAGTTAGCAGACCTGTGCTAATGAGTAGCAATGGGATTGGGTCGGTTGTGCTCATGGTTTCTAAGGGTGATGGAGAATGGCAGCCGTTTCATTTAACTTTTCTGCAAATAATGCTGAGTTGAGCTTTGAAGGACAAAGCATTTTTTGCCATAAATGTGTGTGATGAAATTTATTTGAAAGCTTCAGTCATAAATACAGTCAATGGCTTATAGCCTTTATACTGATTAAGGACTCTACTTATATTTGAAAGTGATATTATCTGAGATTCTCATACAAATGTGAAGAGTCTAACCCAAATGAACTGGAGATATGTGGTGGTTAAAATATTGAGGGGAAGTGTTATATTCCTTAGTTAGTAAAGAATTGAAGCAAGACCCTCTTTTAGTTTTTCCCAAGACAATAATCTCCCCTATGATGTTCACCAAATGGATTTAAAAAAAAAAACAACATTATGATTCGACTGTAATTTTTTTAGAATAGTCTTTTGCTCTGGAAGCAAGAATTCAGTAAATGTATATGTTTATAAAAGTATGGGAGCCAGTCATGTTCCTGAGTTACTCTGAAAGATGATCTAGCTAAGGAATCTTTGATAATTTAGGGTAAAAATTTTTATATCAATCATATTGTTTGGAAACAGTTTCCAGACTAAGGCAGAGATTATGTGAAAGTAAATTTTATCTTGCTTCTTGAATCTCTCTCAAAAATACTTTTGTGATATATGACAAAGTAGATATAACTGAGATTCTTAATTATACAAGTTCATAATTTATCACATTATTTAATGTTCAGAATTATAGCTAGCAGTTAATTGGAGAGATGCCCATCTTGTTTTAGTTAGTTTGAACTAGTTTCAGTTAGCTAGAATTTAATATTTCAAGTTCTGCAGTAAAGTATGTAGAACTCTCCTTTGTTTCTCACGCACTCCTGCTTCCTGTCATCCTTAATTGTTGTGTCTTTTGTCAGCCCCTCCCCCCAGAATTTTAGCTACTTGAGTACATTGAGCATTTCATTTTTTGTTTTTGTATCCTTAGGTTGTTGGGGGTTTTTTTAAACATAGTAGGCATTTAATTAATTTCTTTTGAATTTCTACAGTTCCATGAATTTCCACTTAAGTTTTGAAGATTTAAATTATAACAGCTAATTCTTCTATCTATTGAACAAATTGACTAAGGGTCAATGAGTGCATTTACTTTTTAATTGATAGCTGATATTTATATAGCAGTTTAAATGCTTTGCATACATTATTTCATTTAATCCATAAAACAAATTTGAGAGACAAGCAGTATAGGTATTATTTCCTTCATAGTACAAATGAGGAAACTAAGGCTTAGAGAGGATGAGTAGCTTGCCCATGAGCAATTCAGCTAGTAAGGATCAGAGCAAATTTTGAACCAGGGTCTGGCCTGGCCCTGTGTCTAGTCCTTTTACCTTTTACTCCGTGCTGCCTTTCATTAGTAAGTTTTACTTCCAGAAAGATACTTTTAACTCTTAATTAATGCTGCTCAGCACACCACAAAGTAATACTATGTGAAGTGAAATAACTGTATAAAATAATACATTTTCTGTGACCAATCATGACTTCAGAAGATTGATGGTGGAGGATACCTCCATATAGAGGGGTGGTCGTCTAGCGGTGGGGAATGAAGCCTATGTTTTAGCCTTAACCATGGTGCAAGGTTGTTTTGCTTGACTTTATTTATTTGTTAGAAGGTAAGGTCCCTGCAGGTATGGGTAAGCAATCAGTGGAAAGTGACAGTGCTTTCTTTTTTTTTAAGCCCATCATTAAAATTTTTAAACACATCTTATTTTTTGGAATGTTTTTTGTTTTTTCTCAATTACATGTAAAAATAATTTTCAACATTTTAAAAATAATTTTTGAGTCCCAAATTCGCTTCCTCCCCACTCCTTGAAAAGGCAAGCAGTTTGATATAGATTTATATGTAGTCATGCAAAACGTATTTCCACATTAGCCACTTTGCAGAAGAGAACCCAGACCAAAAAAAATTTTTTAAGAACAAATATCAGATCATATACCAAGAAAAGAAAGAAAATTGATTACTTTGTTTTTTCTTTGTACAGTACACGTTTTGGAACTTCATACCCAAGAATTTGTTTGAGCAGTTCAGAAGAATAGCCAATTTTTATTTTCTTATCATCTTTCTGGTACAGGTAAGTCCATTTACTTACTATCACCACATCATATATATCACAGTGAATAAATGTCGTATCCTTTGGGAACTGACTTATTGCTTACTTAATAAGAAAAAGGACTGCTCCCTAATCCATTGTTGTAAGAGAACAGCTTCTTAATTTTCTTCATGAGTAAATGGTACAGCTACTTGCAAGACCCTTGTAATAGGCTTGTCTTTCAGGCTAAGCATACCTAATAAATTTACTTTTCAGTGATTATGTACCCCTTTTCTTCAGTGGGGTGCAAGGCAATGTTGCTTATTTTTCTCACCATTGGTCCTTGAGCACAGAAGACAAGAACAAGAATTTATTTGATCATGTAAATACATACTGAAAAAAACTAAGCAGTTCTATGCCTTAATATGATTAGAATCGTCCGAAATACGAAAATGTACTGCAAAGAAAGCCAAAACAACTTCAGTGTTTCAAAACCATCCTAGCTAGTTGATCACCTTCATGTACCTTGAGTAAGAGTAACATCAAGAAAGCATTTTTATTTCCCTAAAGCACTTAGATGCTTTCAAAATATTTTCATTAACACAGAGTTGGCATTCTGGTGTTCCCAAACTTATAGGTTAATCAACTGGTAGGAGCTGTAAGCCCTGGGCAGACTAACACGGCTTTTCGGTTAACCAGCTGTACTGTCTTGAGCAAATCACTTAACCTCTCTATCCTTCAGCTGCCTCATTTGTACCCCGGGAATAGTAATTGCCCTACCTGTCTGTCTCACAGGGAGGCTGTTAAGATATAAAATGTGTTGAAAAATCAGAAGTAAGTGCTATTGTAATTTATATTGGACACTAATCAAGAATCAGTCACTAAGCTGAGTATTTTGAAATAAACTGCCTAATTTTGTTTGAATTGCAGTTGATTATTGATACACCCACAAGTCCAGTCACAAGTGGACTTCCTTTATTCTTTGTCATTGCTGTCACAGCTGTCAAACAGGTAAGAATTTTATCCTCAAAATTTAGAGGTAATTGGTTCATTTTCTTTCTGATACGTATAACACTTTTATTTTCCTTTCTAATGTTGCTTGCTCTTTGTTAAATCAGTCCAATTATCTGAATTATGGGTTGTTTTGTAGAGAATAATTTCACTAGACGCTGAATTGTAGCTTTTTGGGCACTGGCCTATTGCTTGGCCCCAGCTGACAAGAAGCAGTGCCTTGTTTGACACTGATAGACCCTCCTATGTACCAAGAAATGCCAGGTACATTTAGGCTTAGGAATGCAAGGTTGGCAAAATGTCAGTTTAGCAAACGTCATCTAACCCAGGTGTACCAAATTAGCTAATCTTCCTCACAGTGACTCACAATGCCCTTGTAGTCAAGAGGAAGAGGTCACAGTATACCTGCTGATTGACTGTTGCTAAGGTCCCCCTTGTGCTTAGTTCCTGTGAACCGCCCCAGCAACAGTAATCAGCCGTAAGGGCAGAAGTCCAGCAGATCTGGGCTGTCGATCAGAATACCCATCCCTCAGGATGCCCACGTGGGGAGCCATTGCTGGCATGGCTCTAGGTGATAGACTGCCTGACTCATGATCCTTTGAGGGTTTATGTTCCTTCTCAGTACCTCTTCACTCATGATCTTACAAGCTTGTGCTGATTTATACTTGTGTTAAATTAAGAGAAATTGCCCAGTCCATTGGCCAGATTGATGACCTAGAGAATTATGTTGGGGGTTTCCCCACTAACTTTTGATCAAATAGGGATGTTCTGTGACTTTGTGTGACTTCCTTGATGTCTTCTTTGCACGGGTGTTTTACCCGTGTCATTAGGACATGCTGATATGTTGAATTGCTGCAAATGTGAAATTGTTAAAAATTGAGTAGTCGGCTGATGTAGTGTGGAGGTGACCCTTAAGTTCTCAACAGTTGGGTCTGAAGAGTCTACGCGTTGGTTGGACCACCCAGCTAGAAAGGCTTCTAGGGTTGGATTGATGATGGACTGTATTTGTGTTATTTAAAGGCCAGAGGACCAGCCTAGTTAATTTAAGAGAGCCTCACCACCAATTTGGCCACCTTTGAAGATTACCTACTTAAGTAGTCAATAAGTACAAGCTTATTACTACAAAGAGTCATTTTACAGTTTGCATGGTAGAGAGGTCATTCATAATGAAGAATATCTCACATCTTTGATGTATTAAAATTTAAGGATCGAATGCTTTGATTTCTTTGGAGTTAGCCAGGCTTTATGTGAGGACCTAACATTCTCTTCTTGTCCTGATGTGAAAAAATTGTGACTGACTACCTACTAGCCATAGTGTTAATCAGCTACTGGTCCCGAGGAGGTGGAGTAAAATTAGAAGATTTAAGTTCTTTCTATAGTAGGCTAAGAGGTCTGGTTTGACTTGTTCATCCTGTATAGGGTTGAATCTAAAAAATTCAGATTACAACACTAAACCCCTGAAAATCAGCTCTGGCAGTCTCCCATCCTCACCAGGCCAAAAGTCTTCTTAGCCTGAGATGTTCCAAAGCATATTTTTTCCAGATTCACACTGCTTAGAGCTTCTCTCCTGAACCTGTATCCCATGCTTATACTGGAATTGAGCTAACCCGTGGTGCCAGAGAGGTTACATTTGCCAAGGGGTACCGTTAGAGAATATGATGGTGTTTTCTCTTTTTAAAGTATAAGGCACATAAAAGAAGAGGTAGCTAATGAATAGAGCTGGCCATTGAGTCATGAAGAACCTGGGTGCACATCTTCGCTTTGGTATACTATCTGTGCAATGCTGGGCAAACCATTTAACCACTCAGTACTCCAGGCATCCCTCTATACACATTACAGAAGTTGCTGAGCTGAGTTTCTTCATCCAGGACTTCCCCATACCAGTGAAATCCCAGGTTTGGTTATTTTTGCTGTCTCAGCCCCTATAGCAGCAATACCCAAAGGGAGAATTTGATCCATTATTAGCTGCACTATGTCTATTGAATTAAGGTTGCAAGTTATCTAAAGGACAATAGAAGGGCCCATAGATGGTAGATGTGAGTGGGCTGCAACCTGTGATCACCTTATGTGGATTACACAGGAAAAGTGGCTTCAAGTAGAATAGAAGAAGTGAACCAGTGAAGGATATCATGAAGGCTCCACTGGTGTTTGTGCAGTGTCAAGAGCCTCACGGGAAGGCCCCCAGCATGGTTAGAGCCTCTGTGGAGGATTCATGTGAGCATACGGGGAAGAGTATCATAGGTCAAATAAGGACCTCCATCACCAAAGGGGAGCCTCCGAATCAGTGAACTCAGATAGCCTTCATAGTTTCCTAGCTGTGTTTTCTTATCTGCATATTTAACATCTATCTTCATGTGGCAATTTTCAAAACTAGAAAATGCTAAAATAATTGCACCCAGTTTTTTCTCAGAGAAATGCTGCTTTCTAATTAAGCAACTATCGCCTTCGGTACTTGAAATCTGTGAAATATATGAAATTACATTCAGTTGTTTGCACAGCATATTTTCGTTGGGACACCTAGATAATTTGTAAGATGATGACTTCTAATAGCTGTTGTGGTGAGGCTCTTCTGATAGACACCTTTTACTTAAAACATCATTTTTTAAAAAATTTTATTAATTTATTTTGATTTATCAACAATCACTTCCATATGCTTTTGAGTTGAAAATTTTTCTCCCTCTTCCTCCCCCCCACCCTCCCCAAGATGGCGCACAATCTGATATAGGCTTTACATTTATATACCCATTAAACATATTTTCACATTAGTGAAGTTGTAAGTAAGAATTAAAACCGATAGGAGGAACCATCAGAAAGATGAAACAAAACTCAACAAAAGGTAAAAATAAGTGAGAGCGATTCGACTTCCATAGTTCTTTCTTTGGATGTGGGCAGCATTTTCCATCCCGAGGCCTCTGGAGATGTCTTAGATCCTCGTGATGCTGAGAAGGGTTCAGTTTAACAACCTTAGTCATTGCATAACGTGGCTGTTATTGTGTACAAAGTCCTTTTGGTTCTGCTCGCTTCACTCAGCATCAGACCATATAAGTCTTTCCAGGTTTTTCTGAAGTCAGCCTGTTCATCATTTCTTATAGCACAATAGTATTCCATTACATTCATATACCACAACTTGCTCAGCCATTCCCCAATTGATGGGCATCCTCTCAATTTCCAATTCTTTGCCACCACAAAAAGAGCTGCCATGAATATTTTTGTACATGTGGGTCCTTTTCCCATTTGTTTGATCTCTTTGGGATATAGCCCTAGAAGTGCTATTGCTGGGTCAAAGGGTATGCACATTTTTGTAGCCCTTTGGGCATAGTTCCAAATTGTTCTCCAAAATGGTTGGATCATTTCAACTCCACCAACAATGTATTAGTGTTCCAATTTTCCCACATCTTCCAACATTTATCATTTTCCTGTTTTGTCATGTTGGCCAATCTGATAGGTGTGATGTGGTACCTCAGAGTTGTTTTGATTTGCATTTCTCTAATCAATAATGATTTAGAGCATTTTTTCATATGACTATAGATGGCTTTAATTTCTTCATCTGAGAACTGTCTGTTCATATCCTTTGACCATTTATCAATTGGGAATGGCTTGTGTTCTTATAAATTTGTCTTAATTCTCTATATATTTTAGAAATGAGGCCTTTATCAGAGAGACTGGTTGTAAAAATTCTTTCCCAATTTTCTACCTTCCTTCTAATCTTAGTTGCATTGGCTTTGTTTGTGCAAAAACTTTTCAATTTCATGTAATCAAAATTATCCATTTTGCTTTTCATAATGTTCTCTATCTCCTGTTTGGTCATGAATTCTTCTGTTCTCCATAGATCTGATAGGTAAACTATTCCTTGTTCTCCCAGTTTACTTATGGTATCAGCCTTTATATCTAAGTCCTGAACCCATTTTGACTTTATTTTGGTATATGGTGTGAGATTTGGGTCTATGCCTAGTTTCTGCCATACTCTTTTCCAGTTTTCCCAGCAGTTTTTTTCAAAGAGTGGGTTCTTATCCCAGAAGCTGGGGTCTTTGGGTTTATCAAATAATAGATTACTATAGTCATTGACTACTGTGTCTTGCATATTTAACCTATTCCACTGATCCCCTCCCTATTTCTTAGCCAGTACCAAGCAGTTTTGATGATTGCTGCTTTATAATACAATTTAAGATCTGGAATTGCTAGGCCACCTTCCCCTGCATTTCTTTTCATTAGTTCCTTTGATATTCTGGACCTTTTGTTTTTCCAAATGAATCTTGTTATTATTTTTTCTAACTCTATAAAATAATTTTGGTAGTTTGATTGGTATGGCACTGAATAAGTAAATTAGCTTAGGTAGGATTGTCATTTTATTATATTAGCTCGGCCTACCCATGAGCAACTGATGTTTTTCCAGTTATTTAGATCTGATTTTATTTGTGTGAAAAGTGTTTTGTAATTGTGTTCATAGAGTTCCTGGGTTTGTTTCGGGAGGTAGACTCCTAAATATTTTTAATGTCTACAGTAAGTTTAAATTGGATTTCTCTTTCTATCTCTTGCTGTTGGGCTTTGTTGGTAATATATAGAAATGCTGATGATTTATGTGGATTTATTTTATAGCCTGCAACTTTGCTAAAGTTGTTTATTATTTCAAGTAGTTTTTACTTGATTCTCTAGGATTCTCTAAGTATATCATCATGTCATCTGCAAAGAGTGATAGCTTTGTTTCTTCTTTGCCTGTTCTAATGCCTTCAATTTCTTTTTCTTCTCTTATTGCTAAAGCTAAGGTTTCCAGTACAATATTGAATAACAGTGGTGATAATGGACATCCTTGTTTCACCCCCAATCTTATTGGAAATGCTTCTAACCTGTCCCTATTACATATAATGCTTGCCGAAGGTTTTAGATAAATGCTATTTATTATTTTAAGGAAGACTAATTTAAGTAGCGTAGCATAAATGGTAAGAAAATCTGTTCCACATGACAGCATTGTATATGTGCAATTAACAAGAGCCACAAAGCTGTCATATTCCAAGATAGTTTACTTTCCAAGTAAAAAATGAGCCTTCTACTATTCCTGTGAAACCCACAGCTGAATCACATCCATATTTTCATCATTGTAGTTCTAGTTAGTTATCTGGTAATTCAGGAAAATCTATTTTTGTGCTTTCTGAAAAATTAATTAAGAACTTCTGAACCACTTAACTATCCAGATGTAATTTTGAAAGCTTTCACTTAAATGACATCTCTTTTATGGTGCTGTGGTATGGTGCAAAGAACATTTGATTTGGAATGTACCATTGCATGTCTGCAACTGAGTTTCAGCTTACATTCTTATAGAGTTGCCTTAAGCACTGAAAGGTCAGGTGATAAGGCCAGTGTGTGTAAGAAGGGAAAGGTGAACCCAGGTTTGCCTGACTCCAACACTCTTTCTGTCCACTGCTTCAGGCTGCCTCTCAGTTACCTGGGAACGTATTTTCTCAGTTTCTATTCATTGTATTTCCAGTAACTCTGTACATCATTAACTTGGGGAATCACACTTTGGTGATGCTACCCCAGTGAAATTAGTGTCATTTCATGGTTATCAAACCAAGTTGCACCTGTAGCATGCATTCTTCAGTTGGGCCACTCCAGATTGATGCTGATACTGTGGCATCAGTTCTGCATCCCAAAGGGAAAAAAAAGCAGGTTTGTTCCTTGCTAACCCTTGACAAATTTTTGACCATGGGAGTGGTGGCCATGGAGGTCATGATGTTTGGGGCCTGGAACCAGGAATGTTTTCTCTAGGTTCCTTCCCTCCCCTCCCCCCTTATAGTCATGACAAGAAATTTTTGTAACAGGTGGTGTGGATAGGGAAGGTCTGTGACAAGAGTGCAGTTGAGTCTCAAGGGATGCAATTATCTAAGTGATTATTATCCATTAACTGTGTCTCCAGTACATTGGAGTCAAACTCTCCAGCTTTCATCCCCCCAGGATGCTCCCGGTCGCATCAGCCACTGACAGTCCTTTAAAATAAAGCCATCTGTGCTCATACTCCTAAAATCTTAACTAGAGACACAATTCCACAAGGAATTGTCTTGCCCATCCCTTTGTCTTCAGGTGAAATTGCTCACAAAATTTCCCTTAAGAATAATTGTCTACCTTATATGTAAAAAAATGTCCAAGGAAGGGAATCCAGTACCATTCTTAGAGCAAAATAGATGTTTAAGTATTCAAAGTTATTGGTCTTCTTGATGATTTGAATACTCAAAATGTATTACTCAGGACTTTTGTTTATTTCCATGAAACCAAGTCTCTCTTTCTACTTGTGCATTTTAACATGTGGCCAGGCTCCAGTTCTAAAGTGATTATGGTTATAGGGGCAGACCTTTGGGGGAAAATAGGCCCTTCCATTATGCCCTATTTAAGTAACTGTCTGCTTCTGTACATCTTCCCTTCGTATATCTGGTGACAAATACAGAGATACTCCCTTTCTGCACCTCTATATCTTGTTAGCCATAATAAAAACCACAAGTGATAGATTTTTCATTTTACACATTCCTCAATTGTATGTATATTCTGTGTACTCAAATCTAAAGTAGCTAAATGCTGAATAGATCTGCTAAGCGCACATACTCTTCTGGACTTTTTTCCTCTTTCTTTAAAGTTGAGACAAACACATAGGAATGAGATAGCTGGTTTGATGAATATGATGGATTCTGGTTTGTAGATATACTAATTTTGCAGTAATACAAGACATCCTGATGATGATGTTCATCAGATAGTCAGAAGACACAGAATCTTAAACTTATAGTTGGTTAGGACCTCAGAGGTTATCTGGTCCAAGACCCAAGTCTTGATCCTATGTACAGGACTACCAGGTAGTGCTTTTCCAGCCTCTGCTTAAAGACCTCCAGTGACAGAGAACTCACCATCCCTGAGAATGAAGCTCAAGTACGAGGTCCAGGTCTGGTGATAGAAAAGAGATTGAACGTGAGCAAGAAAAAGAAAGACTTAGTGGCATAAAATTTTGAGATGGAGAAGGTGATGGCAAGAGTTGAGGTGGAAAGGTTAGTGTTGACAAGAAGAGGGCCTACTTCATCCTTTGAGACTAGAAGGAAGAAGATAGGAAAAGACAAGCAGGTTTAGAGAGGTGAAGGGAGAGAAGGATGGGGAGCCTCATGTTGACTGGCTTCATTTTTCTCAGCAACATGAGATATGAGTTATCTGCAATACAGAAATTTAAAAGTAGAAAACTAAGAGTGAATTATTAAATACTAGAAACTGCACACACACGTATGTATAGGCATTAGTGTGACCAACTCCATCTTAAGCAAAGTAAATTAGGCAAGAGACCAACCAGAAGACTTTTGTAGTAGCCCAGGCATGAGTTGATGAAGGTATGTGCCAGGGTGTTGGCTTGTGTGAGTGGAGAGGAGATGTGGTCAAAGCCTGCCATTTTTATCTGCCCAACATTGGATATGCGGATTAAGTGAGAATGAGGATTACTCTGAGGTTGGGCAACCTAGAGAATATCAGTGCCCTTGACAGTAATAATAAGGAAATTCAGGAAAGAGGAGGGCAAGGAGAGAAAGACAATGAATTCTGTTTTGGACTTGTTGAGTTTGAAATGTCTCTGGGACATTCATTTCAAACTTTACAAAAGATAGTTGGTTATGTGAGACTGGATGTCAGGAGAAAGGATGGGGCTTGGTAAATAGCCTGAGACTCATCTATCTACAGAAGATCATTGAATTCATGGAAACTGATGACAGATCACTGGGTGAAATAGTATCTATAGAGGAGAGAAAATGGCCCAGGACAGAAGCTTGAGGTGCACATCTGTAGTTAGTGGGTGTGACTCGGTTGTAGATTTAGAAAGTGGTAGTGAACCTGGAAAGAGCAATACTAATGATGAAAACCTTGAAAAGGGGAAGTGGCGGGATATCCAGATGGGGATGATTACAGATCAAGGCTGCAGAGATCAAGAAGGATAAAGTTTGGGGGGGAGGGGAGAAAGGCCATTTGATTTGGCATTTAAGAGATCATTGGTGACTTGGGAGAGAGCTGTTTCAGTTGGATGATCAGATCAGAAGCCAGATGGCAGAGAATTTAGAAGCGAGTAAGAGGAGAGGAAGTGCAGGCACTGATTATAGACAGCCTTCTCAAGGCAGTTAGCCAAAAAGGAGAGAGAGATAGAGACAGAGAGAACGAACCAGAGGCTTATGGGAGTGGTCAGATCAAGAGAGGGGATTTTTAAGGATACTGGGAGAAGGAGAGTTGTGGAGACATGGCCATGTTTATAAGCTGCAGGCCCCCAACCAACAAAAAATAGTTTGAAGGACATTATTCTTCACTAGGGCAATTGATAAGAACTGACCCTTAACTTACATTTCATACATACTCTAAATCCTTAGCAAAGCAGTTTTATGGAATCATGTATACCTATAAATCTGGTCTGTCATAGCAATATAATAAAAAACTTGTTCGATTATTGAAAATTTAGGTGGTTACAGCCTCTTTTCTTTCACCTCATTACATTCTGTTTCTTTTTTATAGGGGTATGAAGACTGGCTTCGACATAAAGCAGATAATGCAATGAACCAATACCCTGTCCAATTTATTCAGCATGGCAAACTTGTCCGAAAACAAAGCCGGAATTTAAGAGTGAGGAACAATTGGTGAAATTACCTTATTTAGGACCCATCGCAGCTTTATTTTCTTGACAGAATGGATTATGTTGTAATTTAAAATGCTTATAAGATTACACCAGAAAGCAGTTGATAAAACAGGAGAAAAGAAATGAGACATCTAAGAAAATTAAACAATTTTAGTAATTTTAAAATATAATGCAAAACTGTACTAATTTGGAATTTGTCGTAATCAAAGCCTTGATGTCTCACCTTGACTTAAAAAGGATCTGTGATTTTGCTAAGTAAACTAATAGTGTAAAGGAAAAAAAGCCTGTGGATAAGAGATTATGATATTTAGCAGATTGCTATTTTCAGTCACTTGAGAAGCACCATTTTATGTGCACATTATTGATATGTTCTTCTAAAGTCAGTCCTCCTGAATGTGTTCCTATCCCTTTCCTTTCCCCTGCCTTATCTTTTTCTTCCAGTCTCCCCATCTTTCCCAGGCTAGCAGCCCAGGGGCTCCTCATACTCCATTCTTTCTTCACTCCTACATTCTTCATGGTCATCACTCACTCTTCTCCTGAGTCTCTGCTCTGCTGGAGCTCATTTATCCTGAATATTAGTTGTTTGAATGTTGTCTCCCACATGAGACTGTCAGCTGCTTGCAAGCAGAGACTGTTCTTTGCCTTACTTCCTGTCCCCAGTGCTTAGCATAGTGCCTGGCACATAGTACTTCAGAAATGCTTGTTGTTCACAAGGGCTGGCTGTTCAGAACTGATGAAAGAGCATTAGTCATTCACAAAAAAAAAAAGGTCTTTATGTTAACATGGTCTAGTGCAAAGGGTGCTGGACTTCACATCAAGAGCTTTTTAAATTCAAATCCCAGTTTTGCCATTTGCTGGTTTTGTGACTGTGGTTCAGTCACGTAACTTTCATTGGTGTTAATTTCCTTATCTATGAAATGGGGATCAATAAATAATATAAATAAATAAAATTGCCTGTTAGGTAAAGGTGCAGGAAAAGGTCTTTCTAAACCTTAAAGTAAGTGCTACCAAATGTTATTATTTATTATTACTTCAGTGACATAACAAAATACCTGGTTGGGAAACTGTGTCATTGGGTCATAGATCGTAAGTTGGAAGGGACCTCCGAAGTTAGTCTTCTAGTCTGACTCTGTAATTTTACAGATGAGGCAACTGATGCCTGGGTGGCCTTTGGCCGTATGCTCAAAGTCCCACAGGTAGCCAGCCTCCGAGAAAGGACTTGAATCCAGGTGCTGTCGTTCCAAAATTAGTGATTTCTCCTCTGTACTGTGCTGTCTTATAGACAACACTTTGGAAAACTAATGGTCATTACTTTATATGTGGAAGAATTTTATCTTTACAATGCCACAACACAATTTTCTGACTTTTCAGTCATTCGGGTTGGCCTTTTCCCCATTTGCTCCAAATTAATGACCTTAAAATTGATTTACTTGCCTCATGTGGTGAGTTTATGACACAGTGGGTGACCCAAACTGTCTTTTTGTGGCCGTTGTACAGATCCATGCAAACAAATGGGTACATTCTGGGAAACTAGGATTCTTTGGCAGCATAAGCATCTTTGCAAGCGTATATGGGATGAACGATGTGACACACCAAATCACGGACTGACATTAGCCCATTATTCACCCCACCTCCACCCCCCTTCAGAGCTTAGGCCAGATTTCACAGCTGTTTTCTTTAACTGTGTTATAATCTTTGCACATTTTTTTTTATATTGTAGGAAGGGATCTGTTATCTTTTTAGGCCAATAGACTTTGCCATTGTCCTTTTAAAGGAAATTATCTGGATTGTTTAACTAAACTAAGTAAAATTTTTAATACATGAACTTCTTGTGAGAAATATGTAGTAGTGAGTATTTAAGCCCAGGGATGTGTTAAATTTACTATTGGAGGAAGAAAAAAATAGATGAAGCTCTTCTGATGACAGTAGATATGTAGCTCTCATTGCCCGTAATGACTCTAGACTTTAGATTCACTTGCGCAGGAGTCTCAAGTAGGATGCCGAAAGCACTTCTTTTAACAAAAGAGAAAAAAAAGATGGTCCCCCACTAATTTTAAAGTTCTCTGAAGTTCGGTCATTTAGTAAACAAAATGTGGGTGTAGGAGAGAAACATTTATTGTATTGAATCAAGTATAATGATTTTTTTTAAGGCAATTAGGGTTAAGTGACTTGCCCAGGGTCACACAGCTAGTAAGTGTCTGAGGTCCGATTTGAACTCAGGTCCTCCTGACTCTAGGGCTGGTGCTCTATCCATTGTGCCACCTAGCTGCCCCTGAGTGTAATGATTTGAAAATGCCTCGCATGTAACAGTTTAGATAGCCTAAGTGATTAGAAGAATTTTAAACCTGAGTCATTTATCCTGCCTGGGCCATGTCTTGATGGCACTTTTTTCTCCAGATATGCAAACTATTAAAAGTTAAGCTTAGAGAAAGGGGAAGAATGGGATATTTGGCCTATATCATGGATGCCTTTCCCTCTAGGAGTATATTAAGAAATGTAGAAGTCTGGCATGTCAACTGTGTTGTTCCTATGGGAGATAGATATAACTGATGTCCAAAAAGCCTTCAGTTGGATTCAATTTCTTTTTAGATTTTTATGGCAAGGAATCCTGTGCTTCTTTTTTTTTTTGCATGTTTCTTTTTTTTTTCCCCCTTGTCTCATTACTTTATAATTATTTTTTTTCATGCTTAGTCAATACTGATTCAATAACGGTTTTATTAGTATTTAGACATTGCTTTTTGGATGTCACTAAACCCTGTGAGTATTTAATAAATAATAAAATTTTAGTGTAAGCTGGGATCTTTAAGAGATCATCTTGTCTTACCTCCCCATTTTACAAATGGAGAAACTAAGGCAGGATAAATGCATCAAAGCACATATGTTTTCATTGAAATAGTCCAAGCATCCAAAGACATTATAATTTCTAAAGCACTACACTAACAATTTTCACTCTTGCACTTTTAAAGCTTCCACTAATGCTTTTTGTCACAAGTCAAAATATTGTCTCTGTCGGGGTGGTGTTTTCTTATTTTTTAACTAAATGTCTGCATTATTAGTTATAAAGAGATATTTTTAAATCCGACTCTGGATTTCAGTTGCTTCAAAGGAGCTACCTCTTTATAAGATTTTTATATCATGTATATCTTTATATGATTCTATATCTTTATATTTATATTTATTTTATATTAACCACTTATATTTTTATATGATCATGAATTGGAAATAACCCTAGCCATGTTGTGTTTTACTGTGGGTGAAGAATAACAATAATAATAATAATAATAGCTAATATTTATATAGTGCTTTCAGTGTGCCAGGCATTGTAGTGAGGGCTTTACAATTATTATCTCATTTGATCCACACTGCATCCCTGGGATGTTATATGCCATTATTATCCCCATTTCACAAATGAGACTGAGGCAAACAGAGGTTAAGTGACTAGTAAGGGTCTCAGGCTAGATCTGAATGCAGGTCTTCCTGACCCCGCCAGCCCAGCTGCTTCACTGAGCATCCCCCTACCTGTTTTTCTTTCAGTTAGTTCTGCTTCTTTGAGTGTCAGCCACGGATTGGCATTGATAATAGATTACTTGGACATTTTTCAGGAACACCATCAAGACTGACTTTATGAAGTGTGGAAGTGAATTTATTCTCCATCCACTTTTACGCCCTCTCTTTAATCTAAGTTTTAATCTTTTCTGGTTCCCAACCCTTTTGGAGCACTTGTGACTGCTTCTGTGTTCCCTACTTTAAAAAAAAGGTGGGAGGGGGGCAGCTAGGTGCCGTAGTGGATAGAGCTCCAGCCTTGGAGTCAGGAGGACCTGAGTTCAAATTTGGCCTCAGATAGTTGGTACTTACTGTCTGTGTGATGTGACCCTGGGCAAGTCACTTAACCCTGATTGCCTCACCAAAAAGCAAAAAGGGGGGGGGGAGTTGGGGAGAGGAACTTTTGTCAGTTCCACAGATGTATGTGCTGATTGGCTATCGAAAAGAAAATTAATTCTGTTCTTTTTTCCCACCACATAGGTTGGAGATATTGTGATGGTGAACGATGGTGAAACCTTTCCATGTGACTTAATATTTCTTTCTAGCAGTAGAGAGGATGGAACATGTTATGTTACAACAGCCAGCTTGGATGGTGAATCAAGTCACAAAGTAATATATCCTTTCGTTAAATTGGGGGTTATTAGTTCTATGTTTGGACAACCATAGAAACCAGACTTCTGTTAGAGAAGTTAGTGTGGACAGGGAAAACAGTAAGGACCCCATGGTTTTTCCTTTTTTAAAAAAAAAGTTCCATCCTACATCTTTCCTTCATTTTCCACCCCAGTCTCTCTGTAGCTTATTGCAATCAGAATAACAGAAAGTGTTGTAGCTCAAATTAGGGTGGTGTGATTTGAAATAAGGAATATCAAGTGGAAATATTAACCAAAAAAGTTGCATGAATAAATTGTTGGTATGAGAAGGCTTGGTTAAAATTGTATGTTTATTTTTAGGTACAGTGACTCAGATGACAATTTTAGTGGTCAGAATTAATGTCTGACTACTACAGAATTATGTCACAAGTAACACAATATATTCTGGTTTTATTGGCAATTGCGTGTTTGTCAGTTCAGTGAGTGCTTTAATTTATAATGCCCTAAGAAGCTAAAATTGAATTAGAATTACATTCTTGCCCTCTCTCTACACAACTGGATATAGGCTGTTCTGCTTTAGCTATTGCTTTTAAGCAATTACTAATAATAGATGGATGAATAAAACAATTGTTCTTCTTCCTTGTAAATGTTTTATCATAGAAATATGAGAATTGAATATGGGACATGCTACAAAGGCTTTGTGGAAATGGCCGTAGCTTAATGGACCCAAACCTTTTCTTAGCCTTTAAATCACTCCAAAATTGGGTAAGGCATAATAGCAAATTAACATTTTGTAAGTCAGAAACACCAAAATAGTAGGCTGCATTTGCAGAAATATCTATGTGTGGAAAGGGAGATTAGTTTCCTATGTAGACTTATCCTAAGTAAATTAACCTCTTGTTATAGGACATTATAGGCAACAGTGCTTTGAGTTATAGGAAATTTCTATATGACTGAGGTTTTTACTTCAATCAACAGCTGCAGTAGTACCTTAGAGGAAGAAAGAGCCTCTATAAAAAAAAGTGATGAACCTTCTCTAGAGCTTGAAGAACCCATAGAAATTGTCTTTATGGGCAACAGCTTCCCCTAACCCCGCAAAGGATGCCAAAGGCATACCTCTAGGCCCACATCAAATACATTCCAGTGATATAGAAGCCAATAACTCAGGTAGAAGAAAGATACATTTCAGTGCAATGTCATTACCTAAGTTGTCTGTGTTCAGAATGGAAACTCAGGATATTTGTGCTACTTCAGGCTTTTCATATATAATTACTCTCATTTATTTTAGTTTTTCTTTGTAGTCTTTAGTATCTTAAAAGTTAGGAAATAGGGTAAATGACTATTGACCATCTTTAAAAACAAGGACTATGTCTTTTATGTCTTATGTACCTTTTAGTATCTAATACGCTAATGCTTTGTTAGTCAAGATGATAAACTCCTGTAACACACTTAGTTTTTGAAAATTTCGTTACCAAAGATGGAAATAATCAAGGAAGAATAGAAATGAAGATTCCTTACCCACTGGGCCTTTGTGGGACATTCCTTTCCTCATTCCATGCTAGGCAAGGAAGGTTCAGGTTCCCTGCACTTTGGGGCCCAGTGTGCAGTGCCTCAGCTTGCTTAGACCCTCTTTGTTAATGCACAACTGCTTCCCTGGGTTTGTTAATCTGTTTTTCACTGGATACTAGTGAATACTCATATTTTAAGCTGCCTGGTTAGACGTGTTGCTTTTTCAAAACATACTAACGCAGATGTTTGGGAAATGCGTTGATGTCCCCAGCCCAGCAGTCACTTCCATTGGATTTGTTAGATGTGAAGAAAATGAGTAAAGGGAAGAATTAGCCCTTGGAAGACTATGCCTGGATACAGGGACTAACACAGTTGACCTGAATATGTATATAATAGGAATGTAGCAACTGTTTTCTGTGTATGCTCATGCATGTGTTTGTGTTATGTGTCCAGACTGTTTGCATACATTTTAAGGAAATAAAAGAAATTTGCTTTTCTGGAAATAAGGGAGCTAGCTGCTATCTTTTGTTTTCATTTTTGAATTACATCTTTACATTTCTTTTCAATTGATAGACTTATTATGCAGTTCAAGATACAAAAGGATTTCAGACTGAAGAAGATATTGACAGCTTGCATGCTACCGTTGAATGTGAGCAACCTCAGCCTGACCTCTACAAGTAAGGGCAGTCCTGACAACTGCTTGAATGTTCTTTCTTAAACCATTCCAACATCTTTGCCAAGAAAGCCACATGGGTCGGGAAGAGTCAGATGTGACTGAAGTGACTGAACGACAGGGCTCCCTCTTCCCTCACCTGGACTCCACTTGTACATTTCTGATTGCTTGTTGTGCTTCTCCACCAGGATGTCCTGTCAGCATCTCCAGCTTTACGTGCCAGAAATAGAACTTGCTGTCTTCTCCCTACCTCTTCCTTCTGATCTTCCCTGCTTATGTGATGGTACCACATTTCCCAGTCCCTTAGGTCCCCTTGGGTTCCTTTAGTCTTCCCTCTCACAGCTAATCAGTTCCCGGGCCTTGTCCGCTCTACCTTCACAGAATCGCCTTTACCTCCCTCCTCCTTTTGGTTCACATGGTCACCATCTTGGTTGTGACCCTTCTCACCTAGACTGTCAGGACAGCTTCCTAATCAACAGATAAATTGTTATCACTGAAATAGCAATCTGATCATGTCACACCTCCACTCCAAACCTTTCAGTGGCTCCTTGCTCTCTCTCAAAAAAAAAAAAGAAATCCTCGGTCTTGCATTTTAAGGCCCATCATAGTCTGGCTCCCCGCATCTTTGCAGCATAATTTTACGTTCCTCTCCTTCAACCACCCTGGATCCCATTCAAAGTAGACTAGCAGCCGTTCCTTAAACGTTATGCTCCTCTGTTGCCTCGAAGCACTCATCCAAGTAGACCTCCATATTTGAATTATATTCCTGCTTCAATTTGACCTCTCAGAGACCTTTTCTGACTTTAGTCCTGAGCTGAAGTGTCGCCTTTCTGAAGGCTCACTTCATTTCTCTGCCTCCCACCCCCTTGTCAGAGCTCTCGCCTAACATTATGTTGAATTTACTTATCCATATTCTTGATGTCATTGCCTCACCCCACTTTAGTTCTGGCCTTAAGATGTAGAATGAGGGCAGAAACTATTTCTTTTGTCTTTGGGTCTACAGTATTTTGTACATAGTAGGCACTGCTAGGCCAGTGCTTGGATAACAAGTACCTTTACAGCTTGCAATCAGGCCCATTGGTGTGAAGTCTCGAGGACTCTCAGTGCCTTGCTTCCTTAGCATATGGTCATCTTGACACCAAAAGAGAAATCTGAGTGCCGTTGTACTGTCAGAATGAGAGCTGTCCTTCTTAAGAGTATTTTAGTGACCTCCAATACCATATTGCTTAAATGTTAGAAAAATTTTGATAGAACCAAAAACAGCCAGTATTAGCTAGGCATATATTAAGGATGTCTACCAAAATGTAATGAAAGTTAAATCCTGGATAAGGGGAGAGTTTAGGACCAAACAAATTTTATAGCTCATTACAAAATGTAAAACAGACCATTTTGGTTATGTAAAATTAAAAAGGTTTTGCAAAACAAAACTAATGCAACCAAAGTTAGAAGGAAAGCAGAAAACTGAGGGAAATTTTTTGCAGCAGTTATCTCTGATAAAGACCTCATTTCTCAAATATAGAGAGAATTGAGTCAAATTTTTAAGAGTCCAAGTTATTCCCCAATTGATAAATGGTTAAAGGATGTGGACAGGCAGTTTTAAAAGAAATCATAGCTATCTAAAGTCACATAAAAAATGCTCTAAATCACTACTAATTAGAGAAATGCAAATTAAAACAACTCTGAGGTACCATCTCACACCTATCAGAATGACTAGTACAGTAGGGGGGAACCTGTGGCCCCTTAGGTCCTCAGGTATGGCCCTCTGACCGAATCCAAACTTCACAGAACGATTTGGGCTAGTATGACAGAAAAGGAAAATGATAAATGTAGGAGAGAGTGTGGGAAAACTGGGAAGCTAATGCACTATTGGCTCAGTTGATCCAACTATTGGTGTGAACTCAGTGAAGCATTCTGGAGAGCAATTTGGAACTGTGCCCGAAGGGCAGTCAAACTGTACATACCTTTTGATCCAGCAATACCACTGATAGGTCTGTATCCCAAAGAGATTTTTTAGAAAGGGAAAAAGGACCTATTTGTACAAAAATATTTATAGCAGCTCTTTTTGTGGTAGCTCAGAACTGAAATCAAGGGATCCATCAATTGGGGAATGGCTCAACAAGTTGTGTTATGTAGTTGTGATGCAATACTACTGTGCTATAAGAAATGACAAGCAGGATGATTTCAGAAAAACCTGGAAAGACCTACGTGACCTGATATCAGCATAGTGAAGTGAGCAGAAGCAGGAGAACACGGTACACAGTAACAGCAGTATAGTATGATAAAGAACTGTGAATGACTTAGCTGTTCTCAGCAATATAATAATCTAAGACAATCCCGAGGGACTCATGATGAAGCCTACTATCCACCTCCAGAGAGAGAAGTGATATTGTCTGATATTCTTTCCTTCATTTCTTCCTTCATTCCTTTCATCTTCTTGTACAAAATGACTAACATGGAAATGTTTTGCTTGATTGTACATGTATAACCTATATCTGATTGCTCACTGTCTCAGGGAGGAGGGATAGAAGTTGGAACTCAAAACTTAAAAAAAAAAAAGTTAAAAAATTGTTTCAGGGGCAGCTAGGTGGCGCAGTGGGTAGAGTGCCAGCGAGGAGGACTTGAGTTCAAATGTGGCCTCAGACTAAACACTTGACACTTACTAGCTGTGTGACCCTGGGCAAGTCACTTAACCCCAATTGCCTAAACATTTTTTTAAAAATTGTCTTAACGTGGGGGAAGAATAAGATGTTCTTTTTTTTTTAAAGTTAAATCCTTTCAGTTTTATGAATTTCACAATTATGAGTCCATGTACCTCAGGGAAATCAGTAGTTCAGGGACTGAAGCCCTGTATGTAGAATGAGAAAAAGCAATCAATTTATAACTAAAGAAAGGGAAAAGAATTAAAACTAGTAATGATTTAAGTAAGCATTGGATTCAGTTATGAAGAAATAATGGCAATTCAAATAAGGACATTTTGCCCATTTAAATAAGGAAAATAACAGGCATGAAAGCACAAATTCAAGTTCTTTGATGTTTCTTTTGTTTCTGATTTTTCACTCATAGTCTTTTGTTGTCATTTCAGATTTGTTGGCCGCATACATGTTTACCAGGAGAGAAATGACCCTATTGTAAGGTAAAAGGATATATGTTATCTTAAGAATATTTGACCTACTTTAGTCTATGGGATTTTTTTTTTAATTATTCTTAACAAGAGATTTTTCTTGGTGAATAATTTTGTTGGGTCATTGTGAAAGGAGTATAGGATTTTCTGCAGGATTCCTTTTTGCTTTGTATTAGACTGTTATTCTAATTAATATATGGCCTCATTTTATGCTATGAAGCTTGAAGTGTGTAAGAGAAGTTATATGTCAATATTTGTCCGTGTTTAAAAAAAAAAGTACCTCTTCTGTATGGAAAAATCTAAAAGTAAATAACTTGCCAGATATGTATATGTGAAATTTTCTCTTCTGAATGTGTCTCCTGAGAAATCTACCTTAGGTTGCCAGATTTCTTGGTAGGAGCATAGTTCTAGGTAAAAAAGTATAATGCGGTGCCCTTCCATTAGAAATAACTATCTCATAATTTATTTTAAAGATATATCTTGAAATAGGAAATTGAAAGTTTCTTAATTTGGTGACCATCTTCCTGGAATAAGTAGATTAGTCCAGCTCTTAAAACTTAATGCAGGAAGAAACATTTATCTCTAGCTTACTTCCCAGATGTAATGGACTGCTGTGTACAAAGGGCATATCTGTAGGTTACACTAGATAAAAGAACATGAATAAGCTGTTGTCAGGTTATGAAAATAAGCACATTACATAAATCATAGCTGATGTTTTCATTTAAGAGTCTTAGGCAGTTAATTATAGATATATTGGACTGGCTGGTCCTATACATCCTGGGTTTGCAAAAAATAGCAATCTACTGAATATTTAGTATAATGATCACTAGATGATACTTTCTGAAGACCAGTTAAATGCTAGAGAGATAGTTATGTTGTCGTTGTTCTGCAAAGATTCATCTGCCATGTTTTTTGAGTCCACTTACTGCTTTTGCTTGTCTAGCCTTTATTTACAGTAGAAGAAAGAAATAGCTGAACTTCTGGGTATTTTGTTTGCACTTTATTTCAAGATCTTGGGAGTTGCTGCTAATGAAATAGTTGGCTTCTGAACTGAGGAAGTAAAGTAAACTCTTTTAAATCAGGTTTTAAAGTGTGTGACTGGGGGGTGGAGCCAAGATGGCAGAGTGAAAGCAGGAACTTGCTTGAGCTGTCCCCAAAACCCCTCCAAATACCTATAAAAATGGCTCTAAACAAATTCTAAGGCAGCTTAACCCACAAAAAGACAGAGTGAAACAGATTTCCAGCCCAAGACAACCCGGATGATTGATCAGAAAGGTATATCTCACCAGGCTGGGAGTGGAGCGCGGCACGGCGTGGGCATGCGGGCTGCAGCGAACCTGGAGCAGGCCTCAGAGGACTGAATCGCGGGCAGCTGTGGCATTTTCCAGACTCCTCAATCCACCAATGCCAAAGACAACTTAGAAGGAACTGAAAATTTACAGGTTCCTACAAGTATCTCTGAAAATAGCTGTATAAACCCCCGAAGCTTGGGACAGTACATTCTCCACATTGGAAGCAGACTCTTACCTTAACAAAGAGTTTAAAACTTGAGTTTAAAACTCAAGTAATTGGCCAGGATCATGAGCGCAAAAAAGAGTCAGACTATATTATCTTACTTTGGTGACAAAGAAGATCAAAATATACAACCAGAAGAAGACAACAAAGTCAGAGCTCCTACATCCAAAGCCTCCAAGAAAAATATGAATCAGTCCCAGGCCTTGGAAGAGCTCAAAAGGCATTTTGAGAAGCAAGTAAGAGAAGTAGAGGAAAAACTGGGAAGAGAAATGAGAGTGATGCAAGAAAATCATGAAAAACAAGTCAACAGCTTGCTAAAGGAGACCCAAAAAATAGCCTAACCCAAATGGCAAAAGAGGTCCAAAAAGTCAATGAGGAGAAGAATGCCCTAAAAAAGGAAAATTGGCCAAATGGAAAAGGAAGTCCAAAAGATTACTGAAGAAAATATTTCCTTAAAAATTAGAAGAGAGCCATTGGAAGCTAGTGACTTTATGAGAAATCAAGACACTGTAAAACAAATCCAAAAGAATGAAAAAATAGGAGAGAATGTGAAATATCTCATTGGAAAAACAACTGACCTGGAAAATAGATCCAGAAGAGAGAATTTAAAAGTTATTGGACTATCTGAAAGCCATGATCAAAAAAAGAGCCTAGACAATATCTTTCAAGAAATTATCAAGGAAAACTGCCCTGATATGATAGAACCAGAGGGCAAAATAGAAATTGAAAGAATCCACCAATTTCCTCTTGAAAGAGATCCCCAAAGGAAATATTGTAGCCAAATTCCAGAGTTCCCAGGTCAAGGAGAAAATATTACAAGGTGTCAGAAAGAAATAATTCAGGTACTGTGAAAACGCAATCAGGATAACACAAGATTTAGCAGCTTCTACATTAAAGGACCACAGGGCATGGAATATAATATTCCAGAGGACAAAGGAGATAGGATTACAACCAAGATTCACCTACCCAGCAAAAGTGAGTATAATCCTTCAGGGGAAAAAATGGTCATTCAGTGAAATAGAGGACTTTCAAGCATTCTTGATGAAAAGACCAGAGCTGAATAGAAAATTTGACTTTCAAGTACAAGACTCAAGGGGAACATGAAGAGGTAAACAGGAAAGAGAGATCATAAGAGACTTATTAAGATTGAACTGTTTACATTCTTGCATGGAAAGATGATATTTATAACTCATGAGACCTTTGTCAGTATTAGGGCAGTTGGAGGAAAAAAATTATATGTATGTGTAGGTAGGTAGGTAGATCTCATGAGACCTTTGTCAGTATTAGGGTAGTTAGAGGAAAAAAATTATATGTATGTATAGGTAGATAGGTAGGTAGATAGATAGATAGATAGATAGATAGATAGATAGATAGATAGATAGATAGATAGAGGGCACAGGGTGAGTTGAAGATTAAGGGGTCATATCTGGAGGATAAAATTAAGGGATGAGAGAGGATTATATTTGGAGAAGAAGAAAGGGAGAGGTAGAATGGGGTAAATTATCTCACAAAAAAAACCAGAAAAGAAAATGCTCTTACAGTGGAGGGGAAATGGGGGAAGGTGAGAGGGAATGAGTGAATCTTATTCTCATAGGATTTGGCTTAAGGAGGGAATAACATACACATCCAATTGGGTAAGGAAATCTGTCTTACCCTATGGGAAAATAGGGGGAGAAGGGGACAAGAGAGCAAGGGGATGATAGAGAGGAGGGCAGATTGGGAAAGGGGGTAAACAGAATCTGTAAATACTTCTGAGGAGGGACAGGGTCAAAAGAAAGAATAGAATAAATGGGAGGGCAGGATAGGATTAAGGGAAATAGAGTCAGTTTTTCACAACATGTCTGCTATAGAAGTGTTTTTGCATAACTGCACGTGTATAACCTATATTGAGTTGCTTGCCTTTTCAATGAGGGTGGGTGGGGAGGGAGGAAGGGAGAAAATTTGGAACCCAAAGTTTTAAAAACACATGTTTAAAAAAAATGTTTTCACATACAACTGGGAAATAAGAAATACAGGAAATGGGGTACAGAAATCTATCCTGCCCTACAGGAAAATAGAAGGGGAAGGGGATAAGAGAAGGGGGGTGAGAGACAGAAGAGAGGGCAGACTAGGGGAAGGGGTATTCAGAATGCATGCCATCTTGGGGTGGGGGAAGGGGTGAGATGGGGTGCAAATTTGGAACTCAGAAATCTTGTGGAAGTAAATATTGAAAACTGAAAATAAATAAATTTATGAAAAAATGAAGGGTGCGATTGGACATGAAACCAGCTTGTTTGAGAAAAATATCCTCATTCAATCAAGATACAAATTACTGTTAACCTGATATGAGACGACATTATAACTTAAATATTTTCAAGTATCAGTGAAAGTGAGCTGAATGGAAAGTTATTAGCCAAAAAAAAAAAGGATCCCCAGCCTTTGAAATTAGGTTTTGTTTTCTTTTTTTTTTTAAAGGAAAGCCACTTGTACATTTAAAAATCTGCATTCTTGTTATGATTCTCCATCAACAGTTTAATAAATGCTTTTCAGAAAACATAAAGCCATTGCCTAGTGAATTTATAAAATTGTATTATTCCTAAGGTAAACTCCAAGGTGAATTCTTTTATTTTGTCGAAGTAATTTGTGTGTGACTGAGTAAATAGATTTAGGTCTATTCATATCACCAGAGGGATGAAATTAAATGATATGTTTTTTTGCGGAAGTAAACAGAGCTTTCTATGCCATCATTTAAAATTTGTTTGTTGTCTAGCAGTCACTGAAAGGAAATTACAAAAATAGAACTAGAGTCTGATCCACCTTTTTTCAAATATCCTTATTATTTCAATGTCTGTTAATGTTTGAGTTTTTAAAGTGATTTGTTTTATTTAGTGGTACTAAAAGGTCTATACCTGTTTTAAAAAAAATTGTTACTTTCCAGATTCATAACTTCTGCACCCAAAGAGATAGGTACCATTCCTCTACCTCCTTTTCCCTACGAGAAGCAAAAATAAGGAGCTAACTGAAACGAGGTACTCCTGGTTAGAAGCGAAGAATGATTTTTCCCCCCTCAAATACATCATGTTTTTAAAATGTCACCTTTTCCCCATATTTTTCAGAAATATCTTTCTGTCACACTCTGTTTTATGACTGGTTTTAGCAGAAATTATTCTGAATGTGTTGCTAATATAGTTTGACATTGCTTGTATCACTAAATCACTAAATGACAAATATCTAGCCTGAGAGGCTGTGTTTTTAATGATTGTTGGGAAGACAACTGGAGGTTAAAACTTGCCTTATAGCCCCAGAAAAAACATGTCACTTATTATATGTATTCCAGAGAATCTCTCCTGTGGTGATCAATGCCCTGGGCTCAGTCCTGTCTAGTTCTTGAACCAAGAAACCTCACCTTAAAGGATTGTTTTAGGTTCACATAAACAAAACATTTTGACTTCACAACTCCACAGTTCCCTCTCTACTAGTTACCTGTGGTAGTAGAGGGACTTTCATCATAGATTAAATTATGTTACCTTAAATACATCCTGCGTCTCCAGCTTCCTTTTGTATGTTGTGTTTTTCCATTAGATTGTAAACTCCTTGAAGGCAGGAACTATCTCTTTTTTATTTGTTTCCCCAGTGCTTAGCACTGTGCCTGACACGTAGGAGGTGCTTAAAATATGTTAATTGAATTGAATTAAATGAACTATAATCTCAAAACTTAATTTTAGTTTTATGTTTTTAAACTTATCAAACCTTTTCAAATAACAGTTATTCTAATGGATAGATTTGAAAATCAACTCTTACTTCTTCAGTTTACCATGTAATAAAAAAGGTAATAATCAAATGGAAAGAAAAAATTCTACTATTCCAGCACTATTCCAGGAACTGTGTTAGATTATGAGGAATATAGATAAAAATGTATCTGACATGGTACCTGCCCAATAAGAACCTGTAGGGTATTTGGAGGAGCCAGACAACTTAAAAGAATAACTAACCATACCAGTTTATTGCACCTAAGTCTTTAATTAGTTCTGTTAGGCACCAATGTGAGATGAATAAGGATTATAGGGAATTGTTAGCTGTATAAAGAATCAGAAGCTGAAAGATACCATTTGAGTTTCTTGACTTTATAGTAGTGTTTGTTTATGATATCTAATATACTGTCAATCATAAAATGATGTTAATTGTAACAGCCATTTTTTTATCCAAGGTATGCCTTTTAAAGGTATTAGATAAGTGGTATGAGTTAATACCCTAGGAATTCAGAAGAGGGAGGGATAAATGTGGGTCTGGGAAGGATACCTGGAAAAAGTTGAGCTTAAGCTGGGTTTGAAAGATAAGCTAGATTTACATAGAGGGGAGGAGTGTATACTCAGTCACAACAATGAAATGAGCAGCGCGAGGCAGCTAGGTGACGCAGTGGATAGAGCACCAGCCCTGGAGTCAGAAGGACCTAAGTTCAAATCTAGTCTCAGATCAGACACTTGACACTAGCTGTGTGACCCTGGGCAAGTCACTTAACCCCAATTGCCTCACCCCCCCCAAAAAAAAGAGCAATGAAATATCTAATATTTCCTGAAGTTATGATCTATAAATAGTATCATCCAACTTTAACGCAATTAGTTATACTTTTTACCTAGTCTCAAAATCTGTTTCACCTGGATCATCCTCCCAGAATCACTAGGGGATGCCCATCTGGTGGTCTTTTGGTATTGGTCTCCATTTGCAGTCACTGTGATAAAGAGGACATTCCCTCCCACCCTTCATCCCTCACCCCACCAAAATTTAACTTGTGCTTATTTTGCATATGTGTTGTCATAGTGGGTAAAGAGCTAACTTCCAAGTCAGGAAGACCTGGGTTCAAGTCCCACTTCTAGCATGTATTGGCTTTATTGTCCTGGGCAAATCACAACCCCTTAGTACTCTAGGTGACTCTCGAAGTCTACATTGTAAAGAAACTGCCAGTTTTGTTGATCGGATCAGTTTCCTCATCCAAGAGTTAACTATGCCAGTGAAATCGAGGATCTCCTTCTCCCCTTCTTTGTGTACGTATGTGTGTTGTCTCTCATTGGTATCCTCAGAATCTGACACAGTGACTGGTATATGGTAAGCAATTAACAAATGCTTCTTAATTGAGCATTGATTGACCCAAGTTTTCACCATAAGTATTTGAAGCAAAACCCTAGAGGAAAAATAAGTGTGAAATAAGTATGTTCAACTGGCTATATATGTAGGATGTTGATAAACAGTTAATTGCTTCCACATTTCGACTTTTCCCATCATGGTTTCAGTTTATTTCAGATTCACATAAGGAATTAAATGGAAACTTTGGGGGAGTTTTGCAGAAGCTGTAGATGCATAAAGACCAACAGACAACACGGAAAAAATTTAGAAAGTCAGAAATGCATAAAATAGATGTATTGTGTAATATCAACCCAATTTTTACAATAAAGTACTTTTCTCTAAAAGAGAAAAAAAATTCAGGCTTTTTGTTTGGTATGAAGGGAGGACCAAAAATTTTACCTAGATTTTCCAGATTATGGGGGTACTGTGTCCCCAACTCCTATGATGTGAAAGGAATAACTGTATACTTAAAAGTGAAAATAAATAAACCTCATATACCAACCTTAAGTCTTTTCAAACTGGGTCTCCTGCAGTGTCAGACACATCCTAGAGGCAAGAAAGATTATTAGGGCAGGGTAGTGTATTTATAATCCTACATACAGTTAAAGAGAATTTAATTTTACGGGGAAACTGGACCTATTTTTATCAGCTGAACCGAATGTCTCCATAGAAACACCCCGACCCCCTCATTAAAGTCAAGGCCTATCATTAAAAAAATCAATAATTTTCCTTTCTGTGTCTTGTCCTTTTCCACCAACTTTATCTTTATAAGCACTTAACATGTCCAATAATCCTTATCTTTGCAGGTCGTTAGGATCAGAAAACCTGCTTCTTAGGGGAGCCTCTCTAAAGAACACTGAAAAAATCTTTGGTAACTATTTTAATTATTGAATTATTAATAATGGCTTCTAAAATTAATAAGGATACATTAAGTAAAGTTAGAAATCTATAATGGCACTATAAGAGCATTATTTTTTTACTTTGATGTACTGTAGCCTTCACTACTATGATAATTATACTTTAGTAAGAAAATTGCTATTGATATATAAACCACAACAGATCCAGCCGTGGAGCTGATATGATTGTTTGCAGATTAAGTGCCTGTATTCTTAGAATCAGAAGAGCAAGATTGTATCCATGCAAGAATTCAGTCAATAAAAATCTGCAAGAAATTCATTCTAATATTTAGAAAACAGCTGCAGTTCCTTGACCAATCTGCTTAGCTTCTTGGGGCATATTTTCTTGTTTCCTATTTTTTAATTAAGTGTTTCATAAAATATATTGTAATCAAGTACAATATATTTTAAAATCTAATTTTACTGAACATATTATAGATTATTTGGATTTTAAGAAGGAGAAGGGAGGAGGGGATTTCTTTATCTTAAAGTAATCCTGTGTGACTTTATTTGGTTTAATTTTTTAAGCTGATCTTATGAAATAAAAATGATTACAAAATTTCAGTTCTTATGAATAGTAATAGTAATAGTAAGTAATAGAGCTACTGTTTTAGTGAGGCATGTTTACATCTTTGATAAAATACTAATCTTTTTTAGGTGTGGCTATATATACTGGCATGGAAACTAAGATGGCATTAAATTACCAGTCAAAGTCACAGAAACGATCTGTTGTAGAAAAGTAAGTCTTGTTGCTTCTAGAATATTAATGTCAGCATTTATGTAACACTTAGTACATGCCAGGCATTGTCCTAAGTGCTTTACAAATATTATCTCATATGATCCTCACGACAACCCTGGGAGGTAGGTGTGCTATTATTATCCCCATTTACAGATGAGGAAACTTACGGCCAATGGAGGTTAAGTGACTTGCCACAGAGTCACCCAGCCAATAAGTATCCGAGCCCTTCCTGACCCCAGGCCCTGTGCACTGTCTACTGTACCACCTAGCTGCCCCTCAGTAATGCTTATAGTGCATGGAAGTGATATAAATGATTCAAGAGATACAGTAGCATAAGCACATGTGTGTGTAGTGCCATATGAAATATATCTCCTATGATGAAGGTTTATTTTTTGTTTGTTTGTTTTTTTAGGCAAACCATTGTCATTGACTAATTTCTTTACGAAATAAAATTTGTCTTAAATCCAGAAAGAAAATTACCAGAAAACTTCTTTTCTTTTTTGCACCTTTTCGAAGGATGTAGATGTTCTTTATCCTATTAACTAGTTGTAATTAGAACATAGAGTCTATGTGGTATAATGGAAATAATATTAGCTGCAGAGTCAGAGGCCCAAGGTTTAAATGCTGGCTCCACTATTTAGCTACCTGTGCACCCTTTACTTTTGTGAAGGAAGGGGAAGGAATTAGTTCCTCAATTTCTCATCAATAGATAATCTATGTTACTTCTAAGATCTCTTTTGGGTTCACTGGTTATCAGTGTATCAATAAGTCACTTATAACACTGTATTTTTAAAAGACCTGTAAAGCATATTTTGTCTGCATGATTGACCTTTAAAAGCGATCGTCTGATTTCTTCTTGACTATTACATCAAAAGTGAAATCTGAGATTTTGTTCTTTATAAACAAGGATGCTTTGTCTCCCAGAGGTCTACACATGACAAATTTGTTTCAGAAATAGATATTGGAAAATCAGATTTCCTTTCAGAAGAACTGTTAAGATTTTGGTTCTTCTTCAGTATTTCCTCTCAAATGAGAGCATTTCCCAGCATAGTATATACTATTTTCAGCCTTTGTGGTGATATTGTGGGTGAAATTGCTGGATCTTGAACTCATTACTTGACCACTTAATGTTAGGAGAAATTGATTTTTTAAAGGTTCTCTTAACTTGCCGGATTTTTGAATCACAAATGTTCACTTTAGGTTATGAGTAAGTGAACAGTTATTTGAAACTTAATGAATGTTACTCAGTTTGGCTATATGTGGGTTACCTCCATGATATACAAGGTCCTGCCCTTCTCTTATATGCCAAAAGTCAGAGTGCTTAGTGATAGCGATAAATTTGTGTCTTCATTCATGCTTTGTAAAAGTCAGCAAAAGATGAGAAACCTTACTGAAGTTATTTGTGTATTTTATTTTACCATTTGTATATTTGTAGGATAGGAAATTTTGTGATTTCCGCAGGAACTAATTTACTATTACTGCTTTTTTATTTTAGATCAATGAATGTATTCCTTGTCGTGTACCTCTGCATCCTAATCAGTAAAGCACTGATAAATACTGTCCTGAAATATGTGTGGCAGAGTGAGCCATTTCGAGACGAGCCGTGGTTTAATCAGAAGACAGAAGCAGAGAGACAGAGGAACCTGGTATGGAAAATTTCACCTGAAATATGTTACTCTTTTTGTAATGTTCAGAGGTGATTTGCACAACATTTTTATTAAATGTGGAACCAAATGAATCCCAACCCTTGAAAGAACTGTGTAAATTAGAGCTTCTCACTGTAGTAGCCATTGGGATGGAAGATCTTTATGCATTTGAGACATATTAGAACAAGAAGACTTGATCATTTTCTCCCACCCATTTCATTTCTTACATGTGATGGCAAATGCATCTCCAGATGAGAGGATCTGTGGTAACTTAGCATCCATACTAGAGAAGAGGAAAAGGAAAAAGCCATCACGCTAGACTTCTGTGCCTAAAGAGATTTATTTGAAAAAATAGTCTTTATGGCTCACTGGAGAGAGGAGTAGGGTGTTGAGTTCCTCCAAATCTGCATCCAGATGGGTGGCAGTTTCCTGAAAAATAGCTTCCCAGTTTTCCATTTTGGATAGGACAAGTTCCATCTGTGACATGTTAGAGATGCTGCCTTCTCTTCAAGCATTCAGGACAATGGCAGGAGGAGACCAAGATGTTATTTCTCACCTACACTTCTAAATGTATGTTTTGAGATCTTTGAATACAGTAATTGGTTGAGGGGGCTGAGACTATAGGATTAGAATGTCTCCTCACTTACTTGAGGTCAGCTGATAAGAGGGATGTAGAGGATCTTATCTATGATTCCAAGTGCTATGGGGCTGTTTAGGCTCAGAAATACATTTATCCACAATTATACTTAGGGAAACAGAAGGAGTTTGGTTTGGTTTCAAGATTGAAAACAAGAAGTAGTTAAAACTACAAAGGTTATACAGGATTGCAGCCAATTCTAAATTGTGTGGTAAATGTCAGAAGGATGGCCTTCAGTTGTTTTCTCTAGTGCAGATCAAGGGCCCTCTGATTGAAGTGCTTGTGTTTTTGTTTTTGTTTTCTTTCCCCTTGGGATTCTGCATAGGAATGCGAACTCAGATTCTGCTGGGGAAGAGTTTCCAATACACAAAGATTCTAACAAAGGGAGAAAGGTCTTTTTAAAAATTAACATAGCTGTGTATAACAGTGTGTGTGTGTGTGTGTGTGTGTGTGTGTCTATACACACATATACATACACTTCAGCAAATGATATCAGTTAATTTACTTATATTCCTCAAAAGAAAGACAGAACTTAGAATTCAAAAATTCCAAGCAAACATAGCCTTATAGACATCATTACGTGACAGGTTTAGAACTGGACCTCTTAGAGGCCATGGAATTTACCTCCTTCCCTCTTATTTTGCACCTGAGAAACTGAAGACCTACAGAGGTTAAAGTGACAGAGCTTAGCTTCCAGCCTGTGTCCACTTACTCCAGATCCAACAGTCTTTCTTCTCTACCACACTGCCTCTCAGTCATGGGAAAGGTCATAGAAACTCCAGACTGGACATCATGTAATGTATCATGGCAGTTCTAGTTTTCTGGGCCCTACAACAGTGTGGTGGGGGAAATGTTTTAAATGGATCAGTATTAGCAAATTCACTCCTCCGATTCTAGCCCCTCAGCTACTCTTGCTATGCTGATAGGGATCATGTCTTAGACCCTCTTTCTTGGGACAATGCAGGCAGGAGATAAGTGTATCCTGCTGATTATGATTCATGGTGAAATAAGTGATGTTACTTTATGGTGTGTTAGTGCAGCTAAGAATGATAGGGAAGTGTTCTAGGGAAGGCTAATTATGAGGAAAGATTCTGAGACTTGGCTCTTTTTTTTTTTTAATTTTTGGTGAGGCAATTGAGGTTAAGTGACTTACCCAGAGTCACACAGCTAGTTAGTGTTACGTGTCTGAGGCCAAACTTGAACTCAGGTCCTCCTCATTCCAGGGCTGGTGCTCTATCCACTGAGCCACCTAGCTGCCACCTACCTGTCTCTCTTGTCCTTAGGAAAAACTTAGTCTTTCTTGGGATTTCCTCAAACTATAACTGCAAGACAGACATATGTTTGAAATATCAGAGCCTTGTGAACTGGATATATAAAAATCTTAGGGATATGGAGATGCCTTGTAACACTTAGTAAAGAAGCATGACTGGGAAGTTTGAGGCTTAGCTAGTTCTGTTTGTAAAAGCTTGTACACTGCTCCCCAGCATGCAAATATTTCTTAATAATTCCCTAAGAAATAAAAACATAAGTTTTTACTGATGTCTTCTGGTTTTTTACATCACCATTATTTTCCCTCTTCTCTCCTCTCTCCCTCTCCCAGATTGCTATCTAATTCCCTGTCTTTTGAAGTAGCTGGAAATAAAATACCATTTTAAGCAAAGATGCATTCACATATTCAGCATTTTGTGCTTTGTGCTGTCTTGTTACCAAAGAGATTCTGAATTTCCTATCCTTTAATAAATATGACCACATTCAAAGAAAAGACTCAAGTGTTTAGAATATAAATCTTGCTAATTGGGTCTGTGTTCAATTGGGATTGTTTTTTCTTCTGACAATTTAAGTTCTTGAATATATAACTCCAACCTTTCCCCCACTGGTTGCTGTTCTGTAAAGCATGCATATAGATCTACCCTTGTCTCTTTGTTAGTGAGGAGTAGGGGAAGTTGGGAAACAGATAATACAAACCTAGAGCTGCTGCTATCAAGGAATTCTCCTTGTCCTATGATCCTCCCTCATCCTGGGGTTTCAAAAACACTTTTTTTCCCCAAGAATGTCTTTACTATCTGTGCCTAATAGTAAGAGATCCAAATGGCCAGCCTTCCTCTCTCTCTCTCTCTTTCCCACATACTAATTGGATGAAGAAGGTGAAGTCTGTGAGTTATTAACAAGCATTCAGACTAAGAGGCTGAACAATAGAAGTGAAGAGAAGGTAGCTGGGGGCAGATTTGAATAACTGAACATGCCTGAAGATTAAACTTAAGAGAAATGTGTACGTGTGTCTTTATCGTAAAATTAGAGAGCTTACAAAGACATCAATAAAATCTGTATTTATTCTTTACTCTTTTTGCAGTTTCTCAAAGCTTTCACAGACTTCCTGGCTTTCATGGTACTTTTTAACTACATTATTCCAGTGTCAATGTATGTCACAGTTGAAATGCAGAAATTTCTTGGCTCCTATTTTATCACCTGGGATGAAGATATGTTTGATGAAGAAACTGGTGAAGGACCTGTAGTTAACACTTCCGACCTAAATGAAGAATTGGGACAGGTAGGTCAAGCAGTAAGCTTAGAACTATGTCAACTGAATGTTTCCTGCTATTTGAATGAATGTGTGTAAAACATCTAAAGAATTCAGTCTTTTTCATTTCCAGTTTCACTTTACATATGTGACATCATTTAGATATATCCTGTAGCTGATGAAAGATCAGAAATAGCCATTTGAAAAGGTGATTATTAGCAGATAAGAAAAAAGACAATTTTTTCATGTTTGTAATTTGAAAAAAAGTTTTGGTGGCTGATTTATAGAACATTGAGCTGTGGTCCTTGTGAAGCATCATTATTTCTTGGCTGTAAGAGTATGAAGGAGAAGAAGAACTTAGGAAGAAACTTGCCTTCCTTCAGAATGCTTACACATTTTGCTTATTCCAGTGTAAATAATTATCTTAAGAGCTTTGGATCCTTCCGAGGACTAGCTCTGAGGCCTCCCAGCAGCCCTCACTGTGTCAGGCCTCTCAGGCATTTGGGTTACAGCAGAGATTATCTCTAGGGGAAGATAACATTTGTTATTCATTTCTTTCCAGGAAGAAGTTCTGAGATATATTTTTTACAAAGAAAAAAAGAGACCTTTAAGATTATTTGCTAGTTTTCTTCCACTCAAAAGAAGTGATGCCTGAGAAAGTGTCTTTCTCCTGAGTTCAAGATAACTTGCTTTGATCATTAAGAGCCTTAACTTTTGACCAGGATAATCTTTAAATCCTATTATGTTGCCCTGTTTTCTATGTGCTTTGTTCTAGTTAACATTTCTATTCAGTATGTTTTTAATACCTTTGTAATAATTTTTTTTGTTTCCAATATGTGCTACCGTATGGTCTTTGAAAAATAGGTACACAGTGATCCCATGTATAGTGCGTTGGAGAAATTCACAAAGAGGAAAAACATTTGTCAAACTTTTCAGTAATAAAGGTTTCCAAGTTCCACTTATTTATAGCAGTTTTCTACATAAATAAATAAATTTTTGCTCGCGTAAGTAAGTTGGATTTCCTCGTCTTCCATATGGAGTTTATTGTAACAAGATCTTCCATTAAGAAGTGGCAGCTAAACTTTTGCTTTCAACTTTAATCCAGTACAAAAAGTATTAAGGGCCAACTATGCAAGGCAATTGGTAACCTTTGATGGGGTGACTAATATGCTGAGACTCTGGGGACCCAGGTCACGAAGACAAAAAAAGGGTGCCATCTTTCTAACTTAGTACAATGAGGTTAAAACGTTACAACTTGTTTTTCTGTACCAGCATGTGATTATTCTCCAGAACTAGAACTATATAAGCCCTCGAAACTGCAGTGCCCACCACAGCCTCTTCCTGGGTTAAGGTTTCCTGCCTTGGATTGAACACAGCTAAATTTAGCAAGCAAACCACCCATTGAGATAATAACTGTCTTTTGCTCTGAGACATGAGTGTGGGGAAAAAAATCACCAAGTAATTTCTTTCCCAGTGTTTGATCATTTACAAGATTTTTACATAATTAATAGCAATGGAGAAAACGATCATTTCTCTCTTAGTGGTTAAAGTTGTTGTTTTGAACTGCACCTAAAGTATCATTATGCTGTCACTTAGATACGAGGGTCCCTGCATGTTTAAACATGGCAGTTTAAATGATATGTCAGATTTCTCTTTATTTGCCCCGGTATGGGTCTGGCAATCCCTTGTAACATTGTGTGAAACACATTCATAGAATCCTGGGATGTCAGAGCTAGGTTAGAAGAGATGTTGGAGATCGTCTGGTCCAAAGCCCTCATTTTACAGATGAGGAAACTGATAGCATAAGAATTGCCAAACTTCCTCAGAATTGAAGTCACATGGTCACATGTTCTGCCCCTGACAGGCACACTGACAATCCTAATGTACGATGAGTTAGGGAAATTTCTCCCCCATCCAATTGATACCTCTTCCCCTCACCAAAGCCCCACCATAGTTTTGGGGCCTTCTCTTTTCCCATTGCATAGCCTTTTCCTAGGTGCTGTGTGCTTTTCGTGAGGCATGCTCCTAGCCTGACCCCATCCCCAATGTTCACAGACCTCTCTCTCTCCCAGTGCCGACCTGGGCTAGAAAATGACTCACTGTGACTTTTTCTTGAATTTTCCCATCTGTATTCAGTCTGATGTAGTCTCTAGATGTGGTTTTGTGGCCAAGCTGGGCTGGACAGCTTCCTGCTACTCCACTATCTCTGCCTGCCTGAGGCTTTCATTCTTTATAAATTTGAATCATATCTTCCCAGCTTCTCTCTGTCCAAAACAAAGCATTGTGATCTTTTTAGCCCATCTTCGTGTAACAACTGTTTTGTCCCCCTTTTTTTAATTAGTCTGGTGGAAGAAGTAGAATGGGTCTGTGGAACAAGCTTGGATTTTGCTTAGGCTGCAAGATAGCAGCATCCATTTTTTACCAACTTGAGGAAGATAAAAGCATTGACACTTTTTTTCCCCCAATTTTACCTCTTTCTAGGGAAATGCCGATTAATACTAGGCTTTAAGTCAAAGAAACATGTTTATTTTTTTTTCAGAAAGTTTAGACTATTGACAGTAGGTAGGTCACTGCTTTGGGAGGAAATGTTAGAAACCCACCATCACAAGAGCATATCAGTCTTAGGAAAAGCACACTTGCTATGGTCTCTCAAGAAGGTTAAATTTAATTCTAATCCTTGATTATTATGTTTGCTGTGTTCCACAGGTAGAATATATCTTCACAGATAAGACGGGAACATTGACAGAAAACAATATGGAATTCATAGAATGTTGCATTGAAGGCAATGTCTATGTGCCTCATGTCATTTGCAATGGGCAAATCCTCCCTGACTCTGGAGGCATTGACATGATTGACTCTTCTCCTGGAGTGAGTGGAAAGGTATGTTGAAATTTGGGCGGGAAAAATAAGCAAACAAATAGGCTTTCTTTATTAGAAAAATGAGTGTTAGTATTTCAATGGTAAGATAAAATCTTTCTTGGTGAAGTCCAAATGTTGAATAGGAGGTCCAGCCTCTGGAAGTGTGCTATTTCTTGCAAAAATCCCCTGCCTTATGTAAGCTATGTCTCAGCTTTTACCTTCTATGCTAAATAAGAGGGGAAAGTCCATTGTGGGAATTTATTGCCTGAAATTCTCAGATACTGTAGTCACTGAAAATATTTTACTTAAAATTAAATAGCTAATATTTCACAGTGGCTGTGAACAAAATAAGTAGAAGTAGGAGGATTTGATTTGGGGTGACTGCTTTCCTCTCTTTCTATTTACTGTCAACAAAGATGAGCACCTGGAATGATAGAAATGAGGGGTAAGCTCCTGGATGTCTGTGGTAAGTGAGGTTCTTTAAAAATGGAAAGGAGATGACAAAAGGCTATATTGAAAGAAAAATAGCTGTTGAAGCATAATTCTTCCACATCCCAGTGACACGCAGGGGGAAGATTATACACCTTCCACGGTCTTTGGCAGAATTAGAAAAACATCTCCCAAAGAACCTTCTTACAAAGACTGCTGACCTTGGTTTCTGAGCCAGTTCAGACAAGGACGGTGAAGTCAGTCAATCAACAGGGCAGTGTTTTAAGCTCTTAGTATGTGCTAAGCACTGTATTGAGTTGTGAGTTGAAGGAAAAAAGCAAAAATAGTCATGGCTCTCCTGGAGCTGTTCTAATGGAGGAGAGACCATGTCTATAAATAGACACATGCAAGTTCTGTGCAGGGTATAAGATGGAAAGTAACCTCGGGAGGGAAAACAGTTGGGGGGTTGGGGGTGGGGTCAGGAAAGACCTCCCACAGAAGGGATCTGAGTCTGGAAAGAGGCCAGAGATCCTGTGAAGCTAACTTCCTTTTAACTAGTCTGTTATGCTGTCCTCTCATTAGTAAAAGGAACATGATTCAATATCAAAAAATACTTATGTTCACCACATTTTAGTATTGGAAGCTGCAATTCTGCTGCAAAAATTCAACAATTGGAGAGAAATAAAGCATTATATGATTTTGACATGAATATAGTGATAGCATACCAGAGCTTCACAATACTTTGACCTATCTCAGCATCTGTTTTGAGCCAGACTCATCTTAAACTCTACCCATCTATCTGACCACACCTGTGTCTCCTTTCCTGGATCTTTATCATCCATGTCATGCCCGCTAACGGGGTGGAGGGTGTCTCCCAGAGGCTCTGTCTTCGGCTACCATCTCTTCTACCACTATCCTATTTGACTTGGTGAGCTGATGGTTCCATTTATCCTGTCTATGCAGATGATTCTCAGATGTCCTTATCTAGATCTACCCTCTCCTGACCTCCAGTCTCAAATCTCTGATTACCTATTGACATCTCAGACTGGGTATGCCTTAGACATCTTAACCTCAACATGTCCAAAACGGACCTTCTTATCTTTCTGCCAAAACCCTCCCCTCTTCCTTACTTGGCCAATACTGGCGAGGGTATCGCATTCTTCTAGAAACCCAGGTTTGCAACCCCGGTGTCATCTTTGGCACTTCAGTCATCCACCCCCCTGTGCATTCAGTGTTCTAATCCTGTTGTTCCCATTTTTGTAAGAGCTCTCATACAATCCTCCTTTTCCCCTCTGACACTGCATCATCCTGGTATGGGCACTTATTATTACCTCATGCTTGGATTACTTCACTAGCCTCCTGGTGGTTCTCTCCACTCCAGTCCATCCTCCCCTCAGCTGTCAGACTGACCATCCTGAAAGCACAGGTCTGATCCTATCACACCTCTGTTCAACTCCAGTGGCTCCATGTTGATTGCAGGATGAAATAAAAATCCTTTGTTTGACTTTTAAAGCTCATGGTAACCTGGCCCCTTTGTGCCTTTGCAATTGTCTTAGACCTTCCTTCCTTCCGTGTATTTTGTGGTTCAGTAGTACTGGCCTCCTTGGTGTTCCTCACACGCAATACTCCATCTCCCAACCGTAAGCATTTTCACCAGGTGTCCTTCATCCCTGGAATGTTCTCCTTTATCTCGATCTCTTAGCTTTCCTGTCTTGCACCAAGTCTCAACTAAATCCCATCTTCTGAAAGAAGTCTTTCCCGGGCTTCCTTCAACTTGCCACCTTCCCTCTAAGACTGCACCCTATTTAGCATGTCTATATCTTGTTTGTACATAGCTGTCTGCATGTTGTCTCTCCCATTAGTAGACTGGGAGCTTCTTGAGAGCAGACCTTTTTTTGCCTTTCTTTGTATCCCCATCACATAGGTGCTCAATAAGTGCTAGTTGTCCTACTGAACAAGTTAATTTAGTATAGTATAATAAAGAATAATAATGACTTTGAAGATAGAGGACTTGGGTTCAAATCCTGCCCCTGTTACTGCCTTATGACCTTCAGCAAGTCAGTGAAACACTCTGGGCCTCAGTTTCCTCAGAGGTGAGCTAGATGACCTCTGAGGTCCCTTGTAGCCCTGAATCTATGATCCTCTCATTGTTAATGGAAGAACATCATTACCACACTGCTTCCCTTGTAATGCTAACCTGCAGTATGGGCGATGTTCTGGCAGGACTTCATATTATATTATTGTAATATTGTAGGTTAACAGACGTGTGCTGAAATTCCTTAGAGACTCTTGAAACAGTTTTTCTTAATTCATCCTTACTCTTTTTAGTCACTCTCCCTTTTATATATAAGCACTCTTAAAGACATGCATCTTCATTTTTGGAAAATATGAGAGAGAAATTCTTATTTCACCGAAGTTCTAGGATTTTTTGTCTTTAAATTTCCAATGATCTTATGTGTTATATATCCTTCATTTCACAATCTATGATCTGTCTCTTCTTTATCCCAGAGAGCCATCCTTCATAATAGGGAATAATAAAAAAAAAAAAAAGAAAAGAAAAAGAATTTAGCAGAACCAACCAAAATGGCAATCAAGTCTAACATTATATTCAGTTTTCTGCACCCAAAGTTCTATAATTGTTTATCTCCATACACATGATTCTTAAGATATATCTAAAAAAGAAAACAGCAAGCATAATTAAATTCCACTTTATAGCTATTAAAAACTAAACAGGAGTTTTGATGTTTATTGCTCCATAAATAATTGTCCCTTGTCCTTTGTTGCTTTTGGTTACCTTCTTTTGATTTTGAAGCTATCTGACCGTAGGTTTTTATTGTATTTTATTGTCTGTCTTATATTTTGATAGGAGAGAGAAGAGCTGTTTTTTCGGGCTCTCTGTCTTTGCCACACAGTTCAGGTGAAGGATGATGTCCTTGTAGATGGAGCCAAAAAATCACCTGATTCATCAAGATCTTGCATATATATTTCATCATCACCAGATGAAGTGGCATTAGTTGAAGGCATTCAAAGGTAAGTACAGTTGGCATTATTTTTGGATTTGAAAGTATAAGGATTTTATTGAAGGGATTTCTGCATTAGGTAAAATGTTACATTAGATGACCTCAGAGGTTCCATCCAACTTTTAAGATCCCAGAATTCTATATAAGATCCCAAGTTTGAGTGCATTCCTAAGTTATTGTGTGTAAGAAATGTTCTTCCATGGACTTCCATTATGATTTTGGAAATGGGTTCCAATGAAGAAAATTGCCCTCAGCGTCTAATAAGAATCTTACACTATTTCTTCAAGGGCGTTCCTTAAATGATACGCCCTTTGTCACTCTGAAGACTAGGTGTGTGTTTCCCACACAATCCCTACTAACTGAGCTAGAAGGAATTTTCTTTATTCTGAGGCAAAACCAATGTTTTTTAGTCATGTCCAACTCTTTGTGACCCTACTTTGGGGTTTTCTTGGTTTTCTTCTCCAGTTACTTTTTTTTTTTAACAGATGAGGAACTGAGGTAAACAGGGTTATGTGACTTGCCCAGGGTCACACAATACTGTCTGAAGCCAGATTTTAATTCACAAAGATGAGTCTTCCTGACTCCAAGCCTGTTACTCTATCTACTGCACCACCTACCTGCCTAAGTGAAACATTAGGTATGCAAATTGGATCAGTTGTTGGGATTTATTAAAAATATTAGAAATTTAAACTTAAAAATAAATGAACGTGCTCAAACAAGCTTTTTTGCTGAGGAAATAGATTCCCAGATGGGAAACTAAATATATTTCGGCCATGCATACTGGTGCCAGTCCAAAGAAAGAAGGGCAGCTAGGAGGTACAATGTATAGAACACTAGGTCTGGAGTCAAGAACATCTGTGTTCAAACCCAGGCTCAGACACTTACTAGCTGTGTGAGGGTAGGCAAGTCACTTTACCCTGCTTTCTTCAGTTTCCTCATCTGTAAAATGAGCTAGAGAAGGAAATGCAAACCACTCCAGTATCTTTGCCAAGAAAACCCCAAATGGAGTCACAGAGACTCAGACATGACCAAAACAATTGAACAAAATGAACAAAGAAAGGAGAGAGAGACCAGTCCAGTGATCTAGAGTGGAATGAGCATGGCTCTCGGAGCCAGGTTGTTGAGTCCTTCTCCTGACTCTACTGTTAACCAACCTTGTGACATGAGCCTCTTATAACATGAGGTTGGACTAAATGATCACTAAGGTCTCTACCACCTCTGACATTATATTCAAAAATAATTCAAGAACAAGGAAGAAAGAATTGTAATAAAAAGAGAGATAATCAGTCCAAAATGACCTGTGCTTGATTCAGCCACATCATCTTTACCACAGGAGATAAGGTGGTAAGAGCGTTACTAAAGGTTTTGTGTAATACTGGTGAATTTGGGGATGTGCTAAAGGGGAATAAGGAGTGGTTTCATATATCAAAACATTATGATGCAGGTTATAACCTCAATTTTTTCAAAATTCTTTCCATTTGAAAAGCAAACCTCCCCAGAGGTTTCATAATTCTCCCCAGAGAAAAGCAGAATTCATCTTCTCTTACTTACAAATCCTGAAGTCCTTCTATAATTCCTGAGTTTCTCCTTTTACTATTTATAGGCTTGGTTTCACATACCTAAGGCTGAAAGACAGTTACATGGAGCTATTAAATAGAGACAATGATATTGAGAGGTGAGTATACATTCAAATTAGAAGATGAACAAAGGGGTAAAAACAGATTTTTTTTAATAAGTCTGATAGCAGTTATTGAACTTCAACCAACAATTATTGAGCAACTACTTTATGCAAGGCATTGTCATAGATGGGGCAGGGTTCAAGGACCTTGCCCTCAAGGAATTTACATTCTTTGGGGGCATATGGCATGTACACAGATAATTAAATACAAAGCAGCGTAGGATAATTTCAGGAGGGAAAGAGGATTAACAACTGAAGGAATCAGTAAAGGTTTAATGTAGAAAGCAAGTCAGGGATTCCAAAGGGCAAAGGCGAGGAGAAAGTACAATCCAGACATAGGGGACTGTCTGTGCAAAGGCAGAAAATGGGCTGTCATCTGGAAGTAACCACTGCATAGCAAGCAGTTGAACTGGAATGGAAAGGCATGAGGAGGAGCAACGTGAAATTAGACTGGAAAGGTGTGTAAGAGTCAGGCTGTGAAGAGCCTGAAGTGCCAAGCTAAGGATTTTGTATTTTAAAGTATTAGAATTGCCATTGGAAACTTCACAGTTGGGCATGAGATGGTCAGATTTATGTTCTAGGAATAGTTAGAATCCTGCCCTATTCTAATTCCCATCCCTATCCCTCCTTTCTCCCCCAAACTCCCCACCACCAACACCACCAAAAAAAAGTTCTCTAAGTTTTCATTTAAGCATTGTAACAGTTTTATACAATTTGAGTACATGGGGGAGAGAGAACTATGGATGGAAGGCAGTGTCGTGTGCTGGAAAGAAGACACTAGATTTAGAGAAAAAGAACTGAGTTAGAACCTGAGCTCTGCCAGCTAAGGTGGGATCTTGGGCAAGTCAATGTGGGTTGGACTAGATGACTTGTAAAAACCCTTCTAACTCTAAAGAAGTTCTTAACCTTTTTTTTTTTGGCGGGGGGGGGAGATTATCTGTTTTGAGACCCCTTTGAAAGTCTAGACTACTCAGTGTTTTAAAATGCATAAAATAAAACATATGGATTACAAGGAAAACTAGCTGTTTGGAAAATGGTTAAGCCAATGGTAGAAACTCTGATTCTCTAAAGAAAGAAGGTATTGATTAATATAATTGCTATGAAACTGTGATTAGAGGTTCTGATTTTATGTTGATCTAGTCATTTTACAATGCTCCTAAAATTTTTAAAATACAACTTTTTAATGAAGGAAAGTGGTTTGGTGTTGTCTGGACTTCAGATTTCATCAATGTAGGCAGCCTCCCTGTGGAGAAACTCCCTCTATTGATGGATGTTGGCAACTGTATATAATGTAATCTTAGAGAGCTGCCTGAGGCAACTGTGAGTTTAAACGATTTGCTTGTAGTCACAGAGCTAAGATGTGTCAGAAGGAGGATTTTGAGATATGCAATCAGAACTTCCCTAGTTTTCAGAGATTAGGGTAAATTACAACTACTCCTTTGTCGTCTTGTCCCATTGCAGATAAACAAACCAAAAGAACAGATATATGAGATCATAGGTGAATAATTGTCTATGTCACATAATACAAACAAATGAACTGAAGAGATATGTATACAGGGACCTTTGAACCTAAATTTTGAATAACACATCTATTGGAGAATATTTTTATGTTAAAACAGGGAAGCAATTCTTTCCAAATTCCTACCCAGGCTCCCATATCTTAAATGACGTTCACTTACCCTTCATTCCTTGAAAAATTAACCTCTGATTAACCTATGATTTCATATCATATCATCACAAGTGTAGGAGGAAGGTAATAGTGGCGTGTAATGCTGAGTAAAAACCACTTTAGTGCAATTAAAAAAAAATAAACCCTTACCTGTTGGAACAGATTCTATACTTGATCTTGATACAGTACAGAATAATAGTTAATATACTTAATATTTAGCACAGACACCTTGGCCTTGCATTTAAGGCTCTCTACAGTCTGACCTCACATTACCTTTCTAGTCTCATTTCACATTACTCCTCTTCATGTTCTCCCTGTTCCAGCCAAATGGGACTCCTGATCATTCCCCGAGATCGATTTTCCATGCCCATCTTTTGCATATTCACTTGTCCCTGACACATGGTACATCTCCCTCCTTGAATCCACTTCTCAGTGGTCATATCCCTTCAATACCCTTAGCCAGTGCTATCCTCAGCTCCTTGCCTCAGTTGTTAAATGATCACTTTCTTCTCAAATTACTTTGTCTTTAATTATTTGTGTACTTGTTGTAGGTGGAATATAGGCTCTTTGAGGGCAGGGACTATTGATTGGGGTGGGGGTGTCTTTGTATTCCTAGTACAAAAAAAAAAGTACAAGGGCAGCTAGATGGCTCTATGGATAGAGCACTGGACCTGGAGTCAGTAAGATCTATGTTCAAACCTAGGCTCAGACACTTACTAGCTGTGTGACCCCAGCAAGTTATTTAACCCCTATTTGCTTCAGTTCCTCATCTGTAAAATGGGGGCATATTGGAGAAGGAAATGGCAAAGCATTCAGTATCTTTGCCCAAAAAAAAAAACCTCCCATGGACATAGTCCCATGAGGTCACAAAGAGTTGAACCCGACTGAACATCCCTAGTACAGACACTTAACTGTTTGAATTGAACTAAATATTTTTGGTTTCATGTTAAGCTGTTACATAATTAAATGATAAACAAGGTTAATACATACCCATTTTTCCCCCTTCAGGTATGAATTATTAGAGACTTTGACTTTTGATTCAGTGAGGAGAAGGATGAGTGTGATTGTCAAGTCTGCTTCAGGTAGAAAGATCTTGTTTCATTCTTTATTCAAAGTTACATGAAGGTTGAATTTTTGTTTTTATGATTGAGTTCTATAGGACCTACTTATGCCTTTCCTGACTACGAAGACTAAATTTTCATTCTTCTTAAGATCTATGAACATAGCCCCTGCTTGAAAACTGATTTTATACTCTTGAGAGAAATTTAGTTTTTAACTTTTAATATTTTATGATGAATGCAAGAGTCAGTTCCTTCTCTCCTGTCTTCAAAATCTTAATATTGTGAGGATACCTAATTATCTCTGGCTTTCATGCAATTATTTAAATATTTAAAATGTTTACTATTTGAATATTTCTGAATTTGAATTTTGAATAATTTGAATAATTCTGAATATTTAAAATTTCTCCATAATAGAACTTTTTTTCTGTTTGAGATTTTTGCAGTCCTTTTCTTTTCTCTCCAAATTTAAAATGATCGCCTTTAAAACAAGTCAGAAAAGACAATTCAAGATGCAAATGTTAATGTCTCTGTAAAATACCACAAAATGTTATCAGCCAAAGAAGCCACATTAATCATTTGATATTTTACGATGATGTTTCTTTGCATGAGCACAATTTGATCATTCTTCCTTTTTGTGTGTTTGTGTGTGTGTGTATATACATATACATACATACATACATTTACCCATCTCCATTAATACTTAAAAGTCATATGAAACATACAAATCAAATCTTGCTGCAACATACTTCAAAGGAGTGACCAAATTCTTGTGCTGGTCTTCGAAAAATCAAATATTTAGAAAGAGTGATCCATTCCCCTTTTTTTCTTTCTACAGAGGATTCTGATATAACTCATTCATTGTAAAAGTATAAACTTATTCAGTGCATATTCACAGTATTCTGTGTATGAACAAAATGTTTTGCTTTGCTTTTTGAAAAATGTCCAGCTTTTAAACTCTCAGCGTGTGCTTATCTTCTTTTCTGATTAACTGTGGCCTTTGCTTTTCCTGCTTACTCTATCTCCTTCCTCAAGGTCATTTCACTGCCCATTGGCAGCATCTCCATTAGAGAAAAAAGACAGAGGAGACAGAAGATGAAATGCAAACTAGTTAATTTTGTTTCTTGTTCCCTTAAGTTTAGAAGGGAACAAAGTTAAAATGTTTTTCTTTTCTTTTTTTTCTGGATAATCTGTGCATTTCATTTATCCCTGTCTCCCATTCTGCACCTAACCAGAACTTGATTGTATATTAGTCAGTTTATTGAAATTCACTGAAATGTCCTTTGTGATTGTCTCTGGCCTGCTATGTTTTTTCTTCGAGCATGTCTACAGAATGATTTAAAGACTTCTTCACAGTGTTGTGGAACCTGGTTTTGTTACTGAAGAGGATAGTTGGAATTATACATGTAGATTCTTGCCCACTATTTACTGAGTTTATAAAATATGGACAGAAACACCAGCACATTATGTTTTAAGGCCAGGTGTGTTATTATGCTTTGCTTTCTCGTTCTACAGGGGACATCTACCTATTTTGCAAGGGAGCAGATTCTTCAATATTTCCAAGAGTAACCGAAGGCAAAGTAGATCAGATACGATCCAGAGTGGAGCGCAACGCAGTGGTGAGATGATGCCTTGAGCATGCATTAGGCTTTTTTAGGACCAAGCTGAGTTGCCATAAGGAAATGTTTTCTTTCTTCTGGTCATATTGGAGTCTGAAAATTCCAAACATTGCGTTGCCCAGAATAGGTATTATGGTCCCTAGATGGGTAATTTAGAATGGGGAAACTCATCATACAGGACAAATAGTTATTCAGCTATTGGGCGGGGGGGGGGGAAGGTGGTGATGGTTAAGGAACCATTCTGCCCAGCATTTATCCATGATATACAAGTTGGAGCCCTGGAGCTAAGAAATCTCAGGTCTAAATGGGTTTCAGATTAATTAATTTTAAAAAATAGGATAGAGTTGTTTTTTTTACCTTAAAAACATTTTGTTCATTTTTTTCTTCAACCTCTGTACGTATTTTTTCTCCTTTCAATTTTTAAGTAAAATGGATAAATGAAGACTTCCTAACAAATAATTGAGTCTCTACCAGCATATCATAAAAGCTGGTCTTTCACAAAGGTCTGGCTTTTCACCTTTGTGATCTTTTGTGGGACAGAAGCACCCCATTTCCTGTACCTCTGTCTTCTTTAATCCATGAGCCTTCATCCCAGCAAAGACAATTTTGGGCTTCATCCATCTCCCAGGTAGTTTATGGTTTTTTATCTGAGAACCTTCTTCTTCAAATGACTTCTGTGCTTGCCATCATGAGTAAGGGAATTCTTTTCAAAGGCCTGTTTTTCTACTCTTCAGTCTACAACAGCTGTCTCACCTCATACCTTTTCATCAGTGAATGTGGGGATCTCTTTGTCTTCAAATTTAGAAATTGATAGGTGTGCTGTGGAATATTTAAAAAAAAACATTACTATAAAAGAACATTTTAGCCGAGAAAATCTCAATGGAAGTTCATCAAGGTCCAATAATGTGTATTTATCAGTCGGGTGCTAAGTACCTTCTGTAGGCTAGGCACTGGGGATGCAAAGGTAAAAGAGAAACAGCTCTTATGCTTGAAGAGTTTATATTCTGTCAATGGAAATAACACGTACATGTATAAGCTTGCACAAATGTAAATACGAGATAATTTAGAGGAGACCCACTGGCAGCTGGAGGAGTTGGAGACGGCCTCATTGAGAAGACCGTGGTTGAACTGAATGCTGAAGGAAATGAGTGAGGGAGGAGTATATTTGATACTGCATTACATCTTATAGAGGAAGGGCCATGGAGGGGAAAGAGACCTGGCTTAGGGCTTTGAAAGACTCCCGGCAGTGTGACTTTTACCTGCTGCCTGTGCAGCCTTAGCCTCGTCACCTCCCTCCTCCTGGCTTTGGTTTCTCAACTGTAAAGTGAGGACCAAGTCATCATTAAGCTCCGCTAGAGCTCTGACTCCTATGAAAGTGTTGTAGAAGGAGTCAGAAGTGCCTTTGATCTTCATACCGAGTCTAGGATGGAGCTTGCAGGGTCAGACAGCTCTTAAATGTCACTTGCAGAGTTTGAATCTAGGTCTTCCTCTATTCAAGTCACATTGCTGCTAATGCTTTTTTTTTTTTTTAACATTTATAAGCCCAGAAACCCACACTGTTCATTGGCCCATCAGTTCAAGAGCCATTACTCATTGAGGCCACAAGATGGAACCAGTATGATTTTTGCTGTTGTTTAACGGACCATGCCAGCTGTCACTTAAGAAGTTCCTATGACTATGCCACCATTTTCTCAGCAAATCAATATTTATATGATAAACTATAAATAAATATATATGCACTCTCGTATATAACTACTTTACAACTAGTTTATGTCTAGTTTAATAATATAAAATACTCTATGAAGTAGTTATACACTAGTTTAGTTTAAATTGTCTAGTTTATATAAAATTATATATAACCAGTACTTTTTATATATACACACACACATAACTAGTTTCAATGGCCAAATAGAATACTTCATTAAAAATCACTTGTGGAATACTTAGAATTTAATAATAAATCCTATTTTTATAGTACTCTGAGGTTTATAGAGTACTTTTCTTCATACCAATTCTCTGAGAAATTTATTATTAGTAATTCCCATTTAACAATTGAAAAGGGCTTAGAGAGCTGTAGTTACAAAGCTAGTTATTATCAAACTTAAGACTAGAATCCACGCCAAGGCTCTTGACTTCATGTCCAGTGTTCTTCCCACTACATATATATATATGTGTGTGTATATATATATATGTATATGTATGTATATATATGTGTGTGTGTGTGTGTGTGTGTATATATATATGATTGTTTCTCAACTTGGAATTTTTAGAGCTGGTAGGAACCTTAGGGAACAAAAGTGGCTTATAAGGAAGTCTTTCCTGTCTAAATACTTGTACTAAGTTTCCTGACTGTACTCCCACAAATAACAAACTTAGAAGGTTCTGCTAGACTAATCTGCAAAGAATTCTTCTATTCAATACTTAGACTTCTGACTTCATTTCCCAAACTTCTTTGAAGCTTAAATTCTTCAGGACTTCTGGCTGGAAACCTTCTTTAAGTAATCACTGCATCCATCTCTCCGGCTGAAGTCTATGTGTGTAATTAGGGGATTGGGAATGGGCTGGAGGTTCTCCTCTATTGAAAGAATGCTGGATTTGGAGTCAGAATACCTGAATTGAAAACATGCCCACCAGTGTGGACCTTGAACACATCACTTAATTTTTCTTGATTTCAGTTTCTGCGGCTGTAAAAGGAGGAGGTTGGACCAGATAACCATGAAAGTCTCTTATTGCTCTAGATCTGTTATCTTATGAAAAGGTAGACATAAAACTGATGGAAACTGTGACTGCTCTTTCTTCTTTTCTCTCATTTCTTTATGGTACTGTCAGGAAAGCTTTTGGGAAAGAACCCATATGTCCCACTTGCTGCTAGGTTTTCTCTTATTTAAGGGATATGCAGACCTATTCTTACTTATTTGTTTTAATTTGTTTATTTACTTATTTGCAGTTAACAATAATTTTCTCTCTCATCCACCCTCCTGCCTCCTATTGAAAAAAGAAAAAAACTCAAGTATGCATATTGAGGCAAGGTAGATTTCCCTCATTTGGTCATATCTAAAAATCATATGTCTCATTCTTTACCCATATAGGCTTATTTTCTCTCTCTCTCTCAGGGTCACACAGCCAGTAAGTATGAAGTGTCTGAAACTGGATTTGAACTCAGGTCCTCCTAACTCCAGGACCAGTGTTCCATCCACTGGGCCATCTAACTGCCCCCATGTAGGCTTATTTTTTTTAATTTTTTTTTTTAATTTATTTTTAGGCAGTTGGGGTTAAGTGACTTGCCCAGGGTCATACAGCTAGTAAGTGTCAAGTATTTGGTCTGAGGCCAGATTTGAACTCAGGTCCTCCTGACTTCTATCCTGTAGGCTTGTTCTTAATGAGCTTGTGGCAAACCTCATTTGCTAACCAACAGTTACTTTAAATATAGTGCAATATAACCACTTTATAACCTCAGCTCTGCTGGGAACCGATAAGAGTTGTAGACTGGGAATAGAGTGATTTCTTATCTTTTATGCAAACATTTATCATCAGAGGCTATTGTAACTTGTAAAGCTATATAATAAGGCTTGGAATGGAGTTGCCCATCTGTGTTGGTGGGGAAATTATTCACACTGATGAAATTAGGGGTCCTTGGAGCTCAGCACATCTGTATGTCCATATCTGAGACATTTTGCATGGTAAAGAGCTTTTGAATAGATGTTGATAGAGTTATCCTTGACAGGATAATGTAGACAGGAGTCCAAGGAAAAATAAGAAGCTTGTGTTTGTCCTTTGGGAGAGACAGTTCTCTTTGGGGAGTGCATTAAAAACAATATTGCACAGATAATGAAACATTCCTCCTTCAGGGCAGAGAGGCAAGGGATGACTAGAGCTTCTAGAAGGTTGCACACTTGTTAGACGGTCACTATCCAGTCTATTTTTCTCAGTTGTTTTCCTTTGTTACAGGGAAGCGTTTGGTCCAGACAGGGTCAAAGTGGAGTGTTTTTCATTTTTCCAGAAATGACTATTATAACGAGAAAGGGAATCCATAAAATTTTATTTTATTTTAAGTATAAGCAGGTAATGGTATCATGGCTAGAGTCCTGGTCATGGAGTTAGGAAGATGCGAGTTTGAATCCTTCCTCAGACTCTTGTGACCTTGCACAAGTACGTTAACTGCTCTGAGTCTCTGTTTCTGCATCTGTAAAACATGGATAATAGCATCTACCTCACAGGGTTGTTGTAAGAATCAAATGAGATTATTTACATAAACAAAAAATACTTTGCAAACCTTAAAGAGCTTTACACATATTAGCTATTATTATGATTAAATGGATGGCCAAACTCTATTCCTCCCTCACTTGATGTGACCATTGCCCTGTGCAGATTTTTAAACATTTGGGACAGGTAAAATAGCCTATTTACAGAATGGTTTTGTTACTCATAATCAAATCTTTCTCCCCACAATGACAAAAACTGGAGATAATCATGCTGAAATACTTTCTGCTTGAAAGAATACTGGTTCTATTTTTTCCTCCCTGCATTATCCCCTATTATTTTGAGAGGGAGGTCATTTGTAAAGTACAAGGAAGTTAATAGAACTAAAAGAGTAATCCAGTACGTTCTATCTGAGCAGCTTCTGAGTCTGAGAAAATCCAGGCCCTCAACTTTGCTTTTTCTTCATCTTGTATTATTTATTACATTATGCCAGATTCCTAAATGCAGATACTTATGTAACAGAAGCTACAGGCATAAAATTTACTGTGCCATATTTCCTGAGTTTTTGTGCTTTTGTGCTTTTTGCAGAAGTGACAACTCAGAAATATGTTTCTATTTGCCTTTATTAATCTTACTTGGTAATGTTAAAAATCTCTTAAGACAAATTCCATATATCAAAATCATGTAACAGAAGAAAAGAAAGGTCCTCACTCCTTTCAGTTTCTACCCTAAGACTTTAGAATTCCTAGAAATCTGATTACACTGTTCTGTGAGGGAGGCAAAAAACCATTTGTTTTATAACAGTTCCTACAAGTAATGAGAAACAGATTGTTTTACCGGTAGTCTAGAAATATAACATCCTTCCCAACCCTTTTTAAAGCATACTTAGACATTGGCTTAATAGAGTATTATTTTTCTTTCCTCAAAAGCTAACATGGATTAAGTGATGTCTTGCAGAATATGACAGGGTCCATTAGGACATACATGGACCTCTAAAGTCCCTTACATTTCCAGAACCCTATGAACCTGTAAATATCCGGAGCCTTTTTGCAGTCTTGATTCAGTGAAAGCCAGACCACTGTTGGGAAATAGCTCACTAGAAAAGAACTGCTATAGTTATATTTTTAAATTTCAGAGCTAGGGCTTCAAAAATCAATGGCACAGGGACAGGATAGAGGGGACAAGGCGAAACAGCAATTCTTTTTTTGAGAAGTTGGGGAAAACTTGCAGGTTTTGGTGGACTGCAAGCCCAATATCAGTTAGCAGTATAATTTAGATTTTTGGCTTCATCGCCTCAGTACATCAAGAATCTGTAGTTTCATTAGTGTAGATTCTCTCTCTACTGTGTCAGATGCCGTGGTCATTTATTTCATCCAAGGAGAGATTTGAACCGAGGTTTCCAAACTATCACTTTCTCTGCTATACTACGCTGCCTTTCAGTTAAAATTCGTTATTAGCAGTTTAATATTCAGAGTGAGAGGCAGTCTACTATAGTGGATAGACTGCCACCCTGGGAGTCAGAAAGACCTGAACTCACATCCTTCCTCTGATGAATACTGGATTATAGGATGATTGATTGAAGGAAATAAAGATGTTTATTCTGAAGAAGAGAATTCTTGGGGGTCATATAAATAGTTTTCAAATCATAAATTTAGGAAGAAGGAGAGTTAGGAGGGGATCTACCTCAGATCTGTCTCAGCCTCTGACCCCACTGCTTAGGATTCTCCCTTCCAACATCTTGTACAGATAGTCATTTAGCCTATCTCTAAAGACCAGGAGCTCATTGCCTAACTAGGTAACCCATTCCATTTAGGGGCCATTTCAATGACTAGGAACTTTTCTCTTATGTTGGTAAAATTAACTTCTACCTGTTAGTCCTAGTTTGCTCTCTGCCCAAAGCAGAACAAGTCTAATGCTTCATCTATACGAGAACCCTTTAAGGATTGTAAATGTTGCTTTCGTGGCCTCCCTACACATTCACTTCTCTAGGCTAAACAGTCCCATTTCCTTCAACTGTTCTTCATAGGATGTGCTCTCTCAGAAAGTATTCTAGCTTGACAATGACATTTTCAAATATGGTACCCAGAACTTGACATAATACTCCAAATCTATAATTAAATCATTCAGTTTCACCCCCAAAAGAAAGAACTATGACCACAAAGTAGATGTTACAAGCAGGCAACTTCTGATTCTATATAAATAGAGACTTCCCATCAATTAGAGGTGTGCACGTGTTTAATGGTCTGCCTTGAGAGAGTTAGTGAGTTTTCCTTCACCCGAGATATTTGAGCAGGAGGTAGGAACTGCTTTCTGGGGTTATTGTGGAGGATATTTGTACTAATTTAGGTTGGGCTAGGGTTGAGACCACAAGAATTGATTCCATTCTGTACCATTTTTCCAAGGGTCTCTGGATGCCCTCCAACACATTTTTCACAATTTATTTATAAGCACCACCCTTATTTTGCCTTCATAGCAGCTTGCCTAAGTTTCACAGGCAAAGCCAGGATTTGAACTTGGTTTTTTAGACCAAAAGTATGGTGTTCTTTCCAGTACATCATTACTGCCTCTCACGTTAATTTGCAAACTTTAAAATTCTGCATTACATATTCATAACTAGTGTGAATTAAATGCTGTTCTGCAACGTGTAAAATTCATTCATGAGTGGGGGATGATCCCCAAGTCTCCCCCACGCCTGCTGTTAATACTTGCCCTCCTCCCCCAATCCCAGAGAATGTAAGCTCCTTCAGGGCAGGGAGTTTCATTATCTTTGAATCTTTTCTTAGTCAATTTAATTATACTGTTATCCATTCCACACCCTGACTTTCCTCATTTGGGTTTCAATACATCAGGCTGTAGGTCAGCATAAGAAATTAAATGAGTTTTACCGAAGCCTCAGACAACATGAGAAGGCCAGCAGAAAACGACAGAAAAAGTTTAGAAACTCAGAAATGCATAAAATATATGTGTGATATTGTATAATATCAACCCAAATTTTACCAAAAGTACTGTAAACCCCCGATAAAAGAAAAAGAAAAAAATTCAGGCTTCCTTCTTTGGTAAGAAGGGAGGGCCAAAATATTTTATGCAGATTTTCCAGATTGCAGGGATGCTGTGCCTCTAACCCCCTTGATGTGTAAGAGATAACTATTATTAAGTGGAAGGGAAAAGAGGATTAAGAAAGATAATAAAAAAAAATAATTTTGCAACTGGCGACCCTTTCAGGTTATAGTTTATGTGATATTTGTTTTTGGATGTATATTTCAGGAAGGGCTGCGAACTCTATGTGTTGCCTATAAAAAACTCACCCAGGAAGAATATAATGAGGTTTGTGAACTTCTACACGAAGCAAAAGTGGCCCTTCAAGAACGAGAAAAGAAATTGGCCGAGGCGTACGAGCTTGTTGAGACAGACCTTACTCTGCTTGGTGCTACAGCTGTTGAGGACCGGTTAAGTACCATATTTATTTAATCTTTTTTTTTTCAGTAACACATAGTGATCAAAAAAGACTACTTGAGGGACACGTTTTTTGTGTGTCTTTTTCCCCCAAGAAGAAGATGCAGCTTTTAACTGTCGTTAACACAGCTGTGCCTATATCACACAGATGAAGTCCATGGGATTGGATAAGATTCTGTCACTGTTAACCACTATAGAGGAACTCAGACAGCTTCATTTGATTAACAGATTCATTTGATAGACTCCTGCTGAGGCGTTTGTTTGAACTAGACAAAATGAAAAGATACCTGGAATTTCATAATTTACGTAGTTTTCAGAAAAGTGGCTCATTTTTTGTTGTCGTTGCTGTTCAGTTGTTTAGGTTGTTTCTGTTTCCTTCTCCAGCTTATTTTACAGTTAAGGAAACTGAGGCAAACAGGGTTAAGCTGCCCCTTAGGCTTTTTTTTAAAGCGTATTTTTTACAATAGAAATATTAACTGGGAAGGTTCTTACAATTCACATCTTTTTTTACTATTAACTTAACAATCATCAATAAACATGAATATTTAACATTGTAAAAAGCAACTTATTATAAAGAGTGTTCTGGGAACAGCTAGGTAGCACAGTAGATAGAGCTCCGGCCTTGGGGTCAGGAGGACCTGAGTTTAAATCTGGCCTCAGACACTTGAAACTTACTAGCTGTGTGACCCTGGGCAAGTCACTTAACCGCAGTTACCTCACCCAAAAAAAAAGTGTTCTAAAACTGTACTTTGGGACACTACAAAACTATAAACTTTTGTATAGCTTTGGTTTTATTAAATAGTTTAAATTTAATGTAATAGTAACAATTATCCTGTTTGATTGTATCCCTTTCTCAGCTTATTTTTGCTGAGTTTTTTAATATTTTATTAATGTTTTTTGAAGAGCAGACGTCTCTTAAACACTGCACACTAACTTCAACTCAGTCTCCAGAAAAAAATTAAAAAAGAAGCCCTCCCTTAGATAGTCAAGCAAAAACAATTGTTAACCACATATTAAAATACAGATCTCATGCTACATATGTACTCTCATCTATCAGCTGTGTACAAGACGTGGGTGGGCATGCTTCTTTATCAAACCTTTCAAGTTTGTCTGTGCATTGACCAGAATTCTGTAGCCTTTCCCAGCTGCTTTCCTGCCCATCACTGTGGGCCTTGTGGGCATTGTTCTCCTGGTTCTGCTGCTGTGTGTCACCGTGAATACACCATGTTCAGCATTGTTTATGATGTAACGATATTCCATCACTTCCATTTCACAGTTTTGAACAAGATGCCAGTGCGTGACTTTTTTTTTTCTGTTGAGTTATAGACATGAATGTTTAGTCTTTACTCATAATGCATGAGTGTGTCTCCATATGTATGTGTATTATGTGAGAGTGTAGGGAATAGAGCTGACCTTGGATGCGAGGACATCTGAGTTCAGGTCCCACTTCTACAATAGTGGCTGTGTGACCCTGAGCAAGTCATTTATCTGTCAGAGCTCCAGGCAAGTGTTGGAGACTGTCAGCTGCTGACAAGGCACTGACCTGCATTGGTAGAGAGAGTTCCTTATATCAGTGAAGTCACAGGTCTATCCAGATAGACAGACACCCTTCCCCCCCAACACACACACACACCCCACTGTCTCAGAAGTCTTGGTGTAGTTTTAAACTTTTTAGCTTAAAATGCTTTAGGGAAATCCTCTGTGTGTGTGTGTGTGTGGTGTCATCAATGTAAGGATTTCTGTCAGTGGTACAACATAACTCCTCTTTCTTCCTCTTCCCTTCTCTCTCCCCCTCCCCAGCCCCACTCCAGTAGACAGGTTTCATGAGTCTTTTTGACCAAAATATTCAGACACTGATACTGGCCACCTGTTGATGATAAATCTTTCCATATTCATTCTGCATGGTCCTCAGTCTCCTAATATGCCACCCAGAGCTTACTTGAAGTTTTTCTGTCTTGGTGTAGGGGCAGCCTGGTTGTACAATGGTTAGAGCACTATGCCTTGAATCAGGAAGACCTGAGTTCAAATGTAGCCCCAGAAACTTACTAGCTGTTGTATGACCTGACACAAATCACTTAACCCCTATTTGCCGCCATTCCTCGGCTGTAAAATGGGGACACATTGGACAAAGAAATGACAAACCACTCCAGTATTTTTGCCAAGAAAAACCCATGGGTAAGTCCATGGGTCACAAAGAGTTGGACGTGTCTGAACAACAAAAATCTTGGTGTAGGACCCGCCTTAATCTTCTTATAATCTTCTGCCATAGCTTTTGAGACCCCTCAGAGTCACCTCCATACCACACAGAAGTATTAGAGGTAGGATTGTAATGGGGGCTGTACATACAGGTAGAAAATTATGTTGTATCTTTTATTTTACTGTATTTTTTTTATATTTTATATAATTTAATTTATGCATGTAGTGAATAAAGACTTAACAGAGACAAATGTCCACAGTTGAAAACAATCAGTAACAAATACATATTCATGCATATATTTGTTCCCCTCCCCCATATATGAATAGATAGATAGATAGATAGATAGATAGATAGATAGATAGATAGATAGATAGATAGATAGATAGGTGAATGTATACGTATATAGGTACGCACATAAATACATCCATGTATGGACAATGACTTTATCAGTACATAGTCTTAATTATAATTTTAAAGCAGGAGATTACAAGTAACAAAATAGTATTCTCTGAAAATACCAACTGCAAATTGTTATATTTTGCAAAAGTAACTGCTTACCTCTTACAAAAATGATATAGCTTGCAAGATTTTTAAGTCTTTGTTAGGCTATGAGAAATGGTTGTTGAGCCACATTTTTTAGTTTCAAGATGCAGAATGAAAGTAGATTGGAATTCATTTAGAAGAAATGAAGAAACAAAATGAAAATATACGATGAACTGAAAAGCATAAATAAAAAGCTGAAGAAAGTTACTACTTGGGTTTTTTCTCTGGAAATGATTATAATCAGAGGGCTAGAAGTTAACTTTGATTCAGCCTAAGCCAAACCCAGTCTCCACAGAGGACTTCCCCCATAAGACCCGGTAAGATGAGTTGATAAGCATTCATTGTGCTGTGAAATGAGCCTCCCCCCCCAAAAAAAAAAGTAATACCAAATGTAGAAATGACAGTCTAATATTTGGAAAAAGTTGAGGCTAAAAGAAGAAATAGTTTTCCTTCCTCAGTGTTTTGGTCCCCAGAGATATGCTGTGTTGCCTTTAAGTACTCAGGGCCAAAACATTTTAAGAGATTCACAAGACTCTGGCAATTTTTGTTCCAGTTTGGTTTTTGTCAATATTTATTATCTGTTTGCCGCCCCCCCCCCCAGCCTCCAGGACAAAGCTGCAGATACCATCGAAGCTCTTCAGAAAGCAGGCATTAAAGTTTGGGTTCTGACAGGAGACAAGATGGAGACGGCAGCCGCTACCTGCTATGCCTGCAAGCTTTTCAGGAGAAACACCCAACTGCTTGAGCTGACCACGAAGAAGATTGAAGAGCAGAGCCTGCACGATGTGCTCTTTGAGCTGAGTAAGACCGTCCTGCGCTGCAGTGGCAGTATGACCAGGGACAGTTTCTCAGGGCAAGTAATACCTTCATTCCTCAGTCAAAATGGGGTCGTGGAACATGTGTTAATGTAGCTGAGAACAAAACAGCTGAAGCTCCTCAGTATGGCCATTGAGCCAGATGCTGCAATTAGCTGTAGTCTGTCATGGTGATGCAATACTACTGCTTCATCTTGCAAGTCCATGCCATTATACACAAGAGATGTGGTGTAAAAGATCACAGATGCCTCCATGAAAATTGTCCCAAGAGCAGGCTGCAAAACCCAATTGAGTTCTCACCACTTTTTGCCTCAGATAATTTTCTGAGGCTGCTGAGGAATGAACCGTCTTTCCTGGCTTTCTCTTAAAGTGGTGTTCCACTCCAGTCATACCCATTCCACGTCAGAGTGTTCAGAGTCCATTCAGATTCTTGCATCATTATCACACAATTAAGGTAAAATGAGTCAAGAAAGTTCTGAGCATGTTCATTTTATGATTGGTAAGGCTAGCAGTGACCAATAAACGGGGTCTTTAGCTCCTTAGCAAGTAGGGCTTAAAGATAATTTTTATAGGCAAAAAGAGCATCCAGAGTTAAAAGGTCATACATGGGGAAAACAATATGATCGGCTGGAGATCAGGTATGTGGGACTAGCAACTGCCCTTCCTCCCATCTTGTTGCTGCTTGATTGAGTCCACCTGTAAAGTTAGTTAATGGTATATGAATTATAAACCAGACTTCCTTGAAAGACAGAGATAACAGACCAGACTTCCCAGAAGGATAACTATGGGATAGAGAAAACATATTTCATTGATGTAAGAACACACTATTGATTTCACAGAAAAACTGAACTTCTAAACTTAGGGACTTCTGAACTTAACCCAGAGACAAAGAAACATGACATAAGCAATTATACAAAATGTCGATGGTTGGTATAGAATAGAATCAATTACAAAATGGAATCAGTTAGGTTTTTTCACTGGAATCTCCCTTTATGTGAGCTCTTCAAATTGCTTCTCGTTTGTTGCTAAGAGAGACGTCTAGGATAAGGAAGTCTGAGCTGATTGCTGGGGGACAGGAAAAATGAGTAATTCATGGTAAATACTTACGTGAAAATGATCATCCAAAGGTAGGATATATGATAGGACTGGTTTTCTTTCCCATTAGTGGTGAAAGCTGTGCTATGATCCATCCATTCTTTCCCTTGGTCACAGTTGTGACTATTTGCAGACATTTATGCCCTAATCTTTTCAATGCTAGGCTTTAGCCAATTTAGATAACTGAAGAAGTGCCCCAAAGACAGGATAGCCTGGGAATTAGGGCTTGGACTGGAAGATGGGGAAGACTATAAAATTTGTAAGCATTTATGTTTACTTCAGAAGTAAACTATTGAAAACTCAGATATCAGATTATTTGAAATAATTTTAAGTTAGAGATTTTCCTAAATTCAATAGGAAAAAAATTAAATTAGAGCAGAGTTTAAAAAACAGCAAAAATAAATTATTGAAGGTCTTGCATCAAACACTGGAAAGGATACCCAAGAAATATTGTTCCCTTAAGCCCACTGATGTATTGTTATTGATGTGTGTAGGCCTCCTGTAGACTCCCAAAAATGCCATGTCCCCTCTCAAAAGGTGAAGATTTAGCATTTGTTATTTGTGCATCCTGCAGACTTTCAACTGATATGCAAGATTTTGGCTTAATTATTGATGGAGCTGCATTGTCACTAATAATGAAGCCCCGACAACCTGGGAGCTCTGGAAACTACCGAGAGCTCTTCCTGGAAATCTGTAGGAACTGTAGCGCCGTACTCTGCTGTCGGATGGCCCCTCTGCAGAAGGCACAGGTTAGTGGATCTTTTCCAAATGACTTGACAAAGTGGCATCACTTTAGGTAAATATTGAAAGTCATTACTCAGTTGTGACAGCCTGTAATAATTTTAACTGTGGTGTCTGTTGCTCTCCGCCCCTCTACAAAATGAAAAATGGCAGCAAAAAAAAAAAAGAACGACGTACTAAAATTAGAAAGCATGAAAATCTAGCTGATAAGTGCAATTAGGTAATGACACATTAAAAAGGTTCCTTGCTGTGCCTGTGTTGATGATGTGTGTCTCATTCACATATTCTTAATATATAACCAGTTAACGAGCATGTTTAATTAACTGTTTTTTCCTGACTCTGTTTGTGTACCCTGTAGAGTCTCTGTGAGTATGAGGTAAATAGAATAGTAGTACCTCACTGTGCCAGTGGGTCTCTTCTGTCTGTGGAGGACTGGATAGACTACAGATCTTAAACAAAATAAAAGGAACGACGAAATAATAGGCATATTCCTTAGTAGGTAGCAAGGAGAATAGTCCTTTGCATAATCGGAAATAACATTCAAAAACATCATATACACTTTGTATCAGAAAGGACTTGTGGTAGTTAATGTTTCTTTTATTGCTACATTTAAGGGTGATTGTTTCTTATGCCTGGTAATTTGTAACACTTTGAAAAAACAGAATAAACCATGTTAAATAAATAGTGCAGTTTCCACATCCTGCTTCCCTTTGTCCTGGTCCATGCACAAGTTCTGTCAGCTCTCAGTGAGATATAACTGTATGGCCCAAAACAGATGTTGGCCTTGCTAAAAATTTAATGGGGGCAGGAAGGTAGATGTTTTAAGTTAAAAGGTCTCATATAGCACCTGCAGATTTAAATAAATATATATAGATACACAGATATGTAATATATTTTTAAATGTTATATAGGTGTATGAAAGGTATATAATCTCTAGTCTTTCAGAACAGAAGATCGTTATGAAGAGAGCAAGTTAGCTTCATGTAAGAGCTTAGGTTATAAACTCTCAGAGGACAGGGACTAATCATTTCTTTTATCACGCCAATATAATGCCTATCATACATTAAGTAGTCAATAAATGCTTATTGATTGGTTGAAATCAGCTTAGCAAAGTAGTGAGGATTAGAGACCGTACCTGTGATTTCATTGCTATAAGGAGTTCCCAGGTTGAGAAACACCCTCTCCCACAGTACCTCAGCACCTAGAGCAGAGATGTCAAACACTCACGAATCTCATGACACTCTAGAGTACAGCCAGGACCAGACTAAAATGTCATTGGGAGATATTTAACAAAATAAATAAAATTTAATGAAAGAGAAAGAGAAGAAAGAAAGAAGATAGACAGCATGCAGGGATCCATTTATGTAAGGTTTGCTGGCCCCTGTTTCTGTCTGAATTTGACACCAGCGACCTAGGGCACTGAAAGGTTTTCATTGGCCCTTGGTCATCTATCCAGCATCTGTGGGAGCTGGGACATGAAACCCAGGTTTCCTTGTTTTCAAGGTCAGTTCTCTCTCTATTACACCATGATGCCTTTCAACAAAGTATTCACAAAAGGATAGAATTGACTTCTACCTACTAAGGAATATGCCAAATGAAAGAAGATGTAAAATTGTCATCTTTCTGTGCACTTCGTTCTCTACATGGGGAAATTTGATCTGTATGATTATGATGTTATGACAGCTATTTTATTCTTGCTCTTCCACTTACTTGTATCAGGTAAGTGTCCTTTTATGAAAGTTGCTGTCATTGTTAAGGTATTTGTTAATTCTTCACAGGTTCAAAAAGAAAATATGGCAAGGAAATAGAATGTAATCATCTTTATTATATTTCCAAAAGCCCTTTTCCATCTCTGTTCTTTGTGATGCTACATACTTCCTACTCTCTCAAGTGTACTAATGTCTATGATACATCTGTAGTGGTTCTGCAGACCTTACTGAATGGAATCACATCTCGATAACCTGATTTCACTAAAAATTAAAACAATATGCCCATTTGAAACTAATCAGGGCTTTTAGGTTTGTTACAGTTCAGATGAGGAATAATGTAAAGATGAAACATAAAATGCTTTGTAAACCACAAAGCTATTTGATTTTTTCAAGTTCTAAAGAATATCACTAGTCCACATTTATATAAATTTGATAAAAAAAAACTGATTTCATTTTCTCACTGGCACAGCTTTCACCACTTATGGGAAAAACAGTCCTCTCATATATCCTACCTTCTGATAATAAATCATTTTCACAGTAGTGTTTACCATGAATTACTCATTTTTTCCACATCTGTCCCCAAGTAGTTAGCTCTGACTTCCTCATCCTAAACCTCTATCTTAGCAACAAATGAGAAGCCATTTGAAGGACCCAGTCCATAGAAAGACTACATTTAAATAAAGGCAGATAGTAGTGAGAAAATAAAATATTTTCCATCAAAATTACATATATGTGGACTACTAGCATTCTTTAGAAGTGTTAAAGATTCTTTCAGAAATGACTAAGATCCTTTAAAAGTCAGCAAAGCACAGATGGGGGAAAAAAAACATACCAAGTTGTAACTTAATAAGTAATTTTGTGTGGCCACATTAAAAATAAGGACCAGAATTTAAGAATACCTCAGGACCAAGCTGTGTCAATTGACCCAGTGCATTTGAAGGTAGCAGAATGAAAATTTTTCCTTCACATTAAAATTATAAAATCTACTTGTAATTGTTTGTGTTTATGTGTTTTTACAGATAGGAATTATAGCAAAATTATTAAAAATTATCTTAAAAAATCATTGTGTCACTTGACATAATTAATACCCCTGGTCCTCCTAATAATATGAAAGTCAAGTTTAGATAATCACGTTAACTTCACTAAGGATTCTCTATTAAAAATTCTAATTTTTTATTGACATTGGCATTTACTTGAGTACACAAATAAACTCAAATAGACAGGTTGATATGTAGGGGTCCTGTAACTTCTGATATTGACATACCCAGGACCTGGCTGTAGATTGCCTTATGATACATTATCATCACCCAATAGCCCAATGGCCCTATATTCCTAGGAACCCAGGCATATTACAAACTAGCTCAGTATATAAAAAATACTCACCAACATATACAAACCAAGGAGAATACACAAAAAATCTGCCCACACTGAAAATGTGGACCTGAGTGGTCCTAATATCACTGTTTCCTATTAGCCTAACCTCAGTTCTTTCCTGCTGTCGGCAAAGCTCTCAGTAAGAATAGCTGTCAGTGCTGGGCCGAAGGAACTGTGTCATTTCCTTCTAAAATATAGGCTGTGATGAGTCTAGCTCCTTCTACCTGCAGAAACTTGCCATTTCTAGCTGACCCACCTTCTTCACCAACCTCCAGCCTCCAGATGCATGAGCTCAGGACTTTCTTAACCTCTTAGTTTACAGCCTTCACACCTCTTAGTTTTGAACTTAACCTTTCTCCCAGGAGATGATTTAGCTCAATGAGTATTCTTATTAGACTTGATATATTCTGTGGAGAAGGTTACTTGGCCAGCAAGTCCTGGAGCTTGCTCATTTTAGCCCTCCTTAAATATCTCATTGTGAATCATGACTGACATGTACATTAGCAGGGGTCTCACTCCCTGCCTTATATCCAATATTGAAACTGTTTATCTAATGAATTCTACATCTTGCATCTTCTCAGTATGCCCAAACATAATCAAATACTCAGCCTTAAAGAACTAAGGGAAAGGTATTTCAAGGATATTTCTCAATTAAGTGTACCCTTTTTAAAAATTATTTAACTGTGATGATTGACACCCACACCTGATTTGATAGAAAAATATGGGACTACTGCATCTGAAACATCAACTGACTAGTGACCAAGAAAGGCAAATTCTTCTCCTCCCTGTCTCCTGACAATATGAAGACCTAGAATCGTGGGTTAAGGTGCCAGCAAAGCTGTGGCTGAGGAAGGCGTTTCAGAGGAGTTGTCTGTGTATATTCCCTAAGTGAGATGTTGCTCATTTCCTAAGCTTTGTTCCTCACAGTCCACTCCTGTAATTGCACTTGTTAACCCCCAGGCTTGACCCCACTCCACAACGTGCTGGCATTTCTCTTGGATCCTGAGATCCTTGACTGCTAGCATATCACCTGGTCTTACACAGCCATACCCAAGATGGTCCACATGCTCATAAGACTGGAAGGGACATGAGAGTTGTTCCAGTCCAACAACTTCATTTTACAGATGGCAAAACTGAGGCCCAGAGTGATGAAGTGATCTGCTCAAGGTCAGACAGTTAGCAAATAGTGAAGCTGGAATTTGAACCTATGTCCTCTAACTTGAGGACCATCTAGTACCCCTTCTTTGGCATTGCTGTGCTGTCCAGGAGTGGCTGTTACTGACCTTGTGACCCACAGGGATATACCATTGCGTAGTCCTGTGGTATTGTCTTAAGGCCAAGAGCTCCCTCAGTTTGCAGGGCCATCCAGGACACACAGTTTTCTCAGGGATGTCCCTACATACCTCCCTTGGAGAGAGACACAAAGGAAAGATACAAGGTAGAAGATTAGGAACACCACACCTCATCTGGCGCTCTTCCTCTTGCTCCTTCCAGCATACACACACACCCATGCACCTGTGGTATCTTGGGCTACTCTAGACATAGACACTTGCTTTCCTTGCTGTTAGAGGCTATCTCCAGGGAGCCTTAGAGTGGGAAGGAGGCTGACACACTTGTTAAGGCTAATATCTTGCCTCCCTAAGATATATATTGATACCGTGTCCTTTACAATTTGATGGCAAAGCTCTAATATGAGACCTTGAAGAGTATTTCAAAAATATTCAGAATTCTTTTAATAATGGTTTGCAACTTGAGAGACTACAAAGCATGTAGCATCACACAATGCATATATATTGAAAGGGACTTACTCAGAGGAAATATGCTAAGGAGGTATTTCCTTGTGTCAAGATTGCTTTCTAAACATATGATGAAGTTGAAAGATAATTTTTCATTGAGCAAAGTTTCAGAAAATTATTTATTCTGACTCTGATTTTTGCAGAACATCTTGGAACAGCAAGTTGCTAATATTGCCTGCATTTTCCCATATGGATTCAAAGCATGAAGTATATAAATAAAAAATGTATTTCATTTATCTAATTTTTCCATCTTCAGAATTTTCTGACAAGTTTCCTCCAGCATATTTGAAAGTACTATCTTAGATTTCTTCTTCCCCCTTCAAAGGGTAGTTTTATTCCTCATGGGTAAAATGCATCATGTGTTGAATTACCACAAGACAAGTTGTTTTTATCTATTGTCATTGAATAACCACCATTATAAGTGGGTCCAAATTTTTTTTTTAAAAGTACTCTTACCTATCCATGTTGCCGTTGGGTAGTCACTGGACACACTGAAATGAGCATATGTAACATAAAAGAGTGATTCTACATTTGTTTTCTGTTTTTCCAGATTGTTAAATTGATTAAACTTTCCAAGGAGCACCCTATTACCCTAGCCATCGGGGATGGCGCAAATGATGTCAGTATGATATTAGAAGCACATGTGGGCATAGGTAAGCCTTTTGCCCCTTCATCACTTTTGTCCCCATATTCAGATAACTCTCGTCATGATGAAGGAGATGAATTAAGACAAAGGTAGTGCTAAAGAATATAAGTGATCTATTTTGAAACCAGAAGCAGACAGTTCCTCTCTGAAGAATTTATGGATGAGAAGACATTGAGGAATTAAAAATCTGCATCCATGGAAGGAGTTCCCATACTAGGGAACTCAAAGATTCGTCTGTGTATCCAAGTATTTGCAAAAGCATATGTCATTTAATATATGGACATTTGAGAGATATATTTAATAGTACTCACGCAATATCAATCCTCCTTCCATATTTGTAGAGTTAAGTGTGTTTGCTAAATGCATCCCAACAAATTGTTATCTTTTAGGTGTCGTTGGAAAAGAAGGTCGTCAAGCAGCGAGGAACAGTGACTATGCAATACCGAAATTTAAGCACTTAAAGAAGATGATCCTTGTCCATGGACATTTTTATTACATTAGGATATCTGAACTTGTGCAATACTTCTTTTATAAGGTGAGGGAAGTTTCCCTGCTGTTATCTCTGTTTCCATGGAATGTGACATATGTGAAGTGGCACAGTTGTTGAAATGGCTTGAAACCATAGGGACGGACTATCTAAAAATAGATGAGACAATGGGAAAGAGATAACGAAACATCTCTTGGAATAATCTTTTCATCAAGGAAGAAAACCATCAAATTCTCCCTGTGTTAATGGAAAAATCTTATCACTCTCTAATCAGCCTATCAGTCCCTAAGTGGTATAATATTGGGGGGAGGGTTGAATATTTTAAATAATTCTTTTTTCTTCCAGTTCTCCTACTCCTTCCCATGATATATATTTAATACAGTGTGATAGAATGGAAAAGAATATTCAATTTAGATTCAGAAGACCAGCCAGGCTTTACAACCTGTCACTTACTCTCTGTGTGACTGTAGGCAAGTCTCTTAACCTCTCTGAGCCTCAGTTTCCTTATCTGTAAAGGAGAGATGATAATATTTCCACTACTTCTTTCACAAGTGATTATGAAGATCCATCCTCTTGCCAGTCGATCATTTACATCTTTGCTAAAACAGTCTTCCTGAAGCACCAGATAGACGATGTCATTCACCTGCTCATTGTGTGGTTTGTCCTTCATTCTCGAAGAGGGCCATGACATCAGGGAGATGATGACATGACTTGCAATTGAATTTGATTTGAGTGAAAGAGGGCTATGCAAAGTCACCTGCCTCACTTTCTCCTCCAGAGCCGTCTGGGACCAAGCCTTAAACCCAGTTCACTCTGGATCTCACTGGTTGGACTACAGTAGGTCCCTGCCCTGCCCAAGCATCACTTAATGATTATTTTTTGGACCCTTCTGGCTTACAGTGAATGTGTAGTGACTGTTTCTCTTTTGGCTAGCAACCCTGAGGGTCTTCGCCTCCCAGTTTGATTTTTTTTTTTAACTAAATCGACCATCCCTTGGCTCACTTCTTAAAGAGGCCTTTTCACTGAATGGACATTGCTACACTCAAAGAGAGAACTTGAAAAGACCTTAGCTTAAAAAAGCCAAGGTCTCCCCCTGCATCCTGGGCCATCTCCAGTCGTCCTGATCTGTATCTGGCTACTGGACCCAGCTGGTCAGTTTGCATTAGGCAACTCAGCTCATCTTCTCCTTGTCTGCTCATCGTCCTCCAGTGGTTTCCCATTGCCTAAGGGATAAAACACAACCTCTTTTCTGGTTTAGGTGGTCCCTCCTACCGAAAACTTTCCCTAGTTCTGTTGTTAAGGTTCTCTTCCTCTTCAAATCCTTCTGTATTCATCAGTTTAATCTTTATATCCAGTACAACAGAAGTTCCTTTGGACAGAGACTGTTGTTCATTATTGTCTTTGTGTTTCAGGGCCTTATAAAGAGTAAGTACTTAATAAATGTGTGCTGAATTTAATTGAATTGGCATTCAAGGCTCTTGCTGTCTAGCTTCAACCCAACTTTCCAGTCTTATTTCATACTACTCCCCTTCCTGTCCAAGCCATGCTAGATTGTTAACCATTTCCTGATCTCATTATGCCCAGCCTCACTCCTTGTATTTATGCATGCCTTGCCTCATATATGAAATGGACTTCCTCTACATCTCTACCTGTTGAAATACTTTTCTTATATATGCAGGCCCAGCCAGCTCAGATGCTGCCTCCTCTCAGGAGGCTGTGTTTCATGAGGCCCTTTTCCATGTGCTTCCCAGGCAGAAAATATTTCTCCTTCCCAAAGATTTCATGCCTCTCCCTTGATCCTTTCCTATGTACTCTTTTTCATTCCAACTTGTATTTTATATATTTGTGTATGTCTTACCCCTCTAGTAAACACTAGCCCACTATGGAATTTTGTATCCTTATATCTCCAGGTCCTAGTTCAGTGCCTTGCACATAGGCATTTAATACATGTGGGTCAAATGAATGACTTCAGTGCTGTATAACTATAAATATCAGCCAGATTTTTTTGTGCAGTCAGCTGGTATTACACATATTCTTTTTTATTTATTTCATTTATCTATTTCTCAATTAATATAAAAAATTTAGCATTCATTTTTTAAAATTTTGAGTTTCAAATTTTCTCACACCTTCTCCCCCATCCCTTGAAAAGGCAAGCAGTATGATACCATTTATCCATGTGAAGTCATGCAAAACATATTACCATGTTAGCCATGTTGCAAAAGAAAACACACCTAAGAAAACCCCAAGAAAAATAAAGTTTAAAAAGTATGATTCAGTCTGCACTCAGACATCATCAGTTCTCTCTCCAGAGGCAGATAGTATTTTTCATCGTGGATTCTTGGGAATTGTATTGGATCATTGTATTGGTCAGAATAGCTAAGTTTTTCACAGTTCATCATCCTTACAATATTGATGTTACTGTTTACAGTGTTCTCCTTTCTGCTCACTTCACTTTGCAGCAGTATATTTATGTCTTTCCAGGTTTTTCCGAAATTATCCCGCTCATCATTTCTTATAGCACAATAATATTCCATTACAATTATATACCATGACTTGTTTGGCCATTCCTCAGTTAATGGGCATCCCCACACTTTCCACTTTTTTACCCTGGTAAACATTATTAAGCACACAGTCTGTGTGCCAGGCACCATGCTAAGTTCTAGAAATACAACTAGAGGCAAAAAAGAAGTCCTTGCTCTCAAGGCACTGACTTGCTAATAACCAGCATGACACATAAAAGGAAGCTGGCAAGGACAGGGTGCTGACCAGAGGACTACAGTCTGGTCAGAAATGCCCCAAGGCAGGGGCTGCTTCTGAAGGAAGAGTGTGAGTTGAAGCGATCTTCCAGAATGAAGAACTTCCTGAAGCATGATGAAGTCCAGAGGACTACAACATGATGGGAAATGTCATCATCCTTCTGCCTCCATCAACATCTCATTTCTCTTTAATAATAATAGTATTATATAATGCTTTAAAGTTTGAAAAGCATTTTAAATGTATTCTCTCATTTTTTCCTCAAAACAACCCTGAGATATAGATACTATTATCTCTGTTTTACAAATGAGCAACTGAGGCAAAAATAGATTAACTGACTTGCCCAGGGTCACAAAGCTAGAAGGTGTCTGAACTCAGGTCTTCCTGACTTCAGGTCTAGCACAGTGTCCACTCTGGCACTTAGCTACCTAGGTAGCAAATCTGGTAAATTCCTCTTTAACATTTTTGTTTCCACAAAGCCAGGGCATCATTGTGTATTTATCGGATTCCAAAGAAATAAAATGCAAATTAATTTTTAAAATCTGTTACTTGCTACCCTGTGGGCCCAAGTCTATTTCAGAGCCTCCCTTAACCCTCCCTCAAATAATGAGGTATTACACAGGCCACTAAAACAACATTTACAAGGAGGAGAACCATATGAAATGTGTGCTTTGACTAATAAACATTTTTCATTTCTCTTTCAGAATGTCTGCTTCATTTTCCCTCAGTTTTTATACCAGTTCTTCTGTGGATTTTCACAACAGGTGAGTCTCAAAGTCTAGATAAGGATTTTGCCTAACCTGATTCTTTTTTCCCAGCATATTGAGAGAATGAGGGTAGGTTGTCATTCGCATGCAAAAGATCACCTTTGCAGGAAAGTGAGGAAGGAGATGGAGAAGGATTGATGGAAAAGAGAGGGTATCCTCCATCCTAATCAGCCTCGGAATTATGTGTGTCTTTCCTTATCCCTGTAGCAGACTGGGGTAGAGGAACATTTGGGGCAGAACCAAGATAGCATTTCCCTTTGGTGGCTCTCTCATTGAATTTTAGCTCTCTAAAATACCTCAAAGTGTTATAAATATTAATATAGTGCTTGCTTTCTGTGCAGTCACAGCAGTGACTAAGTGATTAATTCTCTGCTGGGCCTGGGTAAAAAGGAAACAGGGTGACTTTGCCGCTTTAGTTTGATAGAGTAGTTTAGGAGTAGAGTACCTCCTGATCCCAAGAGTCAGAATCCACCCCAGTATGCCTTCAGTCCAGATCCCTTTGCTCTGCCCTTTTTGGTGAGTTTTGTTAGCATATCCAATAGCAAGACAGGTCATCCTGGGATGATGGGGTGAGGACATCCCCGGAAGCGTTATTGGGAACCCTTCCCTTTTTATAGGGACTCTTCACCTCTCTATATTGTTGGGAGCAATTTTAATTGTGAATATTCTGGTGGTTATTGGTATTTGATCTTTGTATGTGCTAAGGTGAAATAGTCATCCTGAGATTATAGGGTGAGGTCAGCCCCTTAATCATTATGGGAAACCCATTTCACAGGGACCTTCAGCTATTGGCATTATCAGGTACAGTTTTAATTCTAACTACATAAGAGTTTAGATGAAGGCCTTGATTAGTCTACCTTATGCGGGATATCCCAAAAGTCTTAGTGCAGTCGTAAGCGGTAAGCTACTGCTTACAGATGCTAAATTCACAGGAGCATAGCATGTGTGGTTCTTTGTAGAATTAAACCATTCCCAGTTATGGTAGATGTACATTTTGATTATTTTTTTTTAACACAAAGGTGTATGTGTTGCTTTAAAAAGAAAAACAATTCTTTTTTTTTCTTCAGCCTTTATATGATACTGCGTATCTAACACTGTACAATATCAGCTTCACTTCCCTCCCCATCCTCATGTACAGTCTGATGGAGCAGCATGTCAGCAGTGATATGCTCAAGAGAGACCCTTCACTGTACAGGTAATGTCACTGAGATACAGCTTAGTAAAATGACTTGTTTAGAGCATCTTCTGCTAGCAGAGATTCCTAAGTGGGGAAATCACCCAAGTTAAATAACATACATTTATTGTGTGTACGTGGTTTGTGTCCCATTCAACATGCATATGATTAAGTCATTTTGTGTCCGATGTGTTCTGATACAGTTATAACTGTGAAACAAGAAGAGCGGTAGTAGTTGACGTTTGTATAGCCCTTTAAAGTCTGCAGAGTGATGTGCTACTTCAAAGCATTTCATCTCATAGATTTCCTGCCTACATTTCCCTTATAAAGAAAACAAAAGGTATATTATTTCAGAGGGGAAAGAGAATTGTTTGTCTTTTAGTGAACCTTACTTCACTTGACCCCTTTATGCTAAAGGGAGTCCTTCTTTCTTTTTTTTTTTTTTTAACAGAGCTAGGTCTTTGATTTCACTGGTATGGGGAACTCTCAAAAGACAACTTCCTTGGCCAGTGCTGATCAGAGCCTGCTCTGTGCCTTACAATCCAGGAGAATTACCTGGTGGCCAGGGCACTAAGAGAAGTTACATGACTTGCCCAGAGGCACACAGCCAGTGGACGTCACAGGTGGAACATGAACCCAGGTCCTCTATGACTCAGTGGTCAAACTCTTTATCCACCTCGTCATGCTGCTTCTCTTAATTCCAGTTCAAGGGAAAATTGGGCATATCTTATGTTCCCATCAGGACTTTTGACAAAGGTGATTCCTTGCTTTAATTCTGTGATGGATTATAGGAATCTACTGACTGCTGTGTTGCTTCCTCTAATAATAACTTATATATAGTCAAAGAGTCTCCTGGAATAACGAACCACAGCAATGAAGGCTCAGATCAGGGGGAAAAAGGCCAGAAATCTCCAGTGAACGTTATTTGTTGGGTTAGTGCACATTGACTGGCTTAATGCATAAAGTTGGGAAGAAATAAAATTATGTTTGTGAGTAGATTTGCATATATGTGTGGGTGTGTGTATAGATAATCACATATCTGATTATAACATTTACATGTATGCGTGTATATACACACATTGTGCACGTTTGTAGGCACATAGAGAAGAATTATTCAAATATTCTCTTTTCGTGAATTTTTGAGAATAATATGTGTTGGGAAGCCACTCGGGCAGCAAATCAACAGTATCAACGTACAACATAAGGCAACATTGTGTGGTGGAGCCATGGCTTGGGAGTCAGAAGATGTGGGTTCAAATCTCAGTCAGGAGGGGCAGCTAGTGATGCAGTGAATAGAGCACCGGCCCTGAAGTCAGGAGGACTTGAGTTCAAATCCGGCCTCAGACCAAACACTTGACACTTACTAGCTGTGTGACCCAGGGCAAGTCACTTAACCCCAATCGCCTAAAAAACAAACAAAAAAAACCAAATTTCAGTCAGGCCCTCTAACTGAGTAGCCGTTTGACCTTAGACAAATCACACGAGCTTCAGTGTTCTCATCTGTAAAATGGGAAAAAATAATGTTGGCACTAACTACCTCCTTCTTGTTGTGAGCAAAATGATTTTAAACCTTGAAGTGCTAGATGAATGTGAGTTGTTTTGTGATTGCTATGGAGTTACTAGGAAGGTAATTCATTGAGGAGGTAGAATTTGAACAGGCTCTGATGGATGGAGCTCATTGGGAGAAGGGATTCCAGACTTTTCTTTAGCATATTCATTAGAATCCTAGTATAAGGTGTTTAGCTGTTACAAACATTTGGATGCACTGAATATCCAGGTGTGACTCCTCAGAGAGAGCTAGAAAGTTAATAAATTACTGCATGGCCTATGAACAAAAGACCTTTTTGAAGATGGAAAGGCTGATTGAGTCCTACCTCTGACACATAATTACCTATATGACCATATACAAGTCACTGAAATTCTCCATTTTCTGGACACTCCCTTTAAGCTTTTGTGCTGCAGACAAATTGCTGATCCATGTCAGTAGAAAGAATTTCTAGTGAGTAGTTCCTCACCCTGATAAAATAAATGATCTAGTGAGGGAAGAGCCAGTCATATTCCTTAACACTAGCATTTTAAGTTGGAGAGTGGGGAATGGGGAATGGGAAGGATGTCTGCCACCTTTGGGTTAAAAAAGAGTCTTCAATTTTGTTTTGTGCAGGGATATTGCCAAGAATGCTCTACTCCGCTGGCGAGTATTCATTTATTGGACATTCTTGGGTGTGTTCGACGCTCTGGTATTTTTCTTTGGTGCTTATCTGATGCTTGAAAATACGGCAATGACCATCAACGGTCATGTGAGTATTTTACTTGATTGATGTTGGTTTTAGAGGAAAAGAACTTTGCAATCCTGAATGATCGTTTTATCAACATAGTTCTTTGGGAGTGCGTAGGAAGACTTCCATTGGGTTTTTGCATAATAGAATGATACTGGAAATGGTTTTGTGTCTTTAGTGGAGATGCTGCAATAAAAAGTGAAATATCTTATGTTAAGTTGATAAATAGAGTCCTGTGCATAGCAGTGTTTTGATTGTGGAGAAGTAGTTTGTCCAATTTGTTCTTTCTGTAACTAACATTTCATCATTAGCTGTTTACCCTCTGTCTCAGGTAAGTTATTAGTGTGTTTTGTTATTAGTTGAGTGTTATTTCATATTTAGTATATTTCATTTTTCCATGTGACATTATTTTAGCAATATTTTCTATGCAGTTAGTGGATTTGTGTTTTATATACATTCTTCATTCTGGTTGTTGATACATTTTCTGGGGGGTTGTTTTATTTTTATCTCGCTTTTTTTCCCCTTTTTGCTACTTGCTTCTCTTCCTACCCTCAGATAATGACTACCAGCACACACATGGTAAGAGGATTGTGGTTTTGTCCCTTTCTCTGTGTTCTTGGACCACATCACAAATAAAATATTTCTCGTAAATATTTTCAAATGTGACTTTTTCGGTGTGCTTTATTAGTTGAAATATTCTTAGCTGCTGCTTCCTTTCCACTTGCTTTTAGGAATAAAGTTGTCTTAATAGAAGATCAAGAGTATCTGTGTGTGCGTTTGACCGTCCACAGTTAATGCTTTTTCTGAGCTCAGCTGAGCCCGATGTTTGAGGGTTTTTTGTTTGTCTGTTTGTCTGCTTGCTTGAGATGTCTAAATTGGCTTTAATAAAAAGATAAATGCATGTAGATATGACTAATAACATTCCATAGAACCTCACTGGGAAACTTACATTTGAATGTTCTGTGCTCAGACTGCTGAAGAGAGTCTTCGAAGTAGCTCTCCTTGGCTTCCATGAATATTAAGTAATCCCTCCAAATAAACAAGTCACTAATGGATAAAGAAAAATTACTTTCTGCCGTCCCCTTCCTACAGTCCACTCCATCCCCGCCCCTGGAGAGTGAACCCAGGTGATGAGATCATAGACTGAGATCTGGAAGGTCTCCTCCCAGGGGTGGGGAACCTGCGGCCTCGAGGCCACATGTAGCCCTCTAGGTCCTCAAATGCAGCCCTTGGACTGAATCCAAGCTTCACAGAACAAGTCCCCTTGATGAAAGGATTTGTTCTGTAAAACTTGGACTCAGTCCAAGGGCCGCACCCAAGGTCCACTCTCCTCATTTCATGGTTGAGGTTCTCTCAACTCCAGTTGCACTGTTCTTTCTCCTCTACTAGCAGTTCTTTGATAAGTTTTGTATGCCTGTGGTTCTTCTCCTTCCTCTCAGATAGCTCTTTACCTTATTAGAGTCTATTAGATTGAGATCCAGATGTCTTAATGCCTGTGACTTGTCTCTTAGATCTTGTTTAATCCTGTTTTCATCCATGTGACTGGAAGTTCTGTTGTCTTTCCATGGGACTCAAATCAGTTGCATTGAATTGATCTGTTGAATTATCCAGATCTTTTTTCTGCTTGCTCTTCTGATCTCTCTATTTCTAGTAATTTCTCATTTGTCTTGGTCCATGTCTTTGGTTTAACAGTTGCTACAATCCCCAAATGCCTCCTGCCCTTATTAGATTCAGACCAACTATGTAGTTTTCAATGGGGCTGTCTTTAGTGCTTTTATGTAGCTGCTTCAGAGCTTGCTTATGGGTCAAGCTATAAGTAAGTGACTTGCATGCAACTCAAATGGCTGAGATACCACACCCTAAAAACTTTTGCAAAGAGTGGCCAACTAATGTTGAAGGGTGAAGTTCCTGTGGATGGGAAGTGATTATCTTGTAAAATGCAAATGGATTTACCCTCTATTTTAGAAAAGCATTTTTTAAAAAAGAAGATAGATATGAATTTCCCGTTTATGAGGCTGATGGTCAGGCGAAACCATATGGTCAGTAATATGTTGCTGGATGCGAAATAACCTATTCTTCGTTGTGTGTTGAAGGTGTAAAATTTTTTCTCATTCTTACTCAAACCCTGTATGCTATGATAGGATCCAGCAAAGCTAAAGACTTCAAAATGGAAGACAGATAGAGTGGACAGGTTTTTTTCTGGATGACCAACTTCTATTTAGTTTGGTCACTTGAGACCTGGAGCTGTTGCTGAATGTTAGCTGTTTAGTGATATAAGTTTAAGCAGGTTAATTTCACTAAAGCTGTCAGGCACAGCCCAAAGCATATGTGATGTTTCTTTGTTAGAAGACTGATCCCAGAAGACTAATGAACCCTCTAGCAATGTTCCCATTAGAATCAGGAGAAGGTCCCTTGTCACCATGGTCTTTGAAGTTCCTATTCTGTCTTTTGTCATTAGTGGGGAATAGTTTTTGAAAGGCATTTGTACATGAGCATGTTGATCTAGCATCTTTAAAGAATGGTGCATTAAAAAAACAAAATCACGATTGGAGCTTTTTTTTTGGGGGGGGAGTTGTCCTTGGCCCTAAACATTTCTCATAGCAGTTCCATTTATTGATATTGCACGATATTGCACAGCTCATTTACAGGAGCTGTAATCCTTTTTGATCATTATTAGTTCAGTAGTACTGTATTCCTCACAGAATACTTACAAATTTGGAATGTGTTAATCGTAGACATCTGTAAACATCAAGAACATAATGGAATTGTGAGCAGTAAGCAGTGCGGGCGCAGAACAAATTCTGCCAGACAAACTCAACCACTTTCTTAGTAAAATCACTGAAAGAGTAAGTGAAGGGAATATAGGAAACGCTCCTAAAGGAACCAGTTCTGAGAAAACTAATGAATCATTGTCTCGTGGAATTTCACTTATAAATGAAATTTAAATTAGTTTGCTCTTGAAAACCTGGACAAGAATTGAAACTTGCTAAAAGGTTCCCCCCAACAAAATTGACTAACACAGAATACAGTAAGTTGGAGAAATCTCTGGGGTACCAATGATGATTGGTGCTAGATCTCAGCTTATTTTAACATCTTCATTAATAATCTAGGTGAAATGGTAACGTTAATTAAATATACAGATGATGCCAAGCTGAGAAGTATTAAAAGAAATTGAAAATTATGTCTAGTAAGTATTCTCTGGGACCTAAAATCATAAGAAACATGAGATTCATTACAAAAAGATAATTCCACTTGGACATTTTTTTTCCTTTTCTATGGAAAAACACTTTGAAAGAAAAAAGTATCAGAGGAAGACATGAGCCCTCATTTATGCTGCTTCTCTCCTCATCTCCATACTAAAGGAAATAATACAAAAACCTAAACTAACACAGCTTGATAAGTAGATGGAATCAAGGTCCCTTTGTAATAGCAACAACTTGATATCCCTGAGGTCTTTGGCTTATAGTTTGAGAATATTGCCAGTGAATACCATTCATGGTCTGAGCACTGAGCTGCGGTGTTGGGTGATGATGGCCAAAGCTGTGATCCTTCCCTGCATAGGAAAAGGCAGATTTCCTTTTAAATGGATAGGGCCGATCCACTCTGCCACCCTCCCTTTTTCACTTGCTCTATATCTTATCATTTTTTTATTTTTACTATGAGGGAGGAAGGCTGTTATCCCATGGTTGACTATCTCTTGTTAAACCAGACAAATCCCAATTGTCAAGAGAGTGAAAATGTAGATCTCTGTGCCACCTCTGAAAAGCTCCTAATCCCTGGTCTTAATAGCAGCCAAAAGGAAGGTCCAAATGTGTCTCCCCGGGCCTTAATTAGAACTATATCTCTTTTCTTCTACTGCTTCTTACTCCTGTAAGAAGACAGAGATAATAAATAGAAAAGCATATGAATCAGGAGTAGCTTCCTCCTATCCCCATATAAAGAAATCCACGTTTTATTCTCATTTAACACTTTTAGTTTTCTAGCTTGTTGGCTTTAATAAAACATATTTTGTTATAATAAATACCAGTGTTATTGTCTTATAGTTAACTGGTTACTATGGGAAACATTAGCCTTTAATATAGGAATAATTCACAGACGTAGAGAAATTTTAACATTGTGTACCTCTTTAATCTGAGGAGAATGAAGGATTAAAAACCTAGGTTGGAAGATAGATTCATTGAGCCTGCTTTTAACAAAGAAGAAAATCATTTTGAGTAGGTACTACTCTTTTTTCATGTCTTCGACAGATATGCATTAAGTTCCTACTAGTAGTCATAGACTAATAGAATGTCAGAGCCAGAAGGGACCTTAGAGATGATCCAGTTCAACCCCTTCACAAGTAAGAAAACTGAGGCCCAGGGATGTTAACCCAAAGCTAATTCATATCCTTACTGCCACATATCTGGGCTGTTGGAATAACTTCATAATTAGACTTCTGCCTCTCCTAATTTCTACCTCCAGTACATCATGCATGACACTACACAAAACACCACCTTGATAATACAGTCCCATTGTTAAAAAAACTTCCATGCCGATATCACGTCCGTTTCGTTACCTTGATATTCAAGGTCTCATAGAGTATGATCAAAAAACTACCCTTCCAGCCTCGTCCCCTGCTATTTTTCTATTAATGAACCTTTCATTCTAGCCAAACAAGTCTATTCATTGGCCCCTCTAAAGTATTTCACTTTCTGCGGCCTTTTATGTTGTTCCCCTGCCCTGTAACGTCCTCTTCTTTGCTTTCAAGTCTTATACAGACTTAAAATCCCAGCTCAGCTCCCTTCTTTTCCATTGCAGCACATATTTATCTTTCTTTTTGATTGTATGGCTCTCATATTTTTAACACTTGTGTCATTGTTCTTTGGCTTCCCAACCAGACTGTAAGCTCCAGGAGGGTAGGAGCCAAATCTTATCTAATGTATATCCTTCTCAGTTCTTGGCACAGTACCTAGCACACGGTAGGCACCCACTAAGCCACTGGTTGATCCCTACAGGTGGTGATTCCCTAGCGATCTAAGAAAGTTAATACATATCCACATAGGTCATTTTCTTTTATTGAAGAGACTTGGAAAAATTAGTTTAAGTACATAGTTAAAGCAGGTTCAGAAACTCCACTGAGGCTCTGCATGATCTCCCTGGGCCTCCACCTGTAAAACTGGATCATAGGATTTCATGAGAGATCATGATGCCCAGCTTCCTCATTTTAAATATGGGGAAGCTGGGGCAGCTAGGTGGTGCAGTGGATAGAGCATCGGCCCTGAAGTCAGGAGGACCTGAGTTCAAATCCAGTCTCAGACCAAACACTTGACACTTACCAGCTGTGTGACCCTGAGCAAGTCATTTAACCCCAACTGCCATAAAAAAAGAAAAAGAAAAAATAAATAAATAAATGAATGAATGTGGGGAAGCTAAAGCCCAAGGGGTAAAGTGGCCCTGGGTGTCATACCATAGGAATGATCCTTCATGGAGAAATGCTACCTTTTAATCCTCCCCTCTTCAAAGAGATGTTGTAGGGATGTGTTAGAAGGAACTAAATCATATAATAGGAGAAAGCATTATTATATTAACTATATTATGCATACTATGTTTCTAGCTTTTTTTTCTTTTTTACAATATAGAGAATGCATTTTTCACATATTTTGTTTGTTCCCAAGATATGTATTTAGGTTTATGGACTGTTATTTACTTCAAAGGTTCATAAAATTTTTGAAGTACTTTTTTGTGCCAGTACATGGGTTTAAATTAGTGTATTGGTCCATTGTTCTAGTCAAAAAAGGAACAGTCCCAGTTCTGGAGACAATCATAATTTCAAGGTAAAGTGTAAAAGAATATGATGACACCAGAAATACTTTTCCAAGAAGGTTATGGCCAACATAGGTCCTTGAGGAGTGAGTACTGGAAACATGCCTTAAGAAACCATTCTTCCCAGAATGAGAAATGAGAGAAGGACGTGGTTCTGACTCTGTGGCGGATTCATTTTTTTTTTTATCTTCGTTATGTCTTCATTGAAGTTAGTCCTTTTGATAGAGACTGTACTTGGCTAAGGATTAGGTGTCTTAAGCAAAAGTTGATCCCCCATCGATAGGTGGTTGGCTTTGTATAATTCACAAGCGTATGGTTTTCATGGGTTATAATTCACCCTCACTTTGACCGATCTCAGCTTTTCATGTCATAATTCAGAAGCCTCTAAAATAGGAGAGACTCAAAGCCACTGTACTCCCTGCCTGTCTTTTGCTCTCTCCTCGTGGCCAGACTTCCTTTTGCCTCCCAGAAGTCTGTCTCTTCAGTTTAAATGTTGAGAGGCCTAAGTTCTAGGAGTCTGCATTCAAACTGAGTGCTTCAGGGGCCTCCTCCCACCACCCACAGCCCCCTTTCTAACTTGCCTGTTTTCCTTTCTCATCCTTTTGACTCATCATATTTAAGAACTGTTATCCCCTCCTCCTGTTAATGTGACTTATCTTGGAAATGCCTCCTGTTCTTACTGAAAGTGATTGAAGATCCAAGTCCCTAAAAACAATTGGCAGTTAGATTGATATACATAGGTCAGAGGCTTTTGAAGAGTAAGACATGAGCACTCCAAATGACCCCAAAGCAAGGTTTATTGAGGTGACCAGACACGTGTCTGCTGCTATGTAAAATACCAAAAAAATTCCTAGTTTGGAATCTACTGAAGGACATAATTTTATTATTTAAAAATCTTTTGCCGACCTACATGTATTATTTTCAGGATTACTGAAGTAGTAACGTTTATTAGTGTACAGTGTAGAGGGGCAGCTAGGTGGTACAGTGGACACAGTGCCGACCTAGAGTCCTGAGGAGCTGAGTTCAAATTTGACCTCAGACACTTACTTGACTGGGTGACCCTGGGCAAGTCACTTTAACCCTGTTTTCTGGAGAAGGAAATGGCAAACTGCTCCAGTATATTTGCCAAGACAACCCCAAATGGGATCACAAAGAGTCAGACACAACTGAAAACAATTGAACAATACACAGTGTACTGTGTGATACTCATAGACACATCTATAATGTTTATATCATTATATATTTTTATTATTTATTATGTTTGATGTTAATTTATGTATTTAATATAATTACATATTTTATAAAAATTTAATATTTAAATAAATTTTTTTAAGGAGAAAAAGAGTTCAAGATAGGTGAAATGAGTGGTTTGGGAGACAGTAGTCAAATGATTTAAATAGGGGTTAGGGCAGTGTTAGAGAGAAAAAGTCCTTTCTCTGCCTCAGAACGTAATCATGGCCACTTCCTTTGATTAATTACAAAAAGAATCAGCATGGAATTGTGGATAGCAGATCAACAGTTTTCCAAGACTATAAGATATGGATGAGTTATACTTCTGCATTGGTGGTAGGAGGGTTGACATCAGGAGTTACTTGTCCCAGTGAAATCCCAGGTCCTCTCAAGATTATCAGAAATTATTCCTGGGGTTGCTGTTGACTTGAGCACAAATTGAAGTGCTTATACCCAAGGATGACAGTGAAGCTTGTTCTATTCAAAGGATTTGGTTGCTTTTTTGGTGTGAAGAGTGACACTGCTATGTGGTTAGCAGATGACTTGAGACATGTTTTCCTGCCAAACAGGTATTTGGAAACTGGACCTTTGGAACAATGGTGTTCACTGTGTTGGTATTTACAGTTACACTAAAGGTAAGGTCATTGATATTAATATTTCATCTGCTGGTCTGATAATCAGTAATATACATAGGCACATACACTTAGCCTCGGGTTTCCTCATCTACAACCTCCTTCCAGTGACTGGCCATGGCCTACTAAAAGTATATGCTGCCTCCTTTGGGCACAACTAGTTTAGGAGGTATAATGTAGCCATCTTTAATCAAATTCATTGTATAAAAATTTGAATTTATACAAAAGATACGTTAGGGAGTGAAGACGCACTCGCTTCACAGAAGGATTCATATTAAATGGATTCTTTTAGAAGGCAAGTACTGATATATTTAAAACATTTTATTTACATGAATTAAGATTTTTTACAAAACTTTTCAGGAAATCTTAGATAACACAGAGTTTGCCAGTGCTCTGGAAAACTAACTGACCATATGATCGCTGTGGGGTCACTGAAACCAAAGGAAAAGCCTCATCAACAAAACTCAGCATTGCTGCTTGGAGTGACCTGGCTCCAGTGCTTGGAGCACCGTGTTAATATGAGCCCTTTGCAATTTCCCTAATGCCTCAAGGAGCTCCCTTTCACCCCAGGTGCACTCCTTGTCTCCGGGAGACAGGTTGCCAAAAACTGGCATAGCTAAAAAGCTAAATGCATTGAGCTTTCTTTAGTAATGTTAAGGTTTCCTTCACTGTCTTGTTCCAGCTTGCCACTGGTTAATGGCACCAACACCAATCATTCTTTTTTTTTTTCCCTTTTAGCTTGCCCTCGATACACACTACTGGACTTGGATAAATCATTTTGTTATTTGGGGATCTCTGATTTTCTACATTGTCTTTTCTCTGCTCTGGGGAGGAATTATCTGGTAAGAATATAGTCAAATCATTTTTGAGATCCTTAAAAACCCTTGGCTTTTTTAAAAAAAAAATTATATTTAAGTATTAAATAGCTTCCTTTCACTGTCAAGAGATAGACCTGGGCCAGAAATCATCTCTTGCATTTCAGGTACAATGACAGGCCCAGTCTACTCTTCTCCTTCTGCCAGTTCCCTTTACCCCCTTTTTCTATAAATCTCTTCTCAGGGAGATCTTTCATAGTTTGGGAACATGGAACCTTAGATCTATCTCAAGCATCCCTAGACAGCTCTAAAGAAATTAACATAGGAACCTTTACCTACCTAGGTTTAGAGTCAGTAGTGCATCATTTACTTTAATGTTTTGAAATTGGAGATTTTTTTTCCCCTTAGTTAAGTAAAGAAGAATTAATTAAACATCCTAAGTTTGACTAGGTTTAGAAGTCCTTCTTAAACTAGCCACTGGACAAAACATACAGATCGGCAGTGTAGCCAAGAGTCCTTTGAGTCACGGGCAGAACTCTAAAATTCTTCTGCCAAAACCTTTCCCTCTCACTTGCTCTGTGGCTTTATTGTATGTTGTAATACAAATAATGGATTCCTACTAAATGGGAAACACTGTCCTAGACTCCTCCTCACTGACCTTGCTTTGATTATACTTACCAATTGCCAGTGTTGAATTACCAGCACCGTTCATTTTCTCCTCAGGGCTAAGGAGCATGGCTAAAGAAAAATGTGGCAACCGAGGTCACGTTCTTGCTATCTAATCTCAACTGAGTCCATCCTGATTCTCAGTAGTCCTTTTATGCATCTCCTGTTGACAATGACATTCTCTGTAGAAACTCCTATAAATCTTTTCTACTTTCTTAGGTTCTTGTCCCCACCTCCAGCACTCTCCCAGAATGATTTTTTTCTTTATTCAGATTGAGACTATCTAAGAAGAATTACACGTATGTCCAATTTTTCATGTCAAGATGTATCAGTATCGCTCCTTTGACTCTGTCTTAGGAAGTTCCTCCCTCTTTTTGAGAGTTAGTTAACCTGTCTTCTTGATTCCATCTTCTTCCTCATCCGCCAGGATTTTGTTCCCACGGTTTTCCTGACTTAATGTTGTGTCTTCAGTTTCTTCTGCTTCACTGGCTTTGAACCCTCTGCCTTCATCCATGTTCAGGCCTCCTCTATGCTAAAAGCATAAACAAAAAAAACAAACAAAAACTCCTCCTGCCTCCTGAAGCTTCCTTTCAGTTTTTCTCCTTTTTTTAGGCTAACTCTTCATTGCCTCATCACCTGCTGACTCTCTTAGAACCTGACTTTTCCTTCTATTGAATTTTCTCTCTCAAAAGATTCTTAATGACCTCCTTTGCTCAGCTGGCCTTCTCTTTAACCTGTCCTTAGCACTTGACATTGCTGACCATCCTTTCATTACTAAATTGAATCCATTTCCTCTCTCATTTCAGTATTTAGAGAGATTTCTGGATTATTGTCATACTTCTCTGCTCCTTCTCTGTCTCCTTCATTTACTTCTTTTTTATCCTTTTCCCTATCTCTGTGCTTTCCCTCAGTGATCCTGCACATTCTCACAACTCTCACTTTTATTAGTATAGTTTCCCAGTCTATATCTTCAGCCCTGATTTATCTTTGATCTTTATTTATTATTGTCTTTATTATTTATCTTTAATCCTGCACTTCCAATTGTCTGCTAGACATTTCTGCTTGGTTATCCTGTTAGTGCCCCAAGCTAAAATCAAGCCTTTTGCCCACCAAAGAACTTTGTAGGCTGGAACAATCACAACTCATGTGTGTTGCTTAATGTCATTTCATTGTCATTGAGCTGTATCCTGGAAAAAACAAATCCCTCTAACCCACAATAATACTCTCCACGGTTCTTGAAGTCATTTTGCATGACTAGATTTTCCATCTAAACATTTTTTGGCTTTCTTGTCAAATGTTGGTTGGAGCAACCTACAAATGAATTTTAAGATATATATCTCTGGAAGGTGAGTTTGAACCTTTCATCGACAAGCTGTCACTCATCCAGTTGGGGACCCCTTCTAGCCAAAAGAGACTTGAGCTTCATAGTTTCTGAGCCCTCCTTCTGGGATCTGGAGGCACAGGATGAAGTTGGTAGTGTTCCATTGATCCCGATAAGGACCAAAGAACCCTCTCAGAGCACTAGTGACCTCTCAGAAGCAGCGGGCAGGGTAGGGATACTTTCCTGTGGTTATGCCTCTACCAAGAGGTGATGTTTAATGCTCAGGCTGCCATAGGGAAACTTGGTACTGGAATCAAGACTGAACTACACTGGTGGACTCTTACGCCTCCAATTTTAGTCTCCTCTAGGAAAGAAGACAATCCTCTGATTCACTCCTGCCTTCAAATAAAAATTTAGCAATTTGTTCATATAGTCTACTTCTCATCCATGAGGCAGGAGTTAGGGAAGGGAGAATGTGTATAAATGAAATCAGACATTTTTGCCATTACTACCTCCATTTTTGTCTTCCTTTCTCAGGTGGCCATAAAGGATATTTTCCTCCTTTCTCTCCAAAATTCATTATTTCCTTTCATCATTAATGAGGCATCTAGATGGTGCAATGGATAGAGTGTTGGACTTGGAGTCCAGAATCCAGAAGACCTAGGTTTAAATCCTGTCTCTGACACTTACTAGCTGCATGACATTGGGCATGTCATTTAACCTCTGTTTGCCTCTCTTTTCTCATCTGTAAAATGAAGGTGGTAATAATAACACCTACTTCCCAGGGTTGTTGTGAGGATAAGATGGGATAATATTTGTAAAGTACACAACCCTTAAAACATTTTATAAATTCCAGCTTTCATTATGAATTTATCTTAACTGGTAATTTATAGTCATGGCTTCCACCTCCCAAAGAAGTTTTTTTGTTTTGCTTTGTTTTTTTTATTCTTTTAAACAGTAAACTCTACTTTTGAATTTTCTTAACTAGAATTTTTAGTGTGATGGAATAGAAAGTCAGTAAGTTAAGTGATTCCTCGTGTGCTAGGCCCTGTGCCAAGTCCTGGAGACACAAAGAAAGGCAAAAACCAGGAGTTCTGATTCTAACAGGGGAGGCAGCATACAAACAACAATCTACGTACAGGACATGTACAGGATAAAGTGGAAATAAGGACAAAGGATTGTGAAGGGATTTAAAAGACAAACAGAGAATTTTATAATTGTTCCTGAAGATCCTAGGGACCCTCTGGTGTTCACTGGGGGTGGGGGGAAGGATGACGTTGTCAGACCTCTACTGTGAAAGCTAAATGGAGAATGGACTGGAAAGGGGAGAAACCTAAGGTAGCAGGAGAAGCAACCGGTGGGATGTTGCAGCAGTCCAGGCCTGAGTCGATGAGGACCTGTACCAGTCTAGCAGCTGTCGGAGGAGAGAAAGGGGCATGTGTGAGAGACACACATGCAGAGCAAGACATATCACTCAGAAGTAAAAGTCATGTCTAGACTTCTTTACAATAGAAGAAACATTCTCTCCATGGAGGATTTAAAAACAAGTATAAAACATTAGTTTTTTCCCCCTATAAATATGTACTTTCTCATGTGTTCTGTTTGTTTTTTTTTTTCTTCTCTCCTTGGTCCTATAGGCCTTTTCTCAATTATCAGAGGATGTACTTTGTGTTCATACAGATGCTATCTAGTGGTCCTGCATGGCTGGGCATCGTTCTGTTAATAATTGTCAGCCTTCTTCCAGATATTCTCAAAAAGGTTCTATGTAGGCAGTTGTGGCCTACAGCAACAGAAAGAACTCAGGTAAAAATCGCTGTTCTCTTAACTACTTCTTATTATTGTAAGATAAGAGTTTAGTGTTTGGGAAGTTATAAAAGAATAGGCTAAAAAGTTTGTTATATTCAGTAAAAAGTATGATTAGTCAAAAATATCAGAAATGAATGTAATTGAACATGTTCTATACAAGGTTCTACACAAAAATATATTTCAGAAGCAGTCATTATTTTAAGGTTAGCATTATTTGTCAGGGGGTGGTGATGGGATGTTATAAAAGTTCAGTGAATTTAACTAGAATTCATGACATGATAAATAGGAAGTAAAGGCCCTAGTAGATTGGGGTACTTATTTTCCACATTCTCAGACTGTGGCAAAAAAAAAAAAGATATCTGGGCTCCAGAATAAATTTCTGGATCTTACCTTTTCTCAGAGAAGTGTTTGTTCCAACCACCTAATTATTACTCTTAGCAGAGCCCTTTTACCTTTGCTCTGAGCATGGCCCTAGTCTCATAATCATTTGTAACCTCCAGAAGACTGGTTCCTTCTTCCTTAGACTCATGGAGAAGTGGGAGTCACTGTTGGGGAATGGAATGAAGTACTTCATAGCTCCTCAGTATTGAAGATTCCCTTGCTTCCTTTCTGGCCTTTTTTCTCAAAGAATCATGATGGTGTAGAGGGAACCAAAGGAAAAAGAGAACAGGAAGCCACAGATAAGATTGGGGCAACTCTAGCAATTTAAGGATGTGCCCAGAACATGAAGCTAATTTGAGTAGTGGATGGGGAAATATAATTAAAACAATAAAGAGGAAGAAAAGACCAAATACATATATGGAAGAGAAAGCAGAATGAAGGATTGTAACTATGTTCTTTGAAAATTCATGAACACTGGCGCAGTGGATAGAGCACTGGCCCTGAAGTCAGGAGGACCTGAGTTCAAATACGGCCTCAGACCAAACACTTGACACACTTACTAGCTGTGTGACCCTGGGCAAGTCACCTAACCCCAATTGCCTAAAAATTAAATTTTAAAAAGAAAAGAAAATTAATGAACACTATTTAGAACTCTGTTTTACCCAGTTTTTAAATCCCAATGGAAACGAGCTTTTGGGGATCATGTTGTTTTGTTTTGTTTTGTTTTTCATTCCAAATGGAAATTGCACACTTGAGGTGGAAAATTAGTATCCCTATATAATGACCCATGTACAATCATTCCCCAGCAAATAGAACTGAACTCTTACTTACAGTTTTTAGTAAAATGTTTGTAGTACTTAAAATGAGCTTTATTTGAAACCCAGTGCTTTTCACTCCTAGTCAGGCTTTTCCCTTTATGCTTCCTGCCTCAGTTTAAACGACAAGTCATTCTCCAGTTACTAAAGGTAAAGAAAAGTCTACTCTAGTAGTTCAATATTATGAGCTGGTCCCTTGGCAGTTCTTTCTTTGAAAACAGACAGGGCAGGACAAGAATATCTTCAAGTATCCAAAGCCTCTTTCACTTGGATGGATAGCAAAAGAATTATGGCTCCAGCCAGAGCTCATGTTGCTCTCCCAGAAAGTAGGAAGGAAACAGCTAAAGGCGGATGGTAGTTGGGGACTTCGCTCTCAGTCTCCTAAGAACAGATCTTTAGTCTATAGCGTATGGTGGTGAAAGCAGGAATTTTGATGGGAAGGGAACTTGCCCTGCTGCCTTCTGGTGGATAAGGTGAAGAAAATAAAACAAAGAAATGCTAGATACTTCCAAAGCCTTGTCCTATGAATAGCAGACCTGCTAGGGATTTATTTGTTTGTTTTTAATCTCTTGAATAGTAGTCATTATAGATGAGACCTTTAATCCTCAAGGCTGGCTCTGTACTTACTTAGGAGTCAGCAATGCAGCCCCCTGGTCATGCTATTGGGGGTTCCTTTATTCTTCCATGAGGTGTACTTTGAGTCATAGAAAAGGATAATTAGAGGTGATGGGCTTTTTGTTTGTTTTTTTTTTCCCAAGACAGAGGAAGTTTCCTCCTTAGTCTTATAGATTTTAAAATAACACTGAATAGTATAAATGTTACCATCCATTCTTCCTACTACTATAGGAGTTAAAAGTCCTCATTGTGGATTCATAGGGCACTTGGTCAGTTAGGATAGAGGGCTAAAAGGGAGTAAGAAATAAAATAAAAAACCCTAGTAGGCATAATGCTGGGATAGCATTGTTGAGAGCCATGGTTAGAGAATGAACAAGTCATGTTTGGGGATCTTAACAATGCCAGTGTCTGTTTTCTTAATATTGTCAGCATTTATGTGCACTAGGAAGTTGTTAGCTTTTAACCAGACTTATTATCCCCTTGTGTTTCTCTCTCCCCTCTCCATTTCCTTCCATCTTCCAACCTGCTTTGCCTAAATAACTGCTACCTTATTTAAACATAAATGATGTGCATGGGTACCTCCTGAACCTTCTGGGAATGGCAGACTAAACATCAGTGCCTTTCTGTTGAGCAGTCTACCATCTTTATGCTTTCTCAGACTTCCAGCAGTCTGAGTTTCTAACGGAACACAAGGTGACTCTTTTTCTGCCTTTTTGCATGCTTGGAGGACAGTCGATGTTTTACTGTAATATCAAGGACATTTATTACACACTCATGTTTATACTGGGGGCATCATATAGAGTGCTGGACTTGGAAAAGGAAAGACCAGGGTTCAAATCCTGCCTCTGACACTTACTAGCTATGTGACCTCGGGCAAGTCACATTACTCTACTGAGCCTGGGGCACCTCTGCTAAATTGTCCACTAAGTTGTAATGAGGATTGCAGTCTGCATTGGCAGAGGGAGTGCCTTTGCTACAAAGATCAATCAACAATGTAGCTTGTTTTTAAACATCAAAAAATCATAGCAAAGTTTCCTCAGAAAAGTAGTAAATATAATCATTAACTGTTTACCTATATCAGTAATTATTGACTAATACTCAATACCCACTACCAACAGAAGACTTGGTTCAAACTCTTAATATGTAGAGAGCAATACTATAAAGCAGGTAGAAGAGGCATCATTGTGCCCATTTTACAGATGAAGAAACTGAGGGTCAGAGAAATTAAGTGATTTACCAGAAGGTCTCACAGCTATATAACCAGGACAACCCGGGGCTCCTCCTGCTTCCAAGTCCAATGTCCTTTTACACTATACTGGACCTGAGACACCAGTATTACGTAGTGTCTTTATCTCATGAAGTACTATGTAGAACAGATCTGATCTATATTAAATTCCCATAGTCACGTTTCAGATTATGATATTGACACATATACCAAGTGTATTTGCAGCTCATCTGTACCACAAAAAGGTACGCCCTTGAGCAGGGTGATATTGGTGTTGGCATGATTTCCAGCTCTCAGCTACAATTCTAAAACAAGCTCATTAAAGATCATTAAACAGCTCTCTGATATATCATGTGCTATTACTTGGATAACCAAGGGAAGAATGCTGTTTTATACAAAAGTTTGAGGCTGCTTAAATTCATGGAATAAAATTTGGTGACTTTTAGCAGAAAAAAATTCTGGAAAAAGCTCTAGGTTTTTTTAGATGGCAATAACAGCCTAGGCCACAGCATTATAACCTTGTATGTGGCACTTTTGTGGCAAAAGCTTTTTTTTTTTCCCAGAGCCAAGATTTCAAGGGAGCTGCATCCTAACCAATTTTTTGTTACTTGTTCATATACTTAAATACATTTAGTCTGCTCCCAAAGTAAAGATACTTTGAAAAAGTGTGTTACTTTAGTTCAAACAATCTCCAATATTTGGATTGGATATGTACCAAAATTTCACATTTAAGTTGCTTGTTTGAAATGCTGTTGAGTTTTCCCATAATAACATTGTTATAAATGGTGGCTTGGGTTTCCAAGTTTGCTAACATAACATAAAATGTTATGTTAACATTTTATTAACAAAAAATATATCTGTTACTGTGTTGTAAATACTCTAGAACCTGACAACCAAGTGTAATAAAGTGACTCAGAGTCCCATTTGGAAGGTCAGGAACACACCTGGAACCCTCTTAGCTAATGAAATCAGTTAGAACTGAGACTCTCTAATCTCCAAGTCACTGGTGGGAGTTGTACATGGCTTGTGGGAGGAACTGGTGATGAGAAAAGAAAAGGGTGAGAGAAGAGATAGAGACAGGGAATCAGAGATGAAGAAGAGGGACCATGTTTCAAGATGGGGCTAAGGGAAAGACATTATGAACTGCCGCCCGCCCCCCCCCCCCACCAAGGGATACTTTTTGGGGTAAATTTCCCTCTCACCTCTTTTCTTAAGTATTAGGGATTGTCCTGCCTATTTCCCAGATAAAAGTTAAGGAAGGAAATTTGCTTTTCCTGTAGGGTCTTAGGGTACATATAACAGGATTAAGCAAGATTCGCTTGTATTTCAGAAGAAAAGTAGACTTTGGAGGTACTAAGCACTTTATCTCAGGAGACTGAGCTGAAGTTGGTACTCTGGGCTAGAGGGGAGGTTGAGAACTGAGTTGGCAGGGAGAGGAGGAAGGAGAAAATCCAGGAGGGGGTGGAGCTTTTGGTCTGTTACAGGTTTTAAAACACTAATTTGTTATAAACCCCCCCACACACACACACACCCAGGACTGTCTTCTTTCTCCTCTATCTGTTGAGTTCTCAGATGAGGGAATAGAAAAAGGAAAGGAGATGACATTCTTGTGAGCCTATTCCCCCAAACTCTCCCTCTCCTCCCTTAGTTTCTCTTAATAGATTTCCCACTAGTACTTGGCACGTAATAGATGTACATGGAGGATTCAGGGAGTGAGAGAATGAATGAATGAACCATCTCCTCAGCTGTGCTTCTCCAAAGAACCCATGGTCTTTTCCTTAAAGCTCCCTCAGCTCAGCTCCAGGTCTGTGATGAAAGGCCTAGTACCATCCAAGTCTGCTTTTCCCTTACATAAGAACAATCTTCTAGCAACACCTGGCCCAGAAAGGCATAGGAAAGTTCTCATCTGGATCAGCTGTTTCTGGGGTGATTGTTAGTATGTAACAAACACATCTCTGTTGGCGTCTGGTATTATTGCCATTTTACTAAAAACAATATATTGCACAAAGTTTTTTAAAAGATGGGGAGGGACCTTTTTTCTCTTAGTAACTATTGATTGAGAGGGAATGTGCCTTGATGGTGAGCCTGCCTTGGAGTCAGGAAGGCCTGGGTTCAAGTCTTGCCCCTGACCTGGAGTGGCTGTAGGACCACTAGCAAGATACATAATTCTCAGTACCCTGAGGAACTCTAAGTCTTTTAAATTACAGAGGAGTTGCTGATCCATGTAAGTGGAGGGAGTTTCCATAGTAGGAGCTCCCTAAATTGAAATCGTAAGTCCAGACCAAAACAAACAAAAAGCTCCTCAAAAACAGTTGATTGGCTGTACAGCTTCAGTACTATTTAATTGAGTAACATCATAAAAAAAAAGTCACTTTCCTTTTAAGTAAAGTTAATTGACTTAGTCCAGTTTAATTATTTTTAGTCTAGGGTCACCAAAATATGTTGTAGTGAATCACAGAATTCCGTCTTTGTTATTTCCTTATGTAAAAGCATGTAGGATGAAATTATTAGGAATGTCTTAGTAAGGCAGAGATGGTGCTAGGGGAATTGATTTAGCCTCCTGAAATTCAGCTCAAAATAAATATTCTAGAATGAGTCTAGATTAGAGCCCTAACCTTAAAGAGGCTGTTTTACTTTTAAATAGTTGCAGAAGCTGGAACAGGTCATCACTGATCATTATCTTTCATTTCCACAGCAGCTGAAGGCATTGAGGTCTTAGACCATTGAACATTCATCTGTAGGGGTGGTGAGCAACTATTTACAATCACTGCTTAGCCATGTAAAAATGAGCATCAGTAAACCAAAACCAAAACATTTACTGCACATGCAAAACACGTTTTCTGTGACGGAATTTAACCTATCCAGTGGTCTTCAAAACTTTGGAGGAATCAAGCATTTGTTTAACCTACATATGGACTACATTTTGTTGGGGTTTTTTTTCCACCTTTCTCTGTAAAAATTATCATAGGCACCAATCCCATTTCCTTCCTCCACCCCATCTTTTTTTTTTAATATAAACAATTATTTCTGCAAAGTGCAACAGTTGCATTTGCTTCGTTTTTCCTTTCCCTTATTTTATATGGAAACATTACATCAATGCAAGTTTAAGCACACCATTTAGAGTTGTCCATCACTCTTAGAAGGACTCTTTTTCACATTTGACTGGGAAATGACCAGGTCTGAGTAGAACATCTTAAGAAGGCCAGCCCCACCCATCTGGGACCATTTTGAACATCACACAGTTAAATCTTTTGGATTTCATTTCTCCTGCTAAGACTCTTCCTTTTTGATTACTGGCTGTCATTTTAGTTTTGTCCAAGGGGCCATTGAAGCCCCTTGAGAAACCTTCATCGATGCTCTTTGCAGAAGAGCAGGAACTTTGTAACTGCCTGGGGAAATGGCTCAGAGGGCCATGTGGACCCTGCAGCGGGCTTCCTTGCTCGAATGCTCCTGGAAGCCCACGCTGTCTGTGTTCTTGGCAGGTCCTGTGGAATCTCCTACCACATTTCAAGCAAGATTGTGCCCGTGAATTTGGCTTCTTACTGCACATGCATTGGGAACATTCAGTGACTTCACTCAGGTTCTTTATCTCCAGAATACAGCACATGTTTGGGGAAAGTGGGCTCTCCTTTCCCTCCTCACATACCCAACCTTGGATACAGTTGTCTTCCAGTCCGTTCAGCAGCACTGTCATGGATGACGAGGGAAGCCTGCTGTTCTTTAGTGTATTTCCTGCATGGCCTGGAAATTGGCAGCTCATAGATAAAACACCCATTTGCCTTCATTGATTTCTGTAAACCTGTGCTTTCCTTCCCCCGCAGAGGTACTTAGTTGCGTTGAATATTTAACAGCCAGTGGCAGCATACTTTCCTACTGTGTGTTTGACTGTATGATGATGAAAGCCCCATGAGCAAAACAGAGATAGTTTCCTTTTTACGTGATCCAAGAGGCACTGGAGAACATAGCCAGAGGTGGTGTCTCATGGTATAAAACAAGTGTCTTCAGCTTTCATCAGGTTTGTATTTAGTCTGGCAGCAAGATCAATAATGGGCCCATATGTGCAGGTGAAAGGGTTGAAGGGATGAGAGCCATAGAGACAGGGCCTCATGAGCTTAGAGCCACCAAGCTGGGCTCTGGACTGAAGCTTTGGGAGTCTGTCTTGAGGTCAGGGAATCAAGACTCTCAGACCTCCAGACAACCCATTCAGATTTCCCTCGTGTGTGTGGCAACAGTCTCAGTGTTTTTCCTCCATCCTTGCAGAAGATAATGAAACATAAACCAACTGTACAGGCAGTGGCGACCTACGATGGGCCCCTTCTTGAAGGACCTCTTACGGCGTCCGAAGCATAATTAGCTCAATGATAGGTAACCGTATTGCACAGATGGTGCCAGTTTGGAGTCACTTTATTGGTGTGCGGTGATAATTCTGAAGCTGTCCATTTTTCCTCCAAAGTTTTTGCTGTGCTTTGCCTTTTTTTTTTTTAGTCAAAATTAATGGTTTGTAGGAGAACCTAATTTTTACACTTAAATATTTGATATTCCCAGGTAAGTTATTTGCCTGAGAGTGACAATCGCATAACAAAGTGTATCATGTGTTTATGTGTGTGCATATGTGCACATTTATGTGTGTATCTTATGACTAATGTTTCTCAATGTTCCCATGTGCAACATTAGCTGGTCTGACTTGCTAATATTCAGTGTAGCCAAAATATCCAAATCCTTCTGAGCCTGTGAGGTGTGAGGATTTTAATTTAAAGGGTCAATCAGGAAAGATAGCACAAGTTAATGCTTTGTGGGACTTTGGTTTACATTGAACATGAGTCAGTCCCTCAGACTAATGTTGGACATTAGCTTTACTGAATAGAACATGGTCTGGTGCCTAAAAGTATGTGGAGATTGTGTTGAATATATGTGTTCACCAAGCCTCTCTCTAATATAAAGACCTTGGGTTTGACAAGCACATTTATCATCTAATTCTGAAAAAAAGTCAGTATTCTGTCAAACTTGAAATGTACATTGTATTAAAAGTTTGATATTGTTCAGTTTTTGTTTATTCTCTTCCTACATAGTTAAACTTGTTGTTTATGACATAGCAGCCTTCTTAGGCTAGTAGTGAGAAGTCACATGACCACATTGGTCTGTGGCATGCACAGAAATATTAAGAGTAAGCTCTGAAGATGATCTCGATGTGCTTAGTCAATGTGGCTGTTTATCCTTGAATCTGTGTGTGTTGGGAAAGGAGGCGCTAACGCTGGGTGAGTCCTCGTCTTCCTGTCTTTGTGGGTCAGCACGGTGAGGGTAAATAACCACACTGCACTCATGCTTTCGGCCTTCTCAGATATCATTTAGTTTTCTATGCCATGAAATAGAGCAACCGTAGCCCATGTAATCACTCAGCTCCCCCTGCTCCTTGCCATTCTGTGGGTGAGCATAAGTAGTATAACTGAGGAGGGAGAGGTGGGAATAGAGAGAAGCTGCTTTCTAGGCTATTAATAACCAGGTCCTAATGGGCACAGTGTCAATTTACAGTATTCTAAACCAGAGGGGAAACCGGCAGACCTAATAACGTAAAACCAGTGACTTGGATGTTGACTTCCAAGTAGAGCAACTCTTAGAGAAAGCATGTTATCCAGCTCAATTTTGAAATAACACAGAATCATTTTAGGATCCTTACCCACTATGTTAGGCACTTAATGTATTTTCTTATCTCTTGACAGAATTCTCCAAGGCAATGTCAGGACCATATTTCAGAATTCATCCCTCTCACCTCTCTACCAAGTCCAAGCTATCGAAGCAATGAGCTCACCAGTTCCCCCCCGGCCAGCAGGTCTCATTCTCATTCTAAAAAAGTGATGCTGACATACTGGAAAAGTCATGATTATTCAGTCCTCCCGCTTGGGTTTAATTTTTCCAATAACTATTGCAAGTCCAGTGCAAGACATTGCTACCATGGGTCAGGTTTGGAAACGCCCGAATGACAGATCACCAATTCAAGCCTTTAAAGAACTGCATTTTTGAATGTGTGTGTGTGTGCGTGTGTGCACGCGTGCGTGCATGTGTGTGTGTGTGTGTGTGTGTGTATTCTGTTTCCAGAAGAGGGAACAAATATGTAATAAAACTTAAACTAAGAAGTACTTGGCTCTTACTGTCTGGAGTAATGATTAAGCAGACAGAATTGAGAGCCTGAAGTCTATGTCCTTCCAGGCCTGATGTGGCCTCTTCAAAAAAAGTTTTTTTTGAACTGCTAAAGCAATGAACATCTTACACAGTCTGGTACTGTGAGGCTGGTAGCACTTAGAAGTCCCCTTGTTCTGTGTTAAAAAGTTTTGGGTTTTTCTTTTTTCTTTGTTTCTTCTCTTTCTTTTTTTTTCTTACACATACGTTGCTTGCTTCTACCTACCGTCTTCAGTCACTTCCTCTTACTTGAAGTGGATAGTTTCAATGAAGGACCTACATTTTGGTATCAACAGTTCAGTTTTGAGCCAGAAGCTATGACCTCAGATATCTCCAGTGACAGTTACTTCATGCATTTCCCAGATGTTTCTGATACTTCTTTTTGTCATCCTTCTTCCCTGGCTCTCCCAACCACTTTTCCTCCCATGCTTTGTCCGTAAAACAAACTGACGTGGCCTCTGCGATCATATCTCTTGTCAGGAAACGCACTTCTAATGCTTGTATTTTCTGAAGTGGCCAAATGAAGCATCTGTATGGTCATGTGTATTGGTTTTCCTAGTAGAAAAAAGAGATGCCATTTTTATGTTCAACCCTCCAAGGGGAAGCTGGATGTTGTATGTAGTACTGGCATTTTGCATGTCAAACTCAAAATCACTTGTGCTGAATGTGTTAATTTATCATGATATGTCCTAGAAAAGTTAGAGTGAATTCAGTTTATTTTTATTCCCTCCCCATCACCTCGATGCCTCCATGGATAAAGTGTTTGTGTGTGACTGTGTGAGCGAATGTAATTGGTACCAATTAGGAAATGCTGATATTTTAGCTTTTCCTCTGAGAGCTCTGAGATAGTATTTTGTCAGACTTCAAAGGATAGAACTTCTTGGTCCCTGTTAATGGAAAATTTTATTCCAGGGCCTTTAAGAAAAGGGGAGCTGAATTTAGGACAATTGCTAGGGGACTTTGGCACAAATGATTGACTGTAAGGTCATTATATAGCACCCTATGTTATAACGAAAAGGGAAGTCGGGAATCTAGCCGCCTGATACATAACCACCAGGTGGCAATTGTCTTTCAAAATAGACTTAAAACTTATTTCAGATTGAAAGGATATAGTTACAAGATAGCCTTTCAATTTTTTAAAAGCAATACAGCCAGCTTGTACTTCTTCCAAGGCTCTCTAGTGTTTACCAGACCTTGTGCTAATTTTACAACTAGGTTTGTCCTTTGTCTTGGGATTCTGTCCAGTGTACTGTTTGGGAAGGTGTAAATGACTGAAGGATTGCTTTAAAAGTCCCCGTTATTTTTAACGTACCCAGTGTTTGTTTATATGAACACTCTCCATGACATGTTTGAATGACCATTAAATTAGCATATTTCAATTTGAGTGTCAAACTTAAACAGTGAATACTTACTCCTTTTTAGAAAGGCCTCGTCCAAGGACCACATATAAATAACTTTGCCCATTCCTAGAATGCCTAGTGTGATGATCAGAAAATGGTGTGTGTGGGAATCAATATTGAGAGCTCGTTCTTAGACATTTGATGTTAGTCATTTGAGAGCATAGGGTTTTCACCTATAAAATATTTATTTGAATTATAGAGAATGTTTTTTTCCTAAACGGCGCACTAATGACAAGAACCAGTGAATTATTTTAAAGTTGCTGGAATATTTTAATGAATTATGAGCACTTATCATACCAAAGATTAGGCTGAATAAAGTTTGGCTGTCAACAAGAAGTCATTTTCCTGCTGCCCTAGAGACTAAAAAGCATAGCATTTTTAGCTTGAAGATTTAATGTTAGTGTTTCAACAAGAACCCTTTCAGTTTCAAGGAATACCATTCTGTCATGGACTCTGGCAGTATTATAAACTTAGTCATTGCCTCCTTGGATGTCACACTCAGAATCATACCATTCATAAACACTGGTGTATGTATTTTTTTAAAGATTTTTTTAAAACCTAATATGGGTATAAATGTAATACCTGTAGTGGTGACAAATTTCCTGTGCATTTAGTTAACAAATTATTTGTAATGTATTTTTTTAGAAATCTTAAAATTGCCTTTGCACTGAAATATTTTTCATAGCTGTTTATATAATCTCTTTTATGCATTCATTTGTTAACACACCATTTCTAATTTTTTATGTTTTGAAAAGTTTTTTAATTTTATGGGTTTTGGCCACTTTCGATTTAAATTTCGCTGATAGTTGTGACTGAATGTTTAAAAATCTGATGAATGTGAAAATTTCAGATTTGATTTCTTGCTTTCTCTTTCTCCTAAACTATTGCTGTTTCTGATGGTAGTAAATAATGTAAGGCACATCTCCAAATGGTAGTTTGCGAAGTTTTTTTCACCTTAATCCTTTGTAACTTCATCCTACTTTGGTTTTTGGGTTTTTTTCCTTTTCTCATTTCCATCCTTTAGCCTTAAATAAGAAAATTCTTGCTTGGTGATTGAATATGCTGGATTCCTGCTCTGCCTGCTAACCAAAAGTTTACTACATCCTTCGGACAATTTAACTCTTTCATTGAAAATCACTAAGACTTTACAGAGTCTAAAATATGTTTTAGAATTTAGCCTGAATTATTACATGGACATACCTAGATATTTTAAATCGATTATGGGGTTGGGAAGAGATGCAAATGTTTGGCCAGGGACAGTGAAATGGAGAAAAGGAAGAATTGCATTTTTACATCCGATTCAACAGCAGCTTCTTTACATTAATTAGTTCTTATCATATTTGCCTTATAATGTTGCAGATTATATAAGAACCTGCTTTCGGGCCCTTGGATTTAAAAATCCTATTTACTGCATTAGATATATACAATACAGAGATAATGAGAAGTTTGTAGTTTCACCAATGTGTGGAGTTCCTAGAGCGGGGAGTCCAGACACCAAAGCAAATGACAACCAGTCTGTGACTCCGAAATTAAATCCTAAGGAGTTACTGGAGGCGCGTTAAGTGATTTTTCCTGGGGTACAGAGTGAGTTTCTAGTCAGAAGCAAGATTTGAACCCTGGTCTTTCTGGCCTAAAGCCCCAGATTCTAAGTGATAAAGTTATGATTTACCATGTTTGAATGCAAACTTTACTGCTCCCGCTCTCTTTCCTTAGAAGTTTTTTCTTTTTAATATACCAATACATGAGTGATTTTGTCTATATTTTCATCCCTCTGTTACTTCCAACTCTGGTAATCCATGATCTCATACATACATATACACACACATACATAACCACACTCCTTTCTTGAGCCCTCATCATCCTTCTCTTTTTCCTAGGGTGGTTCCAGACTTCGTTCTACTCCCCCCAATAGAAGTCTTTGTCCACCTCTGGGAAGGCGGGACCCCCTGTGCATTCAGCTGATAGGCTCTCGGCATAGACATTCTAGCACACCTTTCTCCAGCAGGCACACTGGTTAGGCACCCCATCACCACCACAAAATTTCTTTACTGATGAGTGTAAAGGCTTCCCTGGACAGAGATCTTTCTCCGTCAGGGACACTCCACCTAAAATACCAGAATCTCTGCTTACTATCCTTCAGTTAAGTGAGCTCTCTGGGGGCCAAAAAGAGGGGATATGGCTTCCAAAGAAGGCGCTCCCTGTTCTGCTTAAGTGCCCTCTAGGGAAGGCTGGGCTGCCTGCTGTTTGTTAGGGGAATAACCCTATTCCAGAAGTCATCTGGAGTAAGCCATTTCTCTCTGTGTCCATTCCTATTTCAAGAAATAACACAAACTTCCCCACATATTTGATTCAGTAGAGTGAACAAGGCAGACCAAATAAGAATGAAGTGTGAGAGTTATATCTCCCATTGGACATTGACATTCATTACAGCTAATGTACACAAATTGTATGTACAATTTATGTGGGATAGATTTGGGAGGATGAAGCATGTTGAAGAGGGGAGGAGAATGACAGATTGTGTATCACTTCCTAGCTTGCCTTGATTAAATTGTTGCAGCTTTAACAAAAATGTTTCATACATGCTGTTAGAACCGTTTTAAATAGACATCAACCAAATGTTCTGTGAAAGCTGGAGAAAGTATTTCAGGCTTTGTCTTTTTCTTAACCACTGAATATTTATGTATTTCTGCACTGGTTAGTAAGAAACGATTACCATTGTTTTTATCTTATAATATCCTTAAGATTATTTATTTGACACATAATACAAAGGCTTGGATCATACTTTTCTTGCATTACTCATTTTTCTGGTGTCACCCATTTGTCTGGATCCCATTGGTATGCAACTTTCAAACAAGGTGAAAAATGTCGGTGAGCCCCTGCAATCCTTATTTTTTTCTTTTTTTTTTTTTTGAAAGCCAGGGTTTAGGGGAATGGGGGACAAAAATCATTCTGATAATGTATCTATAAACAAAGCTTTAATGGAAACTTGTTGGAAGTATTATAAAAGTGTGATTCTACTTTTGCAGAAAAAAATCTAAAGATCAGTTTATATAGCTTTATTTTTTACTTTATCAAAATATACAGAATTTTAATATACTGTACATTGTCTCTGACTGAAATTATTATGTGTGTATATGCATTGCCATTGAAAGTATCCATTCATTATGTAACATAAAGGCAAATCTTCCAAAAATGCCATTGGAGGAAAAAATAGTTACCACTGTATTTAACATAAATGGTATCTGTAGTTGTCATCATCATGAAATATTGGAATTTCTTTTTTAATTGTTAAATTCAGTAGGTGCATTTAACAGACAATAAATCAGCTTTTAAACAGTAATGTTTAATTGATAACAATTCATTAACCTGCTCTGAAAAGTCAAACTGTGGACTCAAGTAATTCCTACATTTCTGTAAAGTTTATTTTGTTTGCTGCTGTTTTTAATTTTCATTTCTGAAGGTATCAAACTATGACCTGTTAAAATTCAGTTTTGGACTTTTCTGCCGATTATATAAGCAGGAAATCAGATTCTGCTTGCAATAAAGAAAAAATGGCTCATTTAGTTTCTTCAGAAACAAATAAAATCTCACAAGGGGTGACTTTGCCAATTTCTGTTAAGTTATAACCAACAGTGAGTTTATAGAATTAAAATTTCCATTAATGGCTTTGTACTCCTAATTTGAAGAAGAGGGCTGTTTTACTTTGGTAAGTATTTTTTTATTTGTAATTATTTCCATTGATTATTATAATAGAGTTTTAGTGACAAGAAAAAAACGGTCAAACAGAAAAATGATCCATTCCTTACCCTGTCGAGCTAAAGGAACCTTTCTGAGCTCCTTCTCTATTCACAAGCAAGAACTAGTTCAGAATACCTGATGGATTGTTAGTTGAATAGGAGTGCTACCCCTTATCTAGCTTTAATGTCAGCCTTATGAAAATGAAAGATCTTTGTTTTCTACTAAGGTATAAGACTAGGCACCCAGAATCATATGCATAAACTAGCAAGGTGGAGTTTTCTCCTCTTCTTTCTTGAATTGTTTGGAAACTCCATCTCTAGTTACTGATGCTTTCAGATTTCACAATTTGGATTTGGAATTTTTTAAAAGACCTGGATTCTGACCCCAGCTCTACTTCTTAGCTCTTCCATGACTGAGCTTGGGCAAGTCACTTCATAAAGTTGTTGGAATTGTCATCAACCCACAGAGGGGTAGGAGTGAGGGAGCTGGGGAGAATCTCCTCTCCAGACTAATTGCAAGCCCTGCCAGGTGATGAGATCCACTAAAGGAGAGACCTGACTTGTTCATCTTTGTGTTTACTAGCCTCTAAAGTGCTCTAAACATAATAGATATTTAATAATTATTTGTTGGACAGAATCATTCCCCTTATTACTATACTAAGACAACACATAACATTCACAAGAGATGCATTGAGGTACCCCATGAGTACAAATACCCATGCAACCTAAAAAAAAGTAAAAAGCAGAAGCAGTTTGAATCCATTACCTTAATGTTCCTTGGTGCTGATGCAAAATCTGAATTAGATAGCCGTGGTTCCTACCCTATGGCTAAACAATAAAAGCAAATAGATAAATTACAGGGGGACGGGGGTCAAGAATATGCAAGAAGGTGGAATATAGGCATATATGTGCTGCTCACACCTGTCATTTTTTTCACTTTGAATTATTTCGGGTACTCCCAGTAATCCATATGGGGGTGAAGGGCAGAGTAAGAAAAACGAAAGAATTAGAAAACATGGTCAGATTGGAAGGAAGGTCTAGAAGGGAAACATCAAAGATACCTTTGGCCTCCTTCTAGTTATTGTCTCACAAGACTGGACAGTTGATCTCACACATTTAAGTCTTTTAAAGGGTAAGAAAGGGGAACACATTTTCCACAAACTGCTTCTGCTGCCTTTGCTGTTGCCCCTCTGTACCTTATTATCCTGAGAGATTCTTTACCGTTTTTCCCCCGTCAATTCTCCGCAAAGGCTCTACCTCACTTGGCTGGATGCTTCTCTCTACCGTTGTTTTTGTATTTTAAGGCTATCGAGGTACTGCTTGGGCTGACCATCAAAATTTTTCTATTTTCTCTATATGAAACAATACCTCCTCTCTAATTGTATATTTTCCTCAGTACAGTATCTCTTCTGCCACTTTCCATGTAGAATTCATTAGTCATATGCTGCAGCCTCTGATGCCCAGTGGGTATGAGCACAGCATGATTTTTTTAAAAAATTAATGCTAAATCAAGGACAGAATTTAATAAGCATTTATTGAAGCACTCTATTACGTGTTAGTGTTTTTCCCAGTAGTATAAGCAGGTAGAGGGGAAAAGACTAGAAGATTTAAAGTTAAAAGACCTCAATTTGAATCCTGGCTCTGGCCCCTTACTGTTTCTATGAATGACCTTGGACAAGTCACTTGGACTCTAATCTTCTCCTTCCTTATCTCTAAAATCAAAGAGATTGGACTCATCAAGGGAAACTAGGTCTTGCTATCTTGCTATTTATCTCATGATTTTAATCTCCTATTAACCATTTTTATATCATTATCCTTATCAGTCCAAAGATTGTCTTTGACAAAGAAAACAATCTAAATAAGATTGAGCAGTTCTGCCTTCTCTCTCCCTCATGTGTTATCTTCCCAGCTACTCAGACCAGCCTTCCTGTCCGTTTTAATCCTCTTCTTTTGTTAAAGGTGGAGGGGGACACAATTTTTTCTGTCTGTGGCTATTGCCTTACCTTTGGTATTGATGATAACTTGTCCAAATGCTTGCTTCCTACCTTCGTAGAACAATGCCTTCAATTTCATCCCTTTCTGTACTTGGAATTAGGACACCTGGTGCAGTAACAAGGATGCCAGATTTGGAATCAGGGGACCTAGCTCCACTTAGCGCATCGCTTGTTCTTTTGGAGCCTATAACTAAGCAATCTGAAAGCTGCCTTCCAGTTCTTAATCCGCAGTCCTATGATCCCAGCCCTAAAATTCTAGTACTGCTTGGCTAAAGTGGTGTGGAGACAGGAGAATTCAAGCATAACCATTAAGAACACATAGGGGGCAACTAGATGGCGCAGTAGATAAAGCACTGGCCTTGGAGTCAGGAAGACCTGAGTTCAAATTTGACCTCAGACACTTGATACTCACTAGCTGTGTGACCTTGGGCAAGTCACTTAACCGCAACTGCCTCACCCCCCCAAAAAAAAAAAACAACCACATAGAATTGGGATTGATAAATGAGGAGGAAGTTGGTCCAGGAATGGGGTGTAGGGGAGAAGTATCCTAAATTAAGGTAAAGAAGAGGGAATGAGAGAACTTTGAAGAGACTCATCTGAGTTAAAGAGAAAGTGTTTGGATAGGAAGATTAGGAAAGCATTTGTTTAACATTTCTGAAACAACTCTACTATGTCATCTTATAATTAACAGGCACATTTTATGAGGCTTTGTAGACAAAGGCTGTTAATTGCCCCAGAAAAATCCCCTGTCCCCAGGATGACATCAGACAGGCTTCTAGCTCACTTTCTCATGAAGAAGTAAATGCAGAGGGTAGGCCTGAAAGTACAAGGGGTGGGCTTTTGGGTTTGGTTGGTTTTTTTTATTATTATTATGGGACACCTTCCAAATCTGTATACCTGCCTTAGGTGAAAGGAATGTGTGGTCATACAAATGAAGGCAGCTGTGGCTGTGGATGATTGCATATTCAGATAGGGACACAGGTTTATTTAAACCAAATGATGGCACATTGGATTTGTAGTGCTGCAGGTACAAAAAAAAATGGTGCTTTGCACATGTGTTTAGGTACATAAACAATAATCTGATTAATTTGGGAAATCTCCCACAATCTGAAATTTTTAAATTTTCAGATAAGTCTCACTTTTCAGGGGGAAAAAATGACAACTTTACAAATAGTGTCTTAATAAAATGACTGCAGAAAAGGAACTTGAAGGAGCCTTCTTCCTGAGATCAAGAAAGACAAGATACTAGGGCATGATGAGTTTCCCCCCCTTTTTTTTTTTTAAACATTCATATTAAGGGCAGCTAGGTGGCACAGTGAATAGAGCTCTGACCTTGGAGTCAGGAGGACCTAAGTTCAAATCCAGATCTCAGACACTTAATACTTACTAGCTGTATGACCCTGGGCAAGTCACTTAACCCCAATTGCCTCACCAAAAAGCAAAAAAAAAAAATTCATATTCATGCATTTTCATGAAATATTCTGTGACATTGTAATAGGTGGGTAAAGTCTTTTTTAAAAATTTATTTTGATTTATCAACAATCACTTCCATATGCTTTTGAGTTGAAAATTTTTCTCCCCCTTCCTCCCCCCACCCTCCCCAAGATGGCGCACAATCTGATACAGGCTTTACATTTACATTGGGTAAAGTCTTCATAAACAGAACTGTGGTTAGGAACAAGAGGGAAGATTGTGCTGGACTAGGAGGCAGGAGTGACTGAATTCCTGCTTTTGACACATATTTTGCTAGTCTCATGACTGGGGGCAAATCACTTAATTTTTCTGCTTATTAGTTTCCTCATTTTTAAAAGGAGGGTAGTACCAGGTATTGGGCCGGTTTCATACATCGATTGTAAAAATGAGATACATGTTTTGTTTTGGACATTGACAATGTGGAGACTTCTTTTGTTTGACTGTATTTGATATGAGGGTTTGTTTTTTTTAATTGAGGAGAAAGGGATAGAGTTTCCCCTTGCCCCCTCCCAATGAGATTAGACCAGAAAGATGATCAGAATAAAAATTCTTTAAATGAGAAAAAAATAAACATCTCTCAAAAGGATCAAATCAGATGCACTACCTTTAGATGCATTATGATTACATAATTAGTTAAAGCCCTATGCAAATGTCAGCTCTTTATTATACAAACAAACAGAAACATCCAGGGGTTTCAGTTGTTTGCTTTGCATCTTAGGAATGAGGCTAGGCAAAATCAAGGAATACATTTATCAGAACCAAAGCATACATCAGGAATAGAGAGTAAATGTCACCATTTTATGTCTAATACTTTATTGTAAATAGCATTTTTTTAAACTCCATTCTTGTAGCTTTAATTAGTTGAATAATTAGCAGGTGCTTTGAGAAGCCATTCCTAATTATGTGGCTTAAACATTGATAGTTTCTTATATTACTAACCAATTTGCAGTTGATTCCATTCAAAAAATAGTGTTACAAACATTTGCCAGGAAATATTAGGCTTACAAAATCAGGATTTGTACGATACCATTATCTGAAGATCCTACTGTACTCATTCTGCACTAATTCAGATTGTAGTAGGAATAGAATGATAGTCCTGGAAATACATATACAAATTCATAGTCCACAGATTTAGAAGGAAAGGACCTTAGAGGCCATCAAATCCATTTTATTGATGAGGAAACTGAGGCACAGGTTATGACTTACCAAAGGCCACACAGGTAGTAAATGGTATCTGTTCCCCTTTTCTAGTGTATCTCAGATCATTTTGCAAAATGATTTAATGGAATTTTGAAAGATCTATTACACTAGTCAATGTCCCAAATGTCACAGATGGGAAAGATTTGGTTAATCTAGATGTCTGTTGTCTAAGATTTAGTTCCAAATTATAAAGATT